GCTATAACGGGGAAAGCTTGGCTCTTGCGCCCGGCGCCGAGTGAGTCTCTGTCGTTGAGCCGTGTCTCCGCAGGTGTGGCGCCATACTTACATGCCTTGCCCTGGTCGAGAAACCCACGACGTTGGACCCGAGGCCAGCATCTCATCCTCTTCAGCCACATGGCGCCTGCAACAACTACGGACATGGATATCTGTTGGGCACCTTCATGTTAGTGGCGTTCCGGCCTAAAACGCTTCCATTCCGCGGTTTACACAAACACACCCACCACGCCGGACATACTTGACATGTCATAACTTATTCTTATACAGGCCAACTCATTCGTTATTCGTATGTCCAACGATGCGTTTCTGACTCTCGGATTAATTTCATCTTGCTGCCAGCAGCCCCAATCAAAGCCCTGACTCCGCCATCGCCACCGTTGTTGCCTCGCCTTTGCGCATGCATAGGCAGAAGCTAAGGCTGCGTCGAAAGTCATACGCGCGCGCAGCATCTACGCCTTGACACGCTTATGCCTCGAAATGGGCTAAATGTTCCTGATCTATGAGATCTAACTCTGGCGCCACGGCCGCTCAACTCTCCAGAACACCCTCACCCCTGACCAGTTATCCAGTTACCCAGTTAGATGCTAACGGGACGCGAGCTAAACAACAGCTCTTGCAGAGACTATCACAACTCGCTTAGACGCTAAAAAGGAACCGCTACGCAATATTGGCCAAGGTAAGATGAGGGCTGAATCAACCACAAAAACAAATGTGCTTCCGAATGGGCTTGTAAACGGCCCGCGGGACCTTGGCCCGTCCAATGAAATGCTACTAGCCAGACGGAGAAGACGTCGAGTCAGTATGTCTTTCCTAAGCTACCGGACATGAATAGTGTTCTGCATAGTCGAGGCATCGGCAAAACGCTTAACCAGCCACGCTTTGGAATATAGTAAGCGATGCGAGGGCGATGTCGATGCACGGGGACGTCTGATGATCAAAATGATATGGGATGCCGATGAGGAGAGCCGCAACCAGCAATTCCCATCACTCGGCCTGGTTACATCACTCGCTAGTCCATCGACAATCTGACATGCATTTCATGCAGCCCAGATACGCCACCACCACTCTTAAGCGCAATCAAAGTACGTTTCACAGTCGATTACTCCACGTTCCGCGTTCCACTCCATGATCCATACTGGACGGCCTGTCTTGATTATTACACCCCCCCTTCTCCAAGCTCAACTTGGCTGGATCATGGGTGCCTTTCCTCTCATTGAACAATGAGCGTCTACACTCCCTGTCTGCCGTAACACCAGCGGTAGAGATGAGGAGAAGGCGCCAACGAGATATATGGAGAGAGAGCCAGGGTTGGGCGATCCAAGTATTTGGAAAATAAGTTTGTCTTGGAATACCTTGAGTTGGCCGATAATGCTTGTCTACTCCGCGGGGCTAAACTGGACACAGATGCTAATCTGGCAAGACTATCAGTATTGCATGTACAAGCATGTCGAGCTCATATTACCGCTATTTCACCTACTCAGTCTATACGGAGATAAGGAGACGAAGGATCTGGTTCCTCTATCTGGCAAATCCTGTTTGCCTTTATAAGATATGGCTTTCTCCAGCATTCTCCCACTTTCCGCCGCCACGATTTCGATCTCCTTGGCAGAATCACACAAGCGGCGATTATTAGACGAATAGTGACCGAAGTTGATACCTGGCAGGCACTATTAATAAGCCGCACCAAGTCCACTCGCCCGGCGTTTCCCAAATTAAGAGGCCTGGCCTGGTAAACCCCCCGGCGTCCCGTCTTTTCCCATGGGGGGGCCGGCTTCGTAATCGCATGGGAAAATCTCCCGCGCGTTCCCGGGCTGATGCTTATTTACTGATGTATGCTCCTTGGGACCCCCTCTCGGTAGCAAGGGGGGGTGTGACGGTATGGGAAAGTAACCCGGTTATTAACAAGGCGATTGAAAAGAGAGGGAGAGGAGGAGAGAGGCAAGGCTCAAGCAACCCTTGGAACTGACTCCGCACGTTTATCTGGATCTGATCAAAAGTGCCCAGGTGAAGGGTTCTGGTGACGTATTCTTGTATCTTGGCTCGATTTCTCGATGGGCGCAGCATTTGCTCTTGGCTTGATGATGCATGATGACACATTCTTTATTAATACGATCGAGACGAACAGGAAATAACGCTGGGGGGATAATGGAAAGTAGTATTATCAAGTAGCACTCGGGCGCCCGTTATGGGCACTTGTTCGCCATGTCTTGTCTGCTTACATGATTGCTGACGGGTTTTGTTTCCATGCGTTCAGCTGTGTTCTCCCTTGGGCAGAAAAAACAGGGTTGACTACGGGGTTTAGGGGAGTAATCAATAAAAGCTTGAAACTAAGACGGGAGCCAATAGCGAAGCAAGAGAGCAAGACAATACCAAGTTTTGAATCCTTGTCTTGTTCTCAGCCTCGTTTGGGGGGACATCGCAAATAGGCGCTCTTCTCGACGCCGCGGAACTCGTTCCGCCAGGCAAGATGATGAATGATTACGGCGAGAAGATGGATGATTACAAAGGATAGATAATTTAGCCTGCTTTGATCTCGAATCGATCACTGCTTTGTCGAGGCCCATGTGACTCTGCGGCTACAAAATCTTACTTGAAGCGGAGTCATCTTTCAGCTCTCATGCAAAACGCGGTTCGGGTCGAGCTCGAGCCGCTGGGAATGAATGGCGCGCGAATACTACCTTTTCTGGTCTGCGGCGACCCTCTCGTTGGCTTCACGCAAGGCCCGGGAGAGTCGCACGAGATGCACCTAATATGACGCTACCTTGCTGGTGCGGTCCGAGCCATCCCCTCAGGGGCCGAGGCTATTCCCCCCCTTCTCCTTGCTTCCGAGAGAGTCAACATCTCTGGAATGCAACGGGGTGCATGAAAGAGCGGAGTATGATCGCCCGCTTGTCAGCTTTCCTGGGAGCCTCACCATCCGGAATCCGAAGGACGGGGTGTTGACGAGGTCCCTCCCCTCGTGTAGGTGGAGCCTAACGCCGATAACCATAACGCTAGATACCATGTCAGAAGAGTGCTTGGGAATTGGGGCGTGGGTGTTGTGCTTCGTGATGCAACAGAATCCATGCCAAGTGGAAATCGATGGATTCGTATTTGCAGAATACGGTCAACTCGGTTTTGGTTAGTTGGTAGATAACGGCTGAATACATACATACGCACGTATGTAGGTTATCACGAAGATAAAGATGCTCGTAGGTCACGTTGGGCCGTGCCTCTTCATCACAAGACCGGTCCAACTGGTCAACCTTGCATTTTCTTGAAGGAAGGTGCATAGATGCAGAGCAGGTATTCACCAGTGCTACCCTGCCGGGTATGTCGACTGGGGTTCGGCATCCGTGTTGAGAATGTCAGCCGGGCCAAGCTGGCGGTGACCCGCTGCCTGTTGACAGAGATTCCCTCCAGTAGACGGACGGAACAGGCCCTCTGCATTGCATTCAGGCGTATTTGATATCGTATTCTCCTCATATTGGGATAAGCTGCCTCAATGATTCCATGCCGGGGGGACCAGCCTTTTGAAAGAGCAGGCTTACTCGCATTCGATGCGAGGAGAAGACAAGGTTGGCAAAGCCTCGTGACCAATTTCTCGACGAAGGAGCTTGTGCCGCGTTCATGGTGTGAGGCCTGACGCCATAACCGTGCGTTTTCCCCCCATTTCCTACCAGCGTATCGGTATTAGATATGGTGGCCGGGAGTTGACGACTTGATGCCGTGATGCACTAGCATCATGAGAATTTAACCGTAGCCAGCCGAATTAGCCCGTTTGGAACGTCACGAGCGAGATGTTGACAATATGAGAAGCCTGAGGAGGTATGTTAGTGCGGGATCTGGGATGATGCCAAGTGGTGAAGCGGCTGGTTACTGCAGCTTTTGACTTACAGGAAGTTCATATCTACTAGATATGTATCAAGCGTACGTGATGATAGTAGGTTAGGTAACCAAGAGGTATGAAACAAGGTACCTCCGAGGGAGGCGCTGATAGCACTGAAGAAGAAATCACCAGCGGATGCGTTCATCTCTGCTTTGCGTGGTATTTGATGGAGGTGCTGGCGCCTGATGGATGATGCGAATGAATAATCTCGATCTGGGCTTATCGGTGATGATGTGGCCTGATAAGGACGGATGGGCTACTATACTGGAATGGGGCATGTCCCTCCAGTTCTGGGGCCTCGGGAATAAGAAAGAGCTTGCAGGGTGAAGAATCCGCAGCTTGGCGACATGAAGCATCACGCTGGACAGTACAGCACAGCCTCGGCTCGAGCTCGTGGGCGGAGAGACAGACATAGAGAGAGAGGGAGAGAGAGATTAGTAGAGAGATGCCGATAGGAGGAGACGAGGAAGGCAGAGAAGACCGGCAAGAGACCTGTTTCCAGTCTTGCCGGCAGAACCAGTTCGAATCGTGTTGCCCTACTTGGCTGGCTGGATATGAATCTTAGCACCTACTCCGGTACTAGGTAGGGATGGAAGCAATGAATGAGGGGTTCGTCGTCGGTCTGGAGCTCTGCAAGTTTTCCACCTTAGCACGGGGCAGTATCGGTACTTGATGCCGAGCTATCAGTACGCGCTGCGCAAGCTTCACAGTTAGAGCCCTCTAACCACAATGCCTGGACCTGCTATTCCTCGGCTACGCGCAGCACGTACCGCGCAATAGCCCCTCCGTCACCCGCCCGACGCAGCTATCTGCCCCTCACCGCCCCTCTCGCAGCCAGCACCTCAAACAACGGATTCTCGCCTCCAGAAAAGCTCGACTTCTGGTCGATGCAAAGCCGCAGATCCAATTGAAGCTGTGCAAACGCTGCAGAGCGAACCGCCGGCCCACAGATTTGCTCCACCGCCTGGGGCCACAGAGAATCTGGCCAGAAATCCGCTCCTCTGCTGCTTCTTTATTGCAACTCTGTCACCATCTCCCTCCCTCCCTCTCTTGACCTCAACCGCCAATTGACATTGGCAGCGTCGTCAACATGTCCAAGCCCACGAGCGTGACGGGCAGCGAGAGCGAGTTCGAGTTCATCGAGACTCCCAAGGCTACTGCCCCTACCTTTGAGAAGGAAGAGGACTGCGGCGTCCGCACCACCAAGGTATGTCTAAAGTTCTTTTTTTTTTGTTCATGTTTACACATGCTTGGGGAGCTGTAGCTACATGCACCTCCAATGAGCAATGAGCAATGAGCGAACGGCGTGGGACGTACTATACGCTGCATATTCAGCTGCATCTCAGCAGCCTCCCCCCCAATTGGAGCTTGAAAGAGCAGTGAGCTGATGGATTTGTCTGCGTCTAGTACCCTGCCATCAAGAATGCACCCCTCCCAGCAGATGGACCGGGCTCCGACTCTTTCAACAACAAGATCCTCCTCTCCATCTTGGGAGGCGTTCCTTTCTGGTTGATGTGGAAGGTTGGTGGTGGCATCAAGACCTTCATCTTCTTCGCTCTCGTCATTGATCTGCCCATCCTGGCAGGATGGTGGCTCACCATCTCCGCCATCTCCCCTCGTAAGACGGACAAGGCCAAGTTCCCTGGCCGCCCCGTTGAGTACTACCTGGACTTCAAGAAGGAGGCCGACCGCCTCAAGTACCGTGGCACCAACAAGATCCCCATGGAAACCTTCCACGAGATGTACTTTGACGGAGACGTCGACTTCAAAGGTGACTGCCTCGAGGTTATGGAGTACCGTCACGACTGGGCCAGCTTCCGTTTCACCGTCAGCCTCATCAAGTACTTTTTGCTGGGCATGATTCCCGAGCTTATTATGCACACTCGCTCCCAGGGTAAGCTCTCCTATGCATTCCATCACCATCTCTCCTCAGTGTGAACACATGCGCTGACATTGCTTCTCTCTCCCTCACATTCAGATGAGGAACAGGTTCGAGACCACTATGACCGCGGTGACGACTTTTACGGCTGGTTCCTCGGCCCTCGCATGATCTACACCTCTGGTATCATCTCTGACATCAACTCTGAGGAAACTCTCGAGCAGCTCCAGGACAACAAGTTGACTGTTGTCTGCGAGAAGATTGAGCTCAAGAAGGACGAGAGACTGCTGGATATTGGCTGCGGCTGGGGCACCCTCGCCCGTTTCGCTAGCGAGAACTACGGCGCCAAGGTTACCGGTATCACTCTTGGTCGCAACCAGACTGCCTGGGGCAACAGCGCCATGCGCAAGGTTGGCATCCCCGAGGATCAGAGTAAGATTCTGTGCATGGACTACCGTGACATTCCCGTCCCCGAGGGCCGCTACAACAAGATCACCTGTCTGGAGATGGCTGAGCACGTCGGTGTCCGCCACTTCTCGACTTTCCTCACCCAGGTTTACAACATGCTTGATGACGATGGTGTCTTCTTCCTCCAGATCGCTGGTCTCCGAAAGGCGTGGCAGTATGAGGATCTCATCTGGGGTCTCTTCATGAACAAATATGTCTTCCCTGGTGCTGATGCTTCCACTCCTCTCGGCTGGGTCATTGACAAGCTGGAGGGCGCTGGCTTCGAGGTCAAGGGTGTTGACACTATTGGTGTTCACTACTCTTCTACTCTCTGGAAATGGTACCGCAACTGGATGGGCAACCGTGACAAGGTTGAGGCCAAGTACGGCAAGCGATGGTTCCGCGTAAGTTTCTTGACCCTCACCTATTGATATGTGCTTGATACCAAAGGGATCATCTGTGCTAACATTGTTGGTTGTAGATCTGGGAGTACTTCTTGGCTTACTCCACTATTGCTGCCCGACAGGGTACCGCTACCTGCTTCCAGATTGTGCTGGTGAAGAACATCAACTCCACCCACCGTGTCGAGGGTATCCCCAGCCAGTTCGCCCTTTCTGGAGCTTATGACAACTCCGAGGCCGACATCAAGTCGTGGGCCACCAAGAACAACGTCACTTCCTCCACCGCCTACATCTCGTAGACGGGAGTCATGTGGCTTGTGTCCATGTAGATTGAAATCTCAACCACTTTCTATCTATTTTGGACAGGTGCGTTGAAATTTCGTCTTCGGGCAATGTCAGAGGTGTCTTGCAGCCCCATTTCACTTAATTTCAGTATGGTGAAATAAGCCGAGGCGAAGAAATGTGTGGATTAGTTGAGGTGGCACGGGCGGTTGTTTTAATGACGGTCACAACATCACCTTTTATTTTCTGATTGGTATGAGGCAAACGGATATGATTCTAGGTACGGCTAGGTTAATCAAGGGTATTCAAAATTGTAAGCTCCCATCTCGCGATGGGGTGCACGCGTGCTGCAGGATTAGTTGGGAATAGATCGATTCTATAAACAAAGACTGTGTGTCCATATTGTTGGACCAATCAACCAACCACTTGGATGGTGACGATTCATAAGTAGCTTCAATGTTCTTCACTACCTAGTACTAACCGCTCTCTTGAGGGATGATTGCTTGGGTGCGCTGACGTCATACCCATCTCCCACGTCCTCTCACATGTGGCGATTGCTTCATACTCCCTTTACTGGTAAGAATGAGATCTGACGATGAAAAACGTCAATCTCATGCAAGGTGCGAAAAGAAAGGCATTTCATGGGATCCCGATGACTGCCGCTCGTAGCCGGTCATGTACAGTTTATGGTTCGCATTGGACCGAGGTGCTCCATATCGATAAGCTGACAGACAGCTGGGAAATGGCCTAGGTACTTTATCACGACGCTTTGACGAATGTCAATCTTGAACCATTTCTCACTTATACACAGTATATACACATGGATTATCTTTTTATTTCCCAAATTGGTATACAAATAGCCATACTACTTACAAAATGCCTCCAAGGAAATTAGCAACAAAGCTCTTCTGCCGCCGAGAATGGCAATACGTCGCATCAGTCCCGGCTAGGGCTAGAGCACCATTTTCATCACATTCAACCAGTTATAACCCCGTCAACGCTCAAGAAATGAAGAGCAGACCAGCAAAAGTCATCCGCGACTACCTGGTTCCCATGCCATCCCACCTACTCACCACAACGCTGTCGGACCTCTTGCACACACCGCTCACCTCGGGGTCGTCGATGGCGATGGAAGGGAGAAGTTTGCCGCAGGGCCATCATTTGGCGTATTTCCCATTGCAGACGCCGGCCTCGAGGCTTGCTAGTGATGGGGCGGATCAGGATCATGCGCCTGATGAGCAGTTTACGAAGAGACTGTGGGCTGGAGGGGAGGTTCGTTTTGGCGGGAGGAAGTTGGTGCTTGATGGGAGGCCGTGGGTTTGTAAGGAGGAAATTGGAGATGTGAGGGTCAAAGGGGAGGGATGGGATGAGAAGGTGTTTGTTGATGTGTGGAGGAGGTATGGGTTGGGGCATGATGGGGATGTTGGGGAGTGGGATATTGAGGAGAGGAGGACGCTGGTGTTTATGCGCCAGACGGAGCATCAGGACCAGGCGTCGAGTGGACGGCTCGTCAAGTGTGAGTGGTTATGATATGATATGACGATTGATGGAATAACTGACACAGAGTGATAGATGCCCGCACCCCCGCTTACTCGGCCTCTCTCATCCCCACGCCAACGCACCTCTTCCACTTCTCAGCTCTTACATACAATGCCCACTCCATCCACATCGATCCTCTCTACGCAAAGTCCCAGGATGGACACCGTGCGCTGCTCGTTCACGGACCGTTGTCGCTGGCGCTTATGCTACGTGTCTTGAACGACCACGTTACGTCCAAGGAGGGCGGCGGCGCGGGAGTGGTCAAGTCTATTGCGTATAGGAACTATGCGCCACTGTATGTGGGCGAGGAGATGAAGGTTTGTGTGAGACGGACGGAGAGTGATGCGGCAAAGGGGGGAGAGGAATGGGATGTGTGGGTTGAAGGGCCTGAGGGGGGTTTGGCTGTTAAGGGCAGTGTGGTTGTGGATGCCAAGAAGGCGAATCTGCCGTAGGTAGTGTTATAGATGGGCATGATGACTATAGATGTATATACTTGAACTATCTTGACTATTTTCTTTCTTTCTACCTAGTATTTTTAAATCATTGTGTATAGGTACCAATACTGGTTTCTTAGAAAACACAAGCACAAATAACTTGTTTTAGCACCATCTGTTACCTATCACTTACCTTGGATACTTGATTTTTATTCTTTCAGCTCTTAATGTCTTCAATGAGATGATATTCGATGACAGAATGACACTGGGACACATCTGAAGTCGTAATTCATATGGATACGACACAGTCATCTTATACAAAATTCTATCCTTTGTTCGGATTGTCTATGCTAAGAGTATTCACAGCTCATCGCATGCGATACACAATCATTTATTCTAAATCCTTTCCCAATTCCGCCCATCATAATCAACCATTGCCAGCATAGCCATCGCACAACTCATTGCCATGAGATAGACACAGGCTTTTCTTCACAGCGACATGTATCAAAAGTCTTTTCCAGATTTTACAGCTCATCCTTCTTGAGGTGGCTCTTCTGCTTAATCTTCTCGCCGCTCAAGCTACGCAGGCGGAAAGCCTTGCCAGCGTGTCGGGGCACGCGTACGTCAAGGCGGCCACCAGACTTGATGGTGTCAACACGCTCGCCGAACAACCGGGGGTCCTCGCGCTTCAAGCCCTCGGCATAGGAAAGCTCGGTGGAGTTGTACCACCCCAGTTTCTGGAACTTTTGCCTCCGTCCCTCGGCGCTGTCGGTGTCGAGGATGGACTGGGCATCTTCGTTGCTCATGGCGCCGCCGGTCTTGCCCCAAAGGTCGTGGACGGCCCAGTCCTGCTTGTTCTGGGGAGCAGTACCGCCGACACCGTTGGTGAGGAAGATTTCCTCGAGGGTGGCGCCCATGTCGAGATCCTCGTCGGCGAAGTTGAGCAAGATGAGGATCTGGTCTCCGTTGGCGAGAGGGCCGCTCCATATGTGAGTCTCGCCAACGCCCCACTCGTCCTTGGGGACGTTGAAGTTGCGTCGGATACGCTGGACGGCGCGGCCTCGGGGGTCCTGGTTGATGGCGATAACGGCAGGGTTGGTGACAATGGCAAGGTCAGAGCCTGACCACTTGCGAAGATCAGTGCCGAGCAGAAGGGGGGCCTTTAGAGCCGCCCAGATCGTGAAGTGAGCTCGGTACTATGACTGTTAGTTTTCCATGATTTTGTACATGAAGAAAAAGGCGAATCATTTACCTCTTCCTCGGTCTGGCCACCGTGGCCGACCTCGAGCATGTCAAGATCGTTCCATCCACCGGGAAGACCGCGGTCAATGTATGGCACGACACGGTTGATGATGGCGAGCACAGAGCAGTGGGTGCCAGGGGCAATGCAAGCCGGGTTGGCGGGATCGTTGCAAGAGCAAAGATCGTCCGGGCGAGCGAAAGAATCGTAGATGTCACCGAAAATACGCCATGAGTTACCAATGGATGCCGCCCACTAAACCATTTGATGCGTATTAGTCTCAAAGGCGTCTTGTAAGCGATGATACGAGCATTTAGAGAAACGTACGCTGTAGGAATAATCTTCACCCCAGTTGCAAAGACTGTAGAAGATGTTCTTTCCGGTGGCCTTGAGAGCCTCCGCCATCTTGTTGAAACGCTCGAATGAAATGAGAGGAGTGCCGAAGCGACCCATGTGGTAGCAGTTGTCGTACTTGAGGTAATCAACACCCCAATCCGCAAAGCTTTGTGCATCATCCATTTCGTGATCCAACGAACCCGCTATGTTGAAGGTTAGAGATGTCGAGAAATGGAGTTGAGCTGGCGCAATTGCCGTGAGCAGTTAGAGCAACTCACCATATCGCGCGCAAGTCAGTTCGCCAGCACTCGAGTACATGCCGAACAAGAAGCCCTGCGCATGCAAATCATCCGCGACAGCACCCATTCCACGCGGGAACTTGTTCTTGTCTGCAATGAGCTTGCCCTTGCTGTCACGCCCATCGGACCAGCAATCGTCCAGCACGACATACTCATACCCCAAGTCTTGAAGGCCATACTCCGTGATGAGCTTGGCGTGGTCGAGCAGCAGATGCTCAGAGACGTCACAACCAAAGGAGTTCCAGTTGTTCTGATATCAAAGAAGAAAAAAAGTCAGCAAACTTGGCCATCATTTCCTTAAGAACTTCAATTTCGAGTTCCCGGGAAGAATGGAATGAAGCTTACCCATCCCATCTGCGGGGTTCTAGCAAGGCCATTGTCGATTGCCTCTACGACAATCGCCGAGACCGCGACAGCCAGCGCACCTTTGGATAACATCTTGAACCTGCAAGATGAGTCTTTTGAAGTTTCCCCCTGCAATAAAAAAGAATGATTGACGACGCTTTCAAGAAGCCCTACAGAAGAGAAATCCCAATACTAGATACGGACCATATAAATACAGAATTCTTTCAATCCTCTTCCTAGACAGCTTCCAATGGCTCACCCCGCCAAGCCACCACCTATCCCCCAAGGGTCTAATACACGGAATCCCGTTTTCCTGATTGCGGGGTCCGATTGGGGATATCGACGAGTATTTGTCCGATGCCACGAGGGTTTTCCGCTTTCCCCGTATTGTGTCTAGCAAGCCCCGGGTTTAGCATGAAATTGGTCACGAGGAAACTAGTGGCCCATCGCCCGTTCTTTTGGAGAAATGTTCGGGGTAATTGTGCAGCGGCACGGATAAGAATGGTCCGAGGCCACGGAAAAGCAGGCCGAAGGCGTGACATCGTGGGTTTAGGAAGCACTCTGATGAAAATGTATCCTGGTTGAAGGGCTATGAACCTGGTTACCCGGCCGGGACAATTTGTTTTTGAATGTTTATTTGGAAAGCGTTGGGCTAAGAAGCGGATTAGTTGCGTCGTATTGCGGGATTCAAATGGGGATGGCTGAGGGGTCGTGTTGATGTTAGTCGTTCTGCAGTTCTCATCAGTCGAGTGAGGGGAGAAGGGGAATCGTATACTGAGTCATAATGTACCTGTAATTACCCAAATTTGTGATGTAAAGAATGATGTGGCATGATATTTCTTTCATTTAGTCCCTAGACTTGACAAATGCTTCTGGTTCTCTGAAGAAGGCCATACCAGTTGTAGACCTCATCGTTTATGTCAGTAACAGCTTGGAATAGGACTCTCTATAGCTTTACCATAGTCTTATAAATAACTTGCATGTTTCACGGTGAGGCCTACGATCAACATAGTTTAATGAGAGTTTCTCTCTTTTCGATGACGCCTCCTTGTCATTCAGTACTTGAGTCTTGGCGTATGATACATTGGCAAAGACATGGAATAGGCTGCCTCAAATGCTGCTGATCGGAGATAGAGAATGACTAAGCTTACTATCCAGAGCTTCTCTCACCATGGTACGGATCATCCGCCACCCAATGCAAGTCGGATATTTAGGCACCTATGCAGGGCCGGAAGAGATCCTCTGATGAGGTAACCCTAGCTAATGCGGCGAGAATTCATAATGATCTGGTGTGGCAGTTGGTGCAGTCCATGATTGGTTGAATGTTGCGGATGTGGAAAGAAGGTAGATGCACAATTTTGAAGCCCTGCATCATTGCCTGAACTGGAAAGATATGGACAGATGATTCGTTGGCTTGGCTGACGGTTTAATGATGTGCATGCTACCAAGATGTTTAATAAGTTGTTGGTTCATGAGGTGGATACGGCTATCCTTTTAGAGTCTGTAGAGTAGAAATCTTGTACAGACGACGATGGTGGTGAATGGGATGTTGATAATTTGGGGCTTCTAAACTGCCCAACTCAGGGCCCTATAACATACAGGAATGCTGTATTTATCATAGAATTAATGGATTTCTTATCAACTACAGGTAATGTGAGCTCAATATGTAGTATATTTACTTTCTAGGGTATCTCTCCTTTTAACGTTTCGCTTTGTTCTTTTACGCTTTTCATCAATTGAAAGCAAAACTATCTGCAGGAATCATGTTGAGTAGATACTTTTTCAAATTTTCCTTGTAAGATGACATAGAATGAAACTATATCTCTTCAGGGCCATTGGCAGCGTTTCTTATACAACGCATTTCAGAATATTGATGTACGAAACCCCTTGACCATCGAAGCACCTGGCTTGGCCTCAATATATATCATATGTGATTTCATACAATTTGAAATCTGAGTCCTATATATGCCTCAGATCATACTTGAGCGACTGGCGAGTAAACTGCAGGCAACTTTGAATCTTCTCAAGCTGCCAAAGCAAACCTCAGTATTTGATTGTACCAAACATATCCTATAAATACAGCGACCCAAAGATGTATTCTATCAAGACCACGACGCATTTATCAATATTTCCATGCTTCTAATGCTCTATTACCACTCTCTGATTTCGCCATCTGGGCCTCTGAATGAAGGAGACTCCCACGGTACACAATCCTTGGACAGCTTGCGGACCATGTCCTCATCGACTTCAATGCCTAAACCTGGGCCTGAAATCACGTTGATGTAGCCGTCTTCGACCTTCCATATTTCTGGATTCTTGATATATGTCTCAATATCCTGTCCTGTGTTGTTATAGTGAATGCCTATGCTCATCTCTTGGATTGCGAAATTGGACGACACGGCGTCGACTTGCACATTGGCGGCCAAGGCGATGGGACCCAATGGGCAGTGAGGAGCCAAAGCAACGTCATACGTTTCTGCCATTGAGGCGATGCGTCTCAGTTCAGATATGCCACCAACATGACAGATGTCGGGTTGCAGCACGTCGACGCAACCTGCTTCCAAATACGGACGGACATCCCATCGGCTGTATAGCCGCTCACCGAGAGCAATAGGGACGCTTGTGAGCTGCGACAACTCCTTGATGCCGCCCAAATTCTCAGGTAGCAATGGCTCTTCGATGAAGAGAGGTCGATGTGGCTGGAGGAGAGTGGCGAGCTGCTTCGCCATGGGTTTGTGAACGCGGCCGTGGAAATCGACTGCAGCATCCATTCCAAGGCCTTTGACGATCTTTATTCTTCGCACTACATCATCGAGAACTGATGGTGAATCGAGCCAGCAAACGTCTCCTGTGCCATTCATCTTCACTGCGTGAAATCCTTGCTCTTTGCGAGCTAGACTGTTTGAGATTGTCAGTACCGACCGCAGATGAATTACAAAAAATCAAGGGAATAAGGGGCTAAAAAAAGTAAAACAAGAACAAATTAAATGAATAAATGAATAAATGAATAAGTGAAGAAAATGAGTCTTCAAACTTACGCTTGTTGTTCCACCTCATCTGGGCGGTCACCTCCAATCCAGGCATATACTTTGAGCTTGTGTCTCACTTTGCCTCCAAGGAGCTGATATATCGGAACGCCAAGTTTCTTGCCTAGATGATGTAAGTTAACTTCAGATTGACTTGCAGAATGAGAAGAAACACATCTCATTCAATAATTTGTCTCTCGCTATTCTCATTTACCTTTTAAATCCCACAGTGCAATGTCGATTCCAGAGAGCGCACTCATAAAGACTGGCCCGCCGCGATAAAACCCGGTGCGCCATGCCATCTGCCAGATGTGCTCAATCTCACTATAACGTATTTGGTAAGCAGGCGTCTTTCCCGTTTGGTCCATATACCAGATTCGACGGGACGTACTCGGCATCGTGACCTTTGAACTTGTCGAACCACGCATCTAAACATCCCTCGACAGCCTGCGTATGTCCCTCTAGCGATGCTTCACCCCAGCCGACATTCCCGTCCTCGTCAGTGACTTTTACGAACAGCCAACGAGGCGGGACGCGAAAGTATTCCATAGACTTGATTCTCGCCATGGTGTCGTTGTGCCACAAATTTCCGATACACGTCAAGTCACAGTTCACGCCCAGACCTTCAAATGAATGTCGATGAAAAGACAATCCCGCACTCGTGCCATCTGGAACCTTTACATGCTTGTATAGTATCAGGTCCCCGGCGAAAAACAAGGGAGAAACACAACACAGCCATGTCGCCGCGGAACTCCACACACTGCCACGGCTTACCCCTTCGGGCAACAGGGTCCCCCGCTTGATGAGATGCTTCGCCCCCACCATTCCCGTAGCTCTCCGGACACGGAAAAGCAGAGAGGGGGAATCGAATATCGTGTGGGGGATGAAGCTGGGGGCCGGGAGAGTGTGGCCCGAGCCTCGAGGTCCGATGATGCTCCGACAGGGGAGTTATTTGAAGTGGGAGGACGCTCTGATGATGTGATCGAGGGACAGCTTTGAAGACTCGGGATACTCTTGATTCCTTCGATAAAAGGCAGCGGTTTGGCATTCGTCAGAGTCGTCCAGCATCAACTCACCCGTTCCAGCTGCAGAAATGGCCACCTCCGCATCGCAGACGGCACCGCCGCCGGGCGTTTTTGTCCCGGTCCCAACCTTTTTCAAATCAGCTGCCAATTCCAGCGGTGCTCTCGAGCCCAAGGTCGATATCGAGACTCAGGTGGCTCACACCGTGTTCCTGGCCAAGGCTGGCATCACGGGCTTGACCATCCTCGGATCAACGGGCGAAGCCATCCATCTCTCCCGGAAGGAGAGAGCCGACCTCGTTGCCGGAGTTCGGGCTGGGCTGAACGATGCTGGCTTCGAAAATTATCCGATAATGGCTGGGGTGCTTACAAACAGCACCGAAGAGACGCTCGAATGGCTGGAGGACTACGCAGCAGCTGGAGCCCAGTGGGGGTTGGTGCTGGCGCCTGGCTATTTCGGAAAGGCTGTGAATCAAAGTAACCTTATTGACTGGTTTACGTTGGTTGCAGATCGCAGCCCGATCCCCATTTTGATGTGAGTTTTGTTCTGGGCCTCAATCTTTCGTCCCGCGTGCAAGGGTCTGACGAAGCCAGATACAACTATCCGGGGGTAACGAATGGGCTTATCGCGGAACCGGATACTTACAGAGTACTGGCTAAGCACCCGAAAATCGTCGGATGTAAAATGTGCGTTATTGATTGCCTTTGATCCTATTTTCCGTTTCCTGTTCCGAGTCATGGCCCCCCCCCCCTAACGTGAAATGTGACAACCAGGTCGCACGGAGATGTCTCTTACCACGTCCAAGTATCCAATGACCCTCAGATCGATCACAGCGCGTTCCGGGTGTACAGCGGTTTCGGCCAGCAGCTTGGCCCGATTGTTCTGTTTGGCGCCGCGGGTGTGATTGATGGCCTGGCTGCCTTCTACCCCAAGACGGTTGTCAGGCTCATGACGCTGGCAAACCAGACGTCTTTCGCGGAAGATGCCTTGAGCGAGGTTCGACGATTACAATTCGCGGTTAGCCGTGCCGAAGAGTTCATTGTGAGGACAGGAATCATTGGTATCCGGGAGGGTATCATCCGTAAGACTGGGCTGGGAGCTCTTGAGGGTGGTAGATTGCCACTGAAGGGCAGACTGCCGGAAGAAAACTGGACAGCGCTGCACAAGCTGTATCTGTCGGATATTGAACAGATAGAAAACACATTGTAAATCTAGTTATATAGATTGACTCAATTCACTTGTTTAAAGGTGGCTGATGCGATGCTACTGAGATTCTCATACGCTATTTGATGTTTGGGGGAAGCCATTGTCTTTTTTTTTCATCTAAGAATCATTGCAGCAGCAATAAAAGCTCTGACATGTGATTGTGCACATTTAATTAGAGCACGGGGCTTACAAATGGCAAGTATTGGACAAAATGTGATGGTAATCTGTATTACATTGAAGTCTAATCTGTGAATCTATTTACCTGAGGCAGAAAGCCCTTCCTCTTCACTCATGAGTCGCGGCTTCAAGTCCTTCCAAAATACACACGACTCCCTGTGCTCCAGGATCTGGTACCTGATCCCATACGTTCTCAGGCACATACACGGCACGTCCCAAAGACGCTTTCATGCCCTTTGTAGCCTCCATGCCAGCTTTCGCCGCGGCAACTGCATCAGCGAGCGATCTCCCTTGCACCAATGATTTGATGAACGGTTCTAGTGCGTCCATGAGTGTTCTATCACCCTGCCGAGCGGGTGTAGCCTTCTGTAACTTCTCAAGAGACCTGTTCGCTGCTTGAACCCAAGCCTCGTGGGTCATAGAGCGTGACGTCGTTGCACGCAGTTCCGCAGCTAATGCAGTGAAGAAGATGCTATATATGGCCCCCGAAGTCCCATCAAGATCGGTCTCCATGATGCCGGCCAATTTGTTTATTGTGCTGACCACGTCGTTTGGATCGGATATTTCATCCACGCGACTCATTGCGGCTCTGGCACCGCGCGACAAGGTCACTCCGCAGTCTCCATCTCCTACGAGAGTGTCATATTGAGTAATGAGTGGCTCTGCATCGATGACGTTCTGACATGATTGGAGGATTGCGCGTTTGAAGGTTGCAGAGTCAACTACCAGTAAGAGATTAGTGGATGTTACTCGATACTTTGAGGATAAAATGGCCACTTACATGATATGCCAGATGACTCAACAGCCGTCGCGTGGCCGTCCTCTAAACTGATCTGAGCTACTGCTTCGGTAGGAGGCTTGTCATGTAAGCGGCTGACATTGAGAGCTGCCCATCCAACTGCACTGGTAGGGGCTTCCAAGTATCCAACCATCTCTGGCGTCGCTTTTAGAAGCGTAGTGCTAAATCCCGGTCCGTTCAGGCTCGTCATGTATGTCCCGGAGAGAACAAGAATAGGCACAATACTGCGGGTTTCTAGAAGTTAAAGGTGCATTAGTCTCGTAGATTTCAATTAAAAAAAAGCCCTTTGACCTACTTAATGCTTGAATCACTTTACCAGTGATGCCACCAAATTCGAGGGGAGACAGCCCGCCCAAGTTGTTGACCATCAGGACGACATGCTGGGCATCAGCAAACTCAACATATGCTCTATCTTCATCCTTGGTGTCTAGAAGCTGATCCAGCATCATGTTGATAATGTTTGCCAGCGGCGGTCGGGGGTTTAGAAGGAGACAGCCTGGCTCGTTATGAATTCCCATTCCAAGTTCGACTTGATCGTCGACGGCTATGGGAATTGCATCTCTGCCAGGGATCTGGACGTGCTCTAGTGATACTCCTGCGGTGACGAGATTCGAAACAACCTCGTTCCCAAGCTCCAATAGCTTGGGGAGCTGTGCGCCAGTATCACGGCTGCAAGTTCCCAAGATTTTGTGAACAAGCACTGTTCCAGCAAGGCCACGGCGTCCAACTTTTCCACTCTTGCGGCGACCGACGGATACATCATCACCAACGGTCAGCACCTCGACTGGAATTCCAAGAGCAACTCTGGCTTTCTCGGCCGCTAATCGGAAGTGAAATACATCTCCAGTATAGTTTTTGATAATGAGCAGCACCCCGGTTGGTCCGGCAACTCTAGTTATCGCGGATAAGATTTGTGCGACGCTGGGAGAGGCAAACACGAATCCAGAAACAGCAGCCGTTAGCATTCCATCTCCGACGTATCCCGCATGGGCAGGCTCATGGCCAGCTCCTCCCCCGGATATCAGTGCAACCTGAGAGCCTTTACGGTCATGCAACCATACAGCTGGGCTCAATGTTAGTCAATAGCACATATATTAGCCTGCGTCGGAGGTACCATACTCTTTGTTGCTTGGTCTAGAGAAATGTCTGACCTGAGCAGGGCAATTGACTCAAGCCCGTCGAGAACTAAGGCCTCGGTGTTGTCATAGAAGCTCCTAACCATTGCGACTAAATGATATCGTGCCTCAGCGTCAGGTAGCTATTGGCGTTGATTGGCACAGTGGCGCTGGAGCGTGAACAACTAAACTTTGGCAACCCATTGTAGGACATCCAATGACTCTTTTATGAAATAGTATGACGACAATACTTCGGGGTAAAATCTAGATAATGGGCAATGTATTGGAAACTTCTATATCAATTTCATAATGCAAAATTGAAACTAATGACTTGTATCACACTGCATTTCACATATCGGCTACGGAGGGGGGCCTTTGATGCGGAGAAGTGGCCAAGAAATGGCTGTACCGTTTCCGTCACGGACTTCAGACACCGTGGAGGGTTAGCAAGGTTCCACGATACCACCTCTTCCGTTACCTGAAAAAAAGGCCGCGGATTATTGGGCGGAACAAAGACAAATAGTGCGTCGGAAACAGTGGAGCTTGCCCGCACTCGAGACGACTCCTCCGCATGGTGAACTTGTGCCTGTTCAGTCTGCTGACTGATGGAGTTATCGAAAGCATCGCCAATATCTCGCAGGGCTTCATCGTCCTCACTGTAGGTATATAGTGTGTTTGGGAGTCAAAGGTATCGAGACTGGCTCATTCATCATTTCCATCTCTCTGCTCATCAAGCTCGTGGCCGTTTGTTCTTTTCTCAGCCGCCTTTTACCCCATCTCGACTGCAGAGATAATCAAAAATCAACTTTGTATCAGCGCCAACGTCTTTAATAAAGAGGATCTATAAAATGGCCTTTGCAGGCAAGGTCTACGCCGTCACTGGCGGTGCCAGCGGAATCGGACTAGCCACGGTGAAGCTATTGGCTGAGCAAGGTGCCATCGTGTGCTTCGCAGACGTCAACACAACCGCCCTGGCAGAGGCCGAGGCTTACCTGAAGGAAAAGGGGGCAAAGTTCACAACAACCAAGGTAGACGTATCGAAAAAGGCAGAGGTAGAAGGCTGGATCGAGGGCATTGTCAAGACGTTCGGACAGTTGGATGGCGCCGCCAACATTGCGGGCATCATCGGCAAGCACCACTCCATCCATTCGGTCGGGGAACTGGATGACGACGAATGGGACAAGATCATCGCGGTGAACCTGACCGGGTGCATGTACTGCATGAGAGCTGAGCTCCGAAATATCAAAGACGGTGGCTCCATTGTCAACATGGCCTCGATCCAAGGCATTACGGGTAAGTGGCCATTTTCGGTTACATGATTTCTTTTACGCATCATCTGACGCCTAGTCATTCGACAGGTCTGGCCTACCACGGAGCTTATGGTGCCAGTAAGCATGGGGTTGTTGGCCTGACTCGAATAGCGGCCAAGGAGTATGGCAAGCGGGAGGTGAGGGTGAATGCAGTGGCCCCTGGATCAATCTACACACCAATGATGCAGCAGTCCTGGGACGCGACTGGACGCCCTGCAGACGCCCCTTTTGATGATCCCACCGCATTCCAGAGGCAAGGGAAGCCAGAGGAGGTTGCCAAGGTTGTTTTGTTCTTATTGGGCCCTGACAGCACCTTTGTCAGTGGTAGTGTGTACTCGGTAGATGGTGCATGGATTTGATTAAAAGGATGTGACATCAAAATCATATGAGTTTTGGGCTATTATACAGGATATATTCACGTGATACTTGAGCTGTCAGATATCCTTTCTTTGATATTCTCTGACAAATGCCCAGTGAATAATGTTGGACCATCACTTGACTCGACGAGTGTTCACATTCCGCTAATGACAACCCGCTCCATGACTATTGAACTTTGCCTTTGCATTAAAAAGGTCCGACAAGAGTGGCAAATATTATCAAACAATTACAAAATGCCCTGTATCTTGGTGTATGGCCAGTTACATCAGTGTCCACCCCTTCTTACCCAAAACTGCTAATAGGTAGGCACATGTATCTTGCCACTTATGAGAGGCGAAAGCTGTCTTCAACCTAAAGAACTTTTGTTCCGAGATTTCATTAGCCAGTTACACTATTGGCGTTTTGATGAGTATTTCTTTTCCTTTGTTTCAAGAAATCATACAAGAATAAATCATGCATCTGCTGGAGCATTGGCCCTGGCAGGTTGACTGATCTTAGCGCCTCTCTCGACCACCAAGGGCATCTCTCCCAACTGCTCAACTTTCAGCTCGGAGCATTACTCGGCTATTAAGCCGCTCGAATGCAAGAATTAATGAAAGGAATTCATTTTTAATCGCCGTACTCATCTAAACAAGGCTGATGGATGTCGTTGTCGTGCGTGTAAGTGGTGGATTTTCCGACGGAAATACAAATATTCGTTGGTGGAAAACAAGCACCCATTTTCCGCCCTCACTCGATGGCGGCGTCCTCTGTGCCCGCGGCTGGGTTAGCCAAGACGCTGTGCTCTTTAAGGAAAACGAACAAGGCCGCTAATGCCACTGGGGAAGAACGAATCCTTGCTTTCCAACTAGATCTCGCTAACATGGAAGTCGGAGCATTACCTGGCATTGTAATGTACTCGTACGGCCGCTTTGTGGTGGCAAGCAGATGCGGGCCGGATGAACTGAACGTGACTGAGTTGCAGGGGAGTTTGCAAGCTTACCCTTCGGACCGAAGCATTGCACCGGCATGGGTCGGCATTTGGTCAAGACATACGGAAGATATGAGGTGTGAACAGGGTCGTACTGAGGGATGCAACACTGATTTTGCGAAGAACCCAAGTACCTGGATTCTCGTATTTACTACTTGGAGTAGAGAATATAAAGCTGAGCCTCGTACATTTGCTCGTATTCATGTGTTGCCACAGTGGTGGGAGTTTGAAGGCGTTTATGTAGTGTTTAGCATGCTCCGGGGTACAGTAGGTGGACCCAGGATACTCTCGTGATGGCCTGGCGATGTGCTAGCGGAGTACGCATCGGACTTGTTTCCCCTAAACGACTGACTACTCTAATTCCAGTATCATGCGTTGTGCTAGAGAATATGGGTGTAGGCAATGACCTCATCTGTCCAAGGTACGGAGTACCGGGTGCCGTCACAAGCCAAGACAAATTGACAGTCAAACGCCGTGCTCACTGTGAGTTCTTCTAGTATTATCAGCATATTGCATACTCTATATGCCCGAATTGCTACTGTATCTATATGACATCCATCTCTCTATGTCATTTTGTTGAGACTCAAGAAAATTCCCCAAAACAGACCCGCCGTGCTGCCAACTAGCTGCCGGTAGTCAAATGGCACGACACTCAGGTTCAACAGCCCAACGAGGGGCCACACGCGATATCCCGCAATTAGCATGGGCCAGAAATCCTGTATGTTGGTCGTTAGCTTGGTTCTCTCCGTCCGCCGTTGAGACCAGTTCGTCAGTGAACGGTGGAGACTCACATTCTGGATATTGCTCCAAATCTGAGCATTACTCTGGAAGGCCATACCACCCATGAGATATAGAAAGGCTACCGTATTAAGCGGTGCGCTAATCGACTGGTCTAATATGAACTTGATTGCCGTATTAGTTAGATTGAGGCGGTCTTTGACTACGGCCTGGCTGAGCTTTTCCGATGATTTTGAATCCGATTTTGAGTCCGGAGAAGGTTCATCGATAGGTGTCCTGGACGGGAATTTGCGTTCCAGGAATTCTTGCCACTTGTAATTGGGGGGTGTAACAAGAGCTGAATATATGACAAATCGCAGAATGGATTCTAGCTCGACTTCATCGAACGACTTTTTGCTCCGTGTGAAAATAAACAGTCAGTCAACAAAGTCCAGATTAAGAAGACTTCAACTAACCTTGCTCCTGTAGGCGGTGATGCCCTGAGCGCATACTCCAGATAATCCATTGAGCAGCGTGGCCTGGATCGTGGCCTCTGTAACTTTGGAATCCAATATCATGATTGATGACCCCCCTGGTAAGTCTCGAGCAATAACAATAGTCCGCTACGGAGTTCTCAAGGTGAAATTCCAACGGTAAACTGGAGATCCAATGAGGCTATTTGAACGCCGCCACTCGGATATGCCCAAGTGTTTGCCGGGCACACGATATCCGTCAGGCCAAGAAACCGCTGCCACGGGTCGGAGATGCCTCTCGCCTGCAAAATCCAACGAGAAACAGCCAGTGACCAGCGTTGGGCGCCAATGAAGCGGCGCTCCGTAGTCGAGTCTTTAGCGGCAAAGCTGAAGCCACAAACCCCAGCCCTCGTGGCTCACCCCCTGTAGCCATTCCAACATTCAGGTTGGCCGAAAGCCGGCATTACCCCGCGTCACAAGCAGGAGAAATGTTCGGGGTTGGCAGAACGACTTTGTTTGAAGAGCCTTTGGAAACGGATCAGCGATCCGTCGAAAGAGTTGCTTGTTGTGGGGGTTAGCCGATTGTGGGGTATGGGGAGTCTAGATCTCACCATGCCGCCTTGTTGGGTTGAGCAAGGGGTTGGAGCAGGGTCAAACCCTTGGAGAAGAAAAACTTGGAAAGCCGTTGATGGCGGTTGTCATGCAGGTGAGACAATCTATAAAGACCACCAACCTGGACATCCCCAAAGCCGGTGTGAGTCGATCATCAAGAGGTGAGGTGAGCGAGCCAAAAAACCACCACCAAGAAGACCATCCATCTTGGGCGCTTCTCACAATTGTCAATTCGTCTCCTCTGGTGCTTTTCTTAACTGCATTGCAACATCACAACTCCACTGGTCCTGTCGATCTCCAACATGGAAAAGGGCGCCGTGTCCACTCTCCACGAGGAGAGCCTCCCCATTGAGGCGGGGGAAAAGGCTGGGATCAACGAGATCGCGGACAACGCCAAGAACGCCGCCGAGCATGAGCACGAGCTGACGCCGATGCAAGCTGTTCGAAAATACCCCAAGGCTATCTGCTGGTGTCTCCTCATCTCGGCCTGTGTCATCATGGAGGGCTACGACACAAGCTTGCTCGGCAACTTCTATGCGTATCCCGAGTTTGCGAAGCGATATGGAAAATTCAACGAAATCTCTGGCAACTACCAGTTGACGGCGCCATGGCAAGCCGGCCTGAGCAACGCCTCTGGTGTGGGCTCCTTCTTCGGAACCCTTCTCAACGGTTACCTCGTCCACAAGTTTGGCCATCTGCGTGTCATCTCGGGCGCTCTCTTCTTCCTCAGCTGCTTCGTCTTTATCGTCTTCTTCGCCCCTAACACCACCGTGCTTCTGGTGGGCGAGCTGCTTTGCGGCTTCCCCTGGGGAATCTTCGCTACGACAGCCCCCGCCTACGCGTCTGAGGTTTTGCCCATGGCGCTGCGAACCTACCTTACCAGCTGGACAAACATGTGCTTCATCATTGGACAGCTGATTGCGTCGGGAGTTCTGGCTGGATTGGTCAACAACCACACTCAGTGGTCGTACAGAATTCCCTTTGCCCTCCAGTGGTTCTGGCCTGTTGTCTTGGGCCCCATCCTCTTCTTCGCCCCTGAGACTCCGTGGCACCTTGTCCGAGTTGGAAAGATTGAGGAAGCCAAGAAATCTCTCCGAGCTCTGCGTACTAACCCCACTGAGGAGGAGATTCAAGAATCCCTCAACCTCATCATCTACACCAACAACCTCGAGGAGCAACTTGAAGTTGGAACCTCATACTGGGACTGCTTCAAGGGCTTCGAGCTGCGCCGAACTGAAGTCTCGTGCATGTGCATGGTTGGCCAGGTTCTCTGCGGTATTTCCTTTGCTTACAACTCGACCTATTTCTTCCAGCAAATCGGCTTAACCCCTACGCAGACCTACCACCTCAACGTTGGCGGTACTGGAATGGCCCTCTTCGGTACGCTTGTCTGCTGGTTCTTCATCATGCCCAACTTCGGCTACCGAACCACCTACTGGGTCGGGATGGGAGGCATGTGCGCCATCCTCGTCCTCATCGGCGGCTTGAATGCCCGCACCAGCGAACACTCTTTCGCCATGGCTCAGGCTGTTCTCACCCTTGTCTGGACTCTCATCTTCCAGCTTTCCGTCGGCCAACTTGGATGGGCTCTCCCCGCCGAACTCGGATCCACTCGTCTGCGCCAGAAGACCATCTGCCTTGCCCGAAACTCATACGCCATCACCGGTGTCGTTTCTGGCGTTCTCCAGCCTTACTTCATGAACCCCTCCGAATGGAACCTCAAGGGCTACACCGGCTTCGTCTGGGGTGGCACTTGCTTCTTGATGACTGTTTGGGCTTACTTCCGTCTCCCCGAATCCAAGGGCCGCACTTATGAGGAGCTTGATGTCCTCTTCGCTAGAAGGGTTCCCGCTCGCAAGTTTGCCAAGTACAAGATTGATGCCTTCAACGAAGACACCTTGGCATAAACGTCTCATTTTGTTCAAAGGGGGTAGGGTTTTGGGTAGCGCGCGCTGTCAGCCATGTAGGGGGAGACGCGCCTCTGAGCGGAGAAGGGATCATGATAACATGGATGCTAATTAGTACTATATCGAATGTACGGCGAGTCATTGGACTATTCCTTGCTAGCGAGACCATGTGCATTTTAGTGTTTGGGAATGTTTCGGTATGATTTTCGCCGCTTATGATGCCGCTTCTCGTCGAGAATGGCGATGGGGTGTGGGGTTTCTTAGCCACGGCAACTTATTTACTCTAGTTGTTCAGATTTAATCAAAAATGTTACGATGCATGTTTTCATGACTTATAATTGAGTTATTTTATACGTTGGCGTAATATCACATGCAAATAAGCACCGGGTATGGAGGCTGTCATGTATAACATTATGTGTGAGTTATATGTCTGCCTAAACTAACTTGTAAGCCAGAAAGCGCAAGGAAACTTGAAGCATAAAGACGTAATTAAACGTCCGAGCCGGAGAATAGTATGTACGAAACCTCCCTTTTAGTTCTTACATAGCCTGAGGATAAGTCCTCCCTCGTACTGGGCTCTGAACTGTCTTGAAACCCATGCTCCGTAAGCAGACCCCGTCTCACAACCCTGCATTACTCACCGCAGGATAGTCGTGCCATTGATACTCGTCGTATATAGGCAACTCCTAGGATGAATACTATCAATTGCGATTTACCAGAGTTGAAGTTTTTTCTTTTCCTAGCATTTAGAAACGGCGTCTCTTATTATCCACACTGATATCCGGCGAACGCGGAGAACAGCCCTACTCGTATTGAGCCGCCGAGAGCCACAGTTCCACCCGCTTCCATCTTCTTAGGAGCCGAGTCTGGAGTTGGTTACCCTGTCCAAGCGCGGGGAACTTTTGCCGCCGGCATATGCAAGGTTTTACATAATGGCCTCTCGCAATCTGAGAGGTGAGGAAAACAAGCAGACGTGCCCATGTCTTGTTTGGTTGGCGCGAAGTGGCCAGGAACAACTGCAAGTTCATGTACTTGGTGGAATAATAAAGACAACTAGCAGCACGCTAGCCGTAGCAAATCCAATCAGCCGCGTTCAATGTTGTTTGTCCCTGTTCCCTCGTGTGTGCCAGTGGCTAAATACGTGCATGGTATGCCAATCCTAGGCAGATGCTGGAACCGCCCACATCACGCGAGGTTTTGCGAACTGATTGCATGTATGTATGTATCTACTGAAGCAGTTCTTTTCAAAACACCGCCGGCCCGTCAGATTTCCCGGCAGCATTGCCCAATGCATAGCCGTCCTTCTCCGTCCGTGTCCCGGAAGTCAGTCCTGTTCGGATATCAACGCTCAACATGGACGGGTACATGATATCCGTTGCCGATCACGACGGCGCACACGCACACCCGTCGACGCCTCCGCGCCAGGCGGGTAGAGACCACAGAGACTCGAAGCGGATGCGGGTGACGCGTGCCTGCGACAGGTGCAAGAAGTGAGACGAGACGCCATCCATCCCGAAGAGCACGGCACCCCTTGACGTGTCTCAGCACTCGGCCTCAGAGCATTCCCCCACTGATACCAAGCACAGGAGAAAGATTCGCTGTACGGGATTGCAGCCGTGCCGGCTATGCATCGAGGCCAATGCAAGCTGTACATACGATGCCGCCTACACTCGCGGCAGACACGGCGCCATGGCCTCTCGCCGGAGCAACCGCGCCTCTCCGCCGCCGCCGCCGCCGCCGCAGAGCGAGCAGCAACACCATGAGCGCCAGCAGTCCGAGTCATCGCGATGGCACGCCGCCAACCGCCAGAGCCCCGGAGTGAGCCGGCAGCAGCAGCAGCAGCAGCAGCCGTCCAACGGCGACCCTCCGGACTCTTACTCTGCCCTCGGAGACCCCACACAGCCCGGCACAGAGCCGTTATCACGGGCCTCTCCGGAACCTGTGCAGACCGATCTCGAGGGCCACTATGTCGGGCCATCCTCCGGAGTCTCTTTCCTGCTCAGGATTCAAAAGCGGCTAGACCAGTTCGTGTCGTTTCCGCAAGGATCCTCCATCTTCACCTTTGGCGATGCTCCCCTGCCCTATCTTGACTCGCTGCAGACGGAGGCGCCGTACTTTGACCCAACCCTGTATATGATGCTGTCTAGGGGCGATACCACGCGTCTCGTCCAGAGGTACTTTGACTTTGCCGTTCCCGTGGACAGGTTCCTCCACCAGCAGACCATAGAGACGTGGCTTGACGAGCTGTATGAGACCAAGGGCAAGATGCACAACAGCGAGGATGCATCCACCCGGACGGCAGTCTTGTTCATGGTGTTTGCCCTTGCCCAGGCGCACATGAGTCCGCGGCCAACATCTGATGATGCCGACCTTAGGTATTATCATTCTCTTGTGACCCTACATGGAATAGATTTCTAACCTGCCCCTAGCGTTCGGTATTTCCTTGCCGCACATCAGCTGTTATCAAGAGAGCAGGGAGCTATCCGCCTGGCGAGCATCCAAGCCCGACTGCTGCAGTGCCTCTGGCTCCTGTCCGAGTCACGGATAAACCATTGCTGGAACCTCTTTGGAACTGCTGCGCGCCTTGCCTATGCCATTGGCTTACACAGGAAGCGCCATGCTGATCGAATCGACCGTATCGAGGTAGAGTGTCGACGAAGGACATTCTGGAGCGCATACGCGTTGGATAACTATCTTAGCATGGCTCTTGGAAGACCACGGACGTTTCATGATGATGATATAGACCAGGAGCTACCATCGTGTGTAGATGATCACCAGATTTATGCCGATCACATCAGACAGGGCAGCACCCATGGACAGTCGGTGATGCTGGGGCCAGTCGCATATGCCAAGTAAGTCAACATCTTTCCCAATTGCTCTCATGAAAGCTAACTAGTATGGCAGGATGTCGCGGATATTGAGCATGATTCTTCGCAACGTCTATTCTATACACACAACCTCGCGAAATGACAAGCACGCCTTTGCAACCATCCATACAAAGGAACTTGTCGAGTGGCGAGCAGACGTCGCTCATTTTCTGGACCCGGTGACCAACATGCCCCTGATACCCATCTTTCAACGCCAGAAGAATGTCTTAAATCTGGCCTATTGGCACACCATGATCCTCACTCACCGGCCATTTCTGCTTCGCAACTTTGCACAGCTGCAGAATGGCAGCCGGCCGCGACGTGATGACCATGAATTTGAATCGCGTATAGAGCAAAGCATTCACGAATGCCTGCAAGCGGCCACAAATATTACTAAAACAGTTAATGACATGTACCAAGGAGGTCAGCTTTTCCGAGCATACTGGGTAAGTCACAGTTGGTTTTGTGTCATAACTGGGGACTGCTTAACTAAGATATCATAGTTCACGTCGTATTTTGCCTTTTCCGCGGCGGTCATTCTCTATGTTTACACTATCCAGAAGAGTAACGAACCTGAAGAATCATATTCCGTTTATCTTGCGGCCGCGACTCGCTGTCAAGATCAGCTGTCCAATCTCACGGAAGACGGGTCTCTGATCGCACGGTACTGCTTGGTCCTGGAAGAGCTACGCCTCGAGGCGCTGAGACAGACCAAACAGGGCCAGATTAATAATGCGCGCTCGCCAACACAAAGACACGCCGCTGCAATGACAAGTAACGGCAATGGAGCCGATACGTTTGGAACAACTGACGATGGGACAATGGTTACGGAGCTGGGGGCGAATATGACGGACATGGGGGCTATTGGCGATATCTACGTGACTCCTACCGATTCTCTCGCCGAGATGACAGGCTGGGCTCAGTTTGATGCAATGGTCAGCGTGTCTATGGACGGATACCAGCTGAATATCTAATGTAGGCCATCGCTACTGTGATCTAATCTAATATTTTCATGTATTTATGAGCTATGCGTACGAAGTAATAATATCCACACTCTCTATTAACGCAGCTCTCCGCCCCAACGCCGACTCAGCCCTTTCGCTGAACGGCTTCAACAATCCAATTAATCCGTCCATCTTCTGCAATCTCCGCAAACATAAACGTCTCAGCTGGCATCTGCTTGCCATCCTGCAGCGTCGTCACCGACGCATGGCGCTCCGCAAGCTGGTTCCCATCACGCAAGAATTGTACCGTCGTGAGATCGACGTCCAGCTTCATCTCGCGCAAGCGACGCATGTGCGCTACAAAACCGCCAAAGTCGTATTTCTCATCACCCGCATTGAATTTGAACTCGGGAGTGAAGATTTTCGAGAGGTCTGCTTCGGTGTCCTCAGGGTTGCCGTGGAAGAGGCTTTTGAGGGTGGCTTGGTATGTTTCTGGCTTATCGGCGAAGGTGGCGCGCGAGGGCATTGTGGGCAGATGGTGAATTAAAGAATATGCTTTTATCGTCTGTGATTGTTGTTTTATAAGGAATATTTGAGAGTTGGTGAAGTTATGGTGGCAAGTTCATTGCGCTTTTATGTCTGGTGTAAATACCGGTGCCTGATTATTAGTTTCGTCATTGAGAGAATTCTTGGTAAATTCTTGGTAAATTCTTGAAGGTTTGGCTATAAAGCGCCATTTTAGAATATTTCTGCCTAGATATAGATATCGAAATTTTCTAGGAGAGACTGAAAAGCGCGTCTGAGAATAGAGCTGCCTTTGGGTAGTGTATTGAACAAAAGGCTGCGACTCAACCTCAAGGAAGAACGACGCATATAGGCAACCAAAGTAAGCATTAGGCATCGATGGAATGGAACTCACAACAGGGAGTATATGCTAATTACTTGCACATAAGTAGTCTATACATTTTTAGGTGAAATGGCGCATCATATAAGATATTCTTCCATTCCTCTAGTTTTGATCCTCTCAGTTCGTGAACTAGGGGTTATGAAATTGATAGTTTGCTATTGAGCCGATCTGCAACATTGTCGCTTCCAAGAAACTAGTGCAAGACTTGTAGCTCGTATTTGAGGCGTGATAATGCTATGCGCGGAGGATGCCAAACATTACAACTAGTCCTTTCCCTTTCATCGTTGCCTTCATCACTATTGTTGAGTATGATTACACGTGTGTTGTCAGAGAGGCCGTCGTTTTGGAAGTTCGTCTCTAAGAAAAGAATTTAATATTCCGAGTGCAAGTTAGCACGAAGAAAAGCTCTATTACGGGCAAGTAGGTATGTATATAAGTCTAAAGTTCAAATGGATTTCCTGCTTCTACCCACTGATCCTCCTCTTTTAGGTCTGGCGACCTTTGTACAAGTCAAATAGTCCTCATAGGCCATCCATCCATTATCTCCACGGTTCGGCCACAGCACGTTTTCGGGCACGGGAAGCTGTTATAGACCGCTTACACACAGCAGGCACAGAGACACTAGGCTTCTAGCTAGCGAAAGCTATATCTCTTGAATTAAACTCCAATTGGAGGAGAGAACGTTGCAGAGAGAGGCATGGTAGCTTGCCTAGAAGGATCGTCTGGATGTGTTAAGGCTCCCGTCCTAGCATGAAAGCGTAGCTAAGGTACGTATTTCATAGAGAGATAGTTTACGCACGAAGTTCTCATTACGTTGTTCTGTGTAATCAAAATCGTAATGAAACGCATTTGTTAGTCATCGCATCGTTTGTGTAGTACCATCATGAATGCTGCAGATGATCAGTCAAAACTGAAGCATACCAAAGACAAACGCTAACGATGACTCACTCACGCAAACACCCAACATCAGACATCCCTCCCCACAAATGCGTCCCGATAGACGGCTCGGGTGCGCCAACCGGTGTGCGATTCTACCCTTTATGGCTAAAGCATCAGCTCCTTCAGGATCAATGAGCTTCATTAGCAGCAGACAACCCTCGGCGGCGCATTTTGAGCTATTCCTCTCTAGATCGAGGCCCGAATCCGACGCCGAGACGGCTTCGGGGTAGGGATTTATACAAAAAGAGAGCGTCGGCTCCGTGGCCGGCTCGATTAAATGGGTATCGTATATTTCCTACTTCTCTCACGGCTGCCGCTAGCACCTTGACTGACTCTGCTACTCGCATCTTCCCCCTTCCTCTCAGCCAATACGCGTGTTAAATACTTACAGGACAAGAGCGGTGCCATTTTCATCACACGACCGTAGTTATGTGATGGGGCTTTCCACCACTTGAGTACCACCTGTTGTAAGCCCAGCTTATTATGCCTTCTCAACATCTCTAGCCACTGTTTCTGGCTCCGTTTGTGTGAGCTGGGCCTGGGACTGGGTAGGCGTCTCTTGTTCCAACATATAAATGTCATCGTCAAGCGTATGGTGTCTAAACCAGAAGACAATAGTCTGGACAAGGAGTGCAATTGCCGGGCCGGCCCAAACCCACTATATTAACAAAGACAGTTAGCCACTCGTTTCTTGCTGTCATACTTGACATGATTTCGAATCAACCTACAATCAAATGCGGGTCGATAATGGCGGGGATTAGGATCTCGCCAAGGGCACTCGACAAAGCGGTAGTGAACAAGAAGAGAGACATGACGACAGACTTGAGATGAGGCGGAGACCGCGCATATGCCATCTCGTACGCAGTCACGTTGCAAAAGAGCTCGGAAATAGCACCCAGGGCAACGTTGGGGATCTGCCACCAGATGTTGATGGGCGACACGTCGTCACAAGTGCTGGCCTGGTAGCCACAGGGGCTCGTCTCATACACTCTCCACTGAACAATGGCACCAATGGCACCGGAGATTGCTGCAAGCAGGAAGCCGAATGTCATACGGCGGATCGGGCCGAACTTGATGCCATATTTGGCCAAGAGCGGATACAGACCGTACGAAAGAACCGGCGCAAGCGCGATGATGACGAGAGGGTTGAAGTTGCCGAGAAGATCAGTCGGCGCTCCATTGTTCGTCATGGACGCACCCTGGTTCGACTGCACAGCACCAACACCTCCATCGTTGATGTTGTAGATGGGAAAGTATAGGAAGATGACACAGGCCTCAAACGTGCGCTGCACATCCAGCACAGACCGGTCAGTCCATGTTACCTGGATGCCGCGCTCTGCCAACTTGGTGGGTGAAACAACAGTCCAAAAGTCCTTCTTCCAAACCTGGAATTTGTTGTACTTGAGACCAGTCCAAACAATCTTGAAGAAGTTGGCCAGCTCAGATCCATTTGGCTTCTTGACGACGAGTCTCTTGTACACGGCCAACAGAAGGAAGGGGAGCAAGAAGTACACGATGCCTGGCAAGAGGAAGGATAACCAGAAGCCGACATATTTCTCAGTGTACGTGGTTGCAATGGCAAAGAAGGCGCCGACGTTGACCATGGCATAGAAGATGAGCATCACCCGTTGAATCGTGCGCTCAGGATCGATGATGACCTTTTCTCCCGTCTTGAGCACCTTGATCACTTGCCGCTGGTTGGTGTACTGATCGATGACAGTCGGTGCCACATTGGGCTTGAAGATACCAGCACCGATGGCCAGAGTGAAGAACGAGACGATGAATGGAGCGAGACCCTTGCCGGCTTTGAGAAGGGATGGAGCAGCACCACCAATCATGATGACGTGGGCAACAGCACCAATGATGACACCGACGAGAATTGTCTTGCTATAAGAGAAGAGTTTCGTCAGCACTTTTCACCTACGATTGGGTTCCGCGCATTAATCACACTCACAATCTTCCGAGGCGCGTGTCTGCGATATAGGCACCGAGGATGGGAAAGACATAGGCCAAGAAGGTGAACAAGGTGCTAAAGGCCGAGGCAAACTGAAGACCTTGGTTCCTAAGTGAGAGAAGACAATTGTTACTCGAGGGGTTCTCTTGAGTGGCCATCGCTTCTGTCACTTACAATGCACCAGCGTGGCCGTTGGGATCGCTCTTTGGGACAGCTCCGCTACCATTGCCGCCCTCGGGGAGAGGAAACTGCATAAAATCGTTGAATACCTGGGTGGCGCCATAGTAACTCGCACGCTCAGCAAGTTCTGCTACACAGAGCACCCAAGAGATGGCAGGAATAGAACCGGGGACCTTGCGGAGGGTAATCTTCTCCTCTGCTGTCGGTTCTCTGCCATCGGGGCTTTCTAGGGAGACCTTTTCGATATCGTCGTGGAGTCTGTCGAAAGTGACGCCGAGCTCCTCGCTCTCGATTGGGGCCGCACCGGAGAGGATCTCCGCGGTGCCACGCTCATGCGTGGGACCGTCGGCGATGTGGTCTGCGTCTGTGTTCAGGTTGTCTGGTGAGCGATGTCTATGCTGTGACTTGTTCCTGGAGGTCAACGCATACTCATCGAGAAGGGACTATCCAAACAATTCTTGGAGAGTTTCGTGGGATTCAGCTGGAGCGGGCTATATTGAAGTTGTCTTTCTCCTCGCCACGATACAGTCCAAGAGCAACAATCATGGCAGCCCTACCATACTTATCTATCACAGAGCGTATTGTATGGACATGCTACACAACCACCACAAGATATGAACACATGCACGCTCTGCACCCCAGCCCCGCCCGCAATAAAAGCGCAAACTCGCCAGGGTGTAACACCATACGTGCATTCTAGGGAGCTATTCCCTATCACGTCTTCCCTTACAAAAGCCGGAGTCGATGAAATCATCTGGCGGGCGAGTCGAGCTTTGGGGGTCAACGCCGAGGCTACCTCTACTTGAGACAAAAGTTCCCAAATAGTATATTGCTGCGATTGCTTTTCGATATGATGGGGTGAATCAACCCGATTGCGTGCCTTGGCGAAGAGATGACCATTTTACGGATTATTGCATTTCCCTGTTTTGACAAGGCGCAGTGGAATTGCATCACTCTCGTCCCTCGCCTTCTACATGGCCATGCGTCGTAGGTTCTATAGCTCCGGGATAACATATGCAATCGATGTTCCGAAAGCGCCAAAGTAGCTGCAATGCCGCATCACATATACATGTCAAACCATAACTATGGACGACGAAGAAGGGAGGGAGAAGAATGAGGGCCAGAACTCACCATCAGCATACCTCTCTCTCTCTCTCTTATCACGCCCCAGTTCGACCATCTCGGGTGCCCTTGGACGTTGAATATCCCTTTGGGTACACCAGCCAATAATACGTCGGCGATTCCAAGCTTGCTCCAACTCGGGCTATATCTTTACGAACATGATCTTAACAAAGGCCTATTAGATAACCCGCGATTAAGACTTCCGACACAACAGTCCGGCAATCCGGCACCGTACCAGCATTGGCAACATTGGCGCAATCGAGAATCATGGTTGCGACAGCCGCTGATTTGTCGGCCTGACGCACGACGGCAGCACCCCAGCTTTTGCCCTTGTTCATCTTACCGTTTTGGCATCTTGAAAACAGGCCCCTGGAATGGAGGGGAGGCGAGTGGGTGCGGTTGCGTGATAGCATCGTTGCGTGAGGTGCGAGGCCATGCGGGATCTATCAGATTCTTGATAACGAGTATATCGGCCGGAGGACTGGCCCATTACGGATATAAGATCCGGTATTGTCTCCCCGTCATACTTGAAATAGCGACCTCGTTTTCTCGTCTTGCTTTTTGCTGTTGTTTCCGAGAAGCTCTGGTCAAGTTGTTGCTTGATTGTGGACGTTTACATTGCCATTACTTTGCAGGAACTCATGGCCAAAACAGCAACCAGGCAAAAGTCTACCAAAGGCGCCTCGACCAAGATCCCAGTGATGGACTTCATCTCTCACGAACTGACTGAGACTTGACCCCGCAAAGTCCCGCCCAACGGTCGCTCTATACGCGCACTTACTTTATACGACTGATAGTAGTAGTATGGAATCTTGCATGCCTTGATTCCTCTCCACAGACATTATCCGCGCGTTTCCCCATTGGGTCCCATGATTTCTACAAGAAGTTGGTTTGGTTCGGGGCGATCATCCAACCAAGACACAACGTGAGTGTGGGGGTTTTAAGCGACGGCGGATGAACTAAATCCATGGGCCTCATTAATGGCGCAGATGAGATAAACTGGAATACGCTGCGCTATTGATCAGATAACCGTAAGTGTTGCGCCTTGAACGATGAAAGAGAAAAGGTTGTTGGGCCTCTCTACAGAGTACTTGGAGGTTATACGGTGTACTCGTAAGCTTGAATAGGAAAATGCAGTGCATATTTCGTCAAGCTAGGTACCTACCTTACGTATCACCCGAGACTATACATGATAATAGTGGTAAGAAGAAGAAGGTCGCAAAACAGCGAGTTTGCGAGACACCAACGGACGTCGTTTTGCTTCGAGTAGCAGATGCCGCTCCTCCGCACATGTTTCACAACTTGTTCTGTACCGGGTGTGAAAGTGACTGCGTCTGAGTGAGAATGAGCGAGTATGAGTAGGCTTTACGGAGTAGTCCGCAGAAATGTCTTAATTGCTGCTCTTTAAAAGGTTCATTCATCAACTATTGATCATGTACGTAATTCACATGGATTCTTGGGAAACATCTTGGGCAAGCGGAGAGTTTTCAGTAAAGGACTATAGCGAAACTTTTTTTTTCCATCGAATATATTCTTCTCGAACCCATCTCATCATTACCTAGCCTTTACTGTTATGCTGTATCCCCTCCACCACTTCTGTAGATTCAGAGGCTCGGGAAGGGCCACACGAATCCCACTCAACTCGTCTGGGCGCCAGTTGCATAGCTCATCTCCACCCTAGACGTGATTACTATCGCCTATACATGCATTGAAGCTCTCCTACTTTGGATCTTTGAATCCACAAGCGGGGTATCGTTCTGCAACTTCCCGATTTCATAACAGCATTTGAAGACCGCATGTAGTTTGCGTTACCCACACCTATGTCGCCGCTCATTCAGGTATGCATGGCATTGCTTAGATCGGTGTCATGTACAAGGCAAATGTCATGGAGTTGAATCTGAAGCGGCAGAAGACAAAAAGACAACAAGACACGGGATCTGTAGGGCGAACCATAATCATGACGCCTCGCCTCAGAGTCACCCTTCCATTTCCATACTTGTGCAAAACACCAATTGCTATTGAAGCAAGCACAATACACTGGTTTGGCTCGACCCTTTTTCTGAAACTCATGGACCCTCCAGCCTCTTTCACTTCCGCGGATACTTCAACGCTGCTCATCGGCCGAGTCCTGCAGCTTCAGCTACGCCATACAGCCTTGATGTCCTAATCCTCATGAGTCTTTGCAGACGTTACAGCACCAACGTCCTGCGCATACTCCAACGAAAATGCCACCCACTCGAATCAAGAGCAGGGTACTCCTCGCTGGCTTTTCAGTGGCAAAAAGCTCGGACTCTACTCCGTCAATAAAAGGTAGACGCCTGTTGCCTAACAAAGGGCTCTATCACGCACGGTGCACTCTGATATTCAGCTTCAGACGGCTAGCGACGTAATCGGACACTGCTTTTTCCCACTCTTGCATTGCTTTGCAGCGTGAATATGAAACACACAATAGCTCCTCGCCAGCTTCTCAAAGGATCTTTCTGTAACCGTCCGATGGCCGAAATCATTATACACGTACCTACCTCGAGGTGACATACTGTAGTAGATATAGGAGGTAAGTCAAAATGGGTAAGTGATGCATACGACATTTTACCCTCTGTTTGAATCCACCAAAGTCATCATGCTGCAAATTGGTCAAAGCTTCGCCGACCTGTTGGATGTGTCACCTTGGTTGCTGTTAGTACCCGAGTGGCAAATAAAAAAGCAAAGCCACAGAGGGCCGTCGGAAAAAGGAGATCCAATAGCGATGCTGAGAGTTGAATTCTGCAAGGACAGGCTAGATAGTACTCGTAGCTGTGCCTTTAGTCTACCACCATATACTTCTGTCAAAGTGTTGTTGGTACAAGAATGAATTCCATTGAATCTCGAGTTTCCAAAGCGTAATTCAGCCCCGTCTGTGGGCTGTCAGTGTCTCATACATGGGCCTGTGCTACATGCAGTGAATTTCTATCGAGTACATGTCTGGAAAACTTGATGAACATAAATAAGGTCGGAGTTGCCCCTGCTTGTGCCTCTCGCACTCTCTCGACTTATCATCTTCTTCTTTCTATTTTTTTTTTTTGGCTCATTGACTCTCGTTCCCGCCATTGACGAAAAGATTAATATCTCAATCATGGCCACCAAAGAGCCAAAAGAGAAATGGGGGGAGTATTCCACCAGCGTTGTGCGCCTCACTTTTCTGCCCGACCACCGCGATAAATTAGGCGTCTCTGAACAATGGTACCAGGTCATGGACTCGCTTAAACACCAGCCTAATTTCGCCTATGTTTCCAAGGGAGAATCAATCAATGACGAACTTGATATCATCTTGTTCATTGCCTGGGGTGGTACTGCAAAACCGTCAGCCTCTTTTCTCTCGGGAAATCTCGATTGCATTTTCTCACCCCTTGACACCTTTGTCGTCAAGCAGCCTCAACTGATGTGTAACCTCTCTTTTAATGGGTGGGGTAACAGCCAGTCTTGGTCATGGGACACCAGCGAAATGGGGTTTGACCACATATCGGAGTTTATGATAATTCGCGGACCGGCTCAGGCAACCGAGCTAGCTCTGAAGGAAATCAAGCTGAAAATCGCATGTTATAATGACGCGCGGCACCTTGCAATAGACTGTTGCGGCTATGCTTGCCATGATTGGCTTTTAATGCACGCGTTTTTCGCCCGCGTGGAGGAAGATTGGGAGAAACGTCCCGATGCAGCCAGCTTCCTCCTTGATATAGCCTGGAGGGGCCGGGACGAACGCCGTGAATACCAAGATCCTACCATACCTGATCGCACGCTACCTCCTGAGACAGAACGTTGTTTCCCAAGCGATTTCTGGCAAAAAACGGTCGTCGAACGACTAGAGAGTGTGGGCGCCACCACTTCATCATGGACTTACCACAAGGCAGAGGCTGTCCGTGATAGGGAGGGATACGAGGTAGTTGGAAGCTAATCTGCTCATTGGAACCGCTATGGATGGCAGTTCATGGGAGAGAAATTGATAGGTAGCATTAAGTTGAAGTGGATTTGGATTAACTGGATATATATCGAATTTTGAGCTACCCAATGGAGAATGCAGATGGGTTGTGATTTAGCTATGGGAGAATGGTGTGGCGCCCAGAGTAGATGTCGCAAAATTGAAATTTCACCCACGTTTTTTCTGCTTTCAACTCCCTTTTCCAAAAGGAAAAAAAGTAAAGCATCCTCTAGTTATGATTCAATATACTGACACAGTAGACAAAGCAGACAAAGCAGACAAAGCAGACAAAGCAGACAAAGCAGACAAAGCAGACAAAGCAGACAAAGCAGACAAAGCAGACAAAGCAGACAAAGCAGACAAAGCAGAAGAAGAAGAAGAAGAAGAAGAAGAAGAAGAAGAAGAAGAAGAAGAAGAAGAAGAAGAAGAAGAAGAAGAAGAAGGGCAAGGGCAAGTAGTAATCCCTTTCTCAGTAGACGCCTGGCTCATAGGTAAAGCGAGTAATTATGGCATAGGTAACCCTACTCTATCCTCTGAGCCCTTCCTTTCGACCAATCAAAATTATCCAGGTAACTAGAGAAAATATCATGTCAGTCCTCTCAATAAGAAACGCCTCTGGATGCAGAAGAACCTACGCCATCATGGCAAAATAGGTGTATGCCTCTGCCGTGTCGGTAGCCTTTTTTGGTCCTGAATTTTGGGCAAACTCGCCTTCGTGACTCATAGCCAGCCTTGCGATCCGCACAAAGCCGTCTGATTTTCAGAGTTACGTCAGCTCATGATCTACTCAAAGAGATGTGTAGCTAGGAGAGCGCTGGGAAAGTGCGGAAACATACACACTGATGCTTTTTCGTATCGGACTCCATCTTTTCTTTCAGAACTTAACACGGCTTCCACAACGTTGTTCTGGTTGAGATGCTGGAAAACCAATTCGCCTCTTTTCGAAACTGCTTGTTGATCGGGGACTAGACAGGACAATAATTGTTAGCCAATGGCGTGTTGGGTAAAAGGACTGGGAAATGTCTATAGATTCTTACGTTGGATAACGGTACCATCACTGTCATCCCTTTTCGCCCCATACCAATGAGTGAGTTCATGAAGCATGACACGAGAGAGACTTTTCTCAAATTCATCTAATTTTGTCACTCCCTCCTCCACGCTGTGCCGTCTATCGACTGGTGAAACCACCACATCAGCTAGATCAGTTGGATCCTTGGAGAAAGAGGAATCACAAAAAGTAATCATGTCGTACTTGGTTTGGGTGACTGCATATATCCCAGGACGACAAATTCCAATACTGTTTGGGTTTCCGTTCGAATGATATCTGTGTTTCCATGCCCAGGCTCCCCCGCCCACTACTTGAGGCTGGGTGATATGCAGTTGTCGGTTCATTAGATCGTATGGATCAATGTCGTTCACCGAATACCATCTCCATGGCTTATCGCCACACATCACCAGTGCTTTGGAGTGGAGTTGTGTGAAACCCTTTGCTGGTATGTTCTCATTGCCATGCAGGGCTGTGCTCATCTTATCGTAAACCTCTGGTGGCAAGGGTCAGCTAAGTGGATGCGCAGCATGAATGCTGTACATAAAAGTTCGAAATGAAGCAATGGAAGATGATTATTGACTTACCAAGTATTCTTTGCATAAACTTGTTTTCCGAGTTGGTCCCTTGGTGGTCTGGATTAAAGCCAAACATGGTGTTCACGGCCCTTGCTATGCGGTCCCATTCAAGACTTTCCCTTCGCTTGGTGTCTTGTTGCGGACGGGGTTGTTGAACAAATTTGAGGTCTTTTAAAGCTTTGGCTGACATAGTCGCGGCATCGTCGAAAGCCTTTTGCAGAAGTGGTAGATATGGCTTACACGAGTCATCTACATCCCAGATGTCGAGATTCGCCTCCCCCACGTTCAAGCCAGTGACACGGCCAAGGCTCAGGAAAAGCCCCAAGGCAAATGCAATGAGCATTGTAACTGAGTAATGAGTATTATGAACGATTGAATAGTCAAGTGGGTGCAGATTCGTGTGAGTATATCGGCTGATTTGAAGAAGTTTTGTATTCAAGCCGTGGCAGTAAGTTGGGTAATGATGGTATATATATCTTTTACTATAGTTGATACTTCACAGGAACAACCAGATAAGACGGCATATACCACTCTTCCTATGAAACGAACTTCACCATGACGCCGCTTCAGAGCTTTGGCCCTGTCAGATGGGAAGTTTGATTGCTAGCAGGTTGTCAGATAGACCACGGCGACGGCGCTGATCCGCATGATCGGCTTTGCTCATCATGGAAGGATACTCACAGGATTACTACAATGCTTAATTGCCATATTCAAGTTTGCTAACTATACCATACCTTACTCATCTTTCCGGCATGCGCTTATTCCACCTAGATCACCGTGCGTTACTTCTCATCTGCATCAAGCCGTGATCATGAACAATGACACGCGCGGCAGCCTACCACCTGAAACTTGAACCGCTATACGAGCTTTCGGCGCCGGGGCCATAATGTCACGTCGGTGAGGGCACTTGCATGTGTGAAGAATCGGAGATGCCGTAAATCGCCGCAAAATCCCATGGGAATAGACCTAAGTGTGATCCGAGGTTGGCGAAGGTGAACCAAGACATGCGGCTCGGGGGCGCCGTCGTTGCCGCGAATTTGTGGACATAGCTCTGGGCTACAGTTTTAAGAACAAACAACATAAAAATAGAGATGAATAGCAAATATCTAATAATTCAACGTCTTGATCAATCAATAGAGTAAAACAAGGCTTTCAGAGCTAGAGCCATGACCTGATCAGTCGGCTCGGACACCTGCAGGTTTGGCGGCTCGGACACGCCGTTCAATGCTACGAATGCAAGGATATAGTTTTCATCAATAGTTTCAATATGAGATCAAATGACCATCATGATAAAACAGCAAAGGGCAAACAGATAACAGCTGGTGAGCTCAGCCGGAGGCAGTGAGCAGAAGCGCCCAACTGATCTGGTAGGACGTTCTCCTGTTTAACGGAAATATATCGATGATGTTGATAGATACTTGCTAAATTCGTGAAAATATATATACGCTTCGTCTCGCGGTTTCCTTTCGCATATCATCGCCATCGCTCTCGATTTTACTTCTTGGCTCCAGTCTGCGTTTCTTTACTGTCTCTTTGATTTTGGTGTCAAGATATCTTTTGCTCAAGCTGCCTTGTCTAAATGTATGTTGGCACGCATGCAATCTGGAAACTATGTTTCCTCATTATTCCTTGCTTGGCATTACCATCTCTATACGCCACAGATGGTAAACCAATGACCTCTTCCTCCGTCGCAAAGCCACTCACCCGGTCTACAAGCGGCGTTTCAATCGACCCCTATCACGCCACACGCATTCTCACAGTCTACCCAGTACCAACCTTGACCACTTCCAGTGATCAGAGAAGTAATTCCATTGTGCCTCAAACTTCGTACAAGATTGTTGTTTCCCACCATCATTCGGTTCCCCAGTATCATAGTGTTCCTGAGCATCATACCGCTTCCCCCTATCATAGTGTTTCCAAGCACCATGATGGTGCTGAGCCTCATTTTTACACTCCTGTTCACACTGATACTACCTTCAAAAGCACAACGCATTCTCAAAGGCTCAGTAAGAGTGCATCTACAACTCCCAGCCGCAGCAAGGAGACGAATGGAAGACATCAGACATCTACAGGAAGATCTAGGATGTCTTCTATTCATTGGACGACGACACCGACATCCAGTAGCTTGAAAAGCAGTCCGAAGGGCACGAAGTCCAAGCACTCTGAGGGAACGTCAACAGCCTCTCGGCCCCATTCCAGTATACCAGCTCATCAAAGCTCCATATCATCAAAGATATCTACTTCATTCAACCACCCGCAGTCTTCAACAAGCCAAAAGCACACGTTAACTTCGAAAAAGACTTCCAGTCAAACAAGGGTGGTTAGCAGCAAAAGTCGGACGAATTCTTTGAAACCAACAACCAAGGTTTCAAAAATCACCCACCAACTGACGCAGACCAAGATTACAACGAAACCCACTCCCCTGACCCGCACAAGCATAGGGGCTACGCGTTCCTCTGATGCTGAGGCTTCCAGACAACCTCGAACTTCCAAAATCTCAAAGAATCCAAAGACATCTTCAAGTCGACCATCCAGCTCAACACGCAAAGGTAGCTCTGCAATGCAAACGAAGTCCACGATTATTGTAGCCCCAACCCCCAATCGGCCAAAACACACGCCAGAGGTTACACACCATTCGAAGCAACGGTCAATGACACCTGCAGATCACACTACTACTTTGAGTTCAAAAAGTACCCTCAGTTCTATCGGGGGGGAAAAGCCCATCTCAACTTTGACTGAAAAGACTCCCAATTCAAGTTCAACCGGAACCAGTACCACTCAGGGCCACCCTAAGCAGACAATCAGCTCAACCTCTACCAAGCATGGGGCGAGCTCACCGAGTTCCAAACATCACACCAGTACAGCCACTTCAAGAGACACGAGGAAATTGTCCTCCACAGGAAGCCGAGTCAGTTCAGCGTCTACCAGGCATCGAAATAGCATGACAACGGCCACCCAAGGTCAATCAGCTAGCGTCCCACACCTTACTACGGCAACAAGAATGAAGACATCAAGTTACCCCATACAGACGATAATTACTGGTTCCAAGGGAGCTGTAGTAACTTATGAAGCGACGCGGGACCCCAAATACACGACCAATACGAAAACAACAACTTCAACCAGCGATCATGGTGATCGTGTTATCATATACCCTGGAGGTTGGAGATGGATCCCAATTCGGTTGCCACACTTGAAGCTTCCACCGTTCAAACTCCCTTCTCCTCCCGCGATGAATCCAGATCCTGAATCTAGAGATCACGACCATGACCACGACCATGACCACGACAATGACCACGATAAAAGCAGCAAATTGACAACCAAAAGTGCAAAGTGTACCACAACAAGGCCGCCTAGATGCACCAAGACTGTTTCGTTCATATCTACCAAGACGGGATACACAAGGTGAGTCGTGCTCCGTCAATAAGCAATCAAAACAATACATCATGACTAACGAAAGCGTAGCACAATTCTCGGAACATGCTCGCCTGTCAGTGGCTGCGTCTCGGGAGAACAAAGCACCACCACCACAACGATATCGACTTTTGTACCAACCATTTGGATCGATGAGCCGTATAAGTCCGAGGTTCCTACAGCCCCTGAGGAGGTGGATGATGAAACAATTCAATACTTCAAGGATCTTTTCAAGAAAGAAGGTATCTCACTTGAGGTTGACCGGCGACTTGTGGCTCATTGTGGCGGCAACACGCCGGGTATCCCTCTTTTCTGCTTGAACACCTTCAGCGCCGATTTCTGTAAAGCCGTGCAGGCGGATCCAAGCAAAAAAATATCCAAAACTTTTGCAGGCCTTGATGCTACGCCAGGGCCAATTGGACCGCCCAATATGATAGGAGGTCACCATATCGGTATGCAGAAGAGGACGCCATTGGTTAGCAGAACTCTCTGCAGCGACTGGAGCTTTGAGTTCCATTGGAGTGGTGCTCATTCCAAGTGTCGAAAGTCTTGTCTCGACTATCTAAGCATCATAACAACCCAGTGCCTTCGATTCAAGACCAATAACGAGGGTTCTCTTGATGCTGGTTGTGGTACTTACAGCCTCGCGATCAAATCTGTTCCCACCATTTCTACCACCACCACCACCACCACCACTACAGAGTCGCCTCCTGAGCCCACCGAGATTCCAAAAACGCCCCTAGAGCTGAAGCCAGCCGTGTGTGCAGACGAGTCTAATTTCCCAGGACATTTGGCCGTCCAAAGAGGAGATGTGGAGAATCAAGCCAAAGGTTTCTGTGCGACCCTATTTTTTGATCTTTTGGTCAATATGAACTCTCAGAGTGAGACTCTTTGGGCCGCTAACAAGGGTTTGTACTATTCTATTTCCTGGATCAAAGGTTGCGAGACAACGGCAGATAGTCAGAATGTTATACTTCCCGTGGGCGATGATAACTTCAGCTGTTGGAAAAATCTTTTCAAAACATACACGGACTGTAAGTTCATCATTCTCCATCAGATGAGCCTAACTAACTTGTGTTATTCACAGGCAACAACGGCGGCGTGGGTGGATACATCGATGCTGGTTGCCTTCGATACCAGTTCAACCCGGCAAAGTAATCGCATGTGTCAGGCACGAATACCCAAAACACCAAACAATTGTGCCTCATACCCCTTTGGCAGAGTTTCCTCTCTCCCTCTCTCTCTTTTGTTTCCTGGCGTTCGTTATTCAACAAACGCGGTCAGATGATTTTCATGCTTTTGTGTTCTACTAGCTGCTTCAACAGCATGCACTTTCAAGATCTCATAGATAGATATATAGATTAGCTGCAATAGACAGACTTCTTCATGGTTATTATCTTCTGATCCCCTCGCTCAGTATTATCAATCCTGTCGCCTACGTTCTACCGTAAACGAGGTTAGGACCTCGAAAGCGGAACGGTTTTAATGACTTTATACATCTGTATAGAACAATTGAGGTACGGTTACGTCGAATCGATATAAATTGGAGATAAAAGGATATGGTGAATATAGATGGATAAAAGGTGTCCAGCTAAACGACTCGGGTGTAAGTAGTTATTGCTCAGTATTCCATGTCCGGATGAAGATGCGAGGGGGTGCCGGAAACTCGAGATTCCAACGGATGAATCTTTATCCCCGCACATGGCCGATAGAAACGGGTCGCCTCCCGATTATAGACCATTGTCTAGACAAGCCCATAGGCCTACTTCTTGTGCTTTTGGCTATAAATCGTTACTGATAACATCAATTGATCTTAATTACATCTTGAAGCGATTACAATAAAACTACTCTCATCATGGCGCAGAAAATCCTTCTCATCAATGGCCCCAACCTTAATCTCCTTGGCACCAGGGAGCCTCAAATCTACGGATCAGCAACTCTAAATGACGTCGTCAAACAAGCAAAAATCCAAGCAGCGGAGCTGTCTATACAAGTCGAAGCCTTTCAATCCAATCACGAAGGGGCCATTGTAGATAAGATCCAAGCAGCAAGAGGGGAAGTGGATGGAATCATCATCAACCCTGGCGCCTTTACACACACCAGCGTGGCGATTCGCGACGCTCTCCTTAGCGTTGGAATTCCTTTTGTTGAGATTCACGTCTCGAATGTCCACGCGCGAGAGCCATGGAGGCGGCATAGTTACTTGAGCGATAAAGCGCAGGCGGTCATTTGCGGATTGGGCGTGTTTGGATATACAGCTGCAATTGAGTTTGCCGCGAAGCATATGAAAGTTAATGTTGGAGCATCCAAGCTGTAGAGTATAAATAAACATCGAATTCGTTGATATATAAACATCAAATGATCATTCTACAACAGTGCTTGAGTTTTATAATTCATGGTAGACCGTCCAAGTGACAAGTCGCGCTCCATCCGCCTCCATGACTGTGCTGCCCTCCTGGCCATTGTCTCCGGTACTCGCCCATCGCTCTCCAACAGTGCCCTATTAAATACTTCAAAGCTCAGCCAGCCTTGATATCCGAGGTTCCTGGTGATGACTTCCAAGATTCGTTTAACTGGTAGATACCCGCCGTGTTGGCTTTCTCCGTAAAACAATCTGGCATTCCGAGACCAGCTCATTCGAGGCGGCTGCTCCTCGTTGTAGAATGGATGACTACTGTCAAGAGGCTGAGACAGCTTTTCCGCGTCCGCCATTTGCACCAGAAATAGCTTTTTCGGATCAACAGAGGCAATCATCTCATGAAGAGAGGCTTCGACCGCTTCGTCGCAATTATCAGTTCGGCCGGATGATACCGACGGGTCTGCATAGATTCGACCGGCAATGTTAAAAGTGTCAAGGCAAATGCCGAAATTCGGGCGGTTGACTCTTTGCACCACATTCCAGCTCATCTCCCATGTGTCAACCCGTGTGCCCCAGCAGAGAGCCTCGTAAGCAAATTTAATGACTGGGGAGGCTTCAAGACCAATCTCGGCAATCTCAACCATGTCTTGGACAATCACATCCATATCTGACGATACTTCTGAAGGGGGAAGAAAGCTACTCGGAAGTAGTATCATCTCAGTCCCTAGAATGTGCGCCAGTTGCACCCATAATTTCGCATCATTTAGTTTTTGCTGGTGTAATTGCCGGTCCACTAGTCCCTCGTAATGCATAAAGGGCTGTAAACACAGAATCGATAGTTCCCGATCGTCACATAACTGACGAATTATGGCTGCAGCTGCAAGTTGATTGTTCGGCTGGTCGCCTCCAGGCATTGTCTTTGTCAAATCGACGAGATCTTCGAAGAATAGTTCGACAGCCCTGAAGCCGTATTTTCTTGCCATGTCAAGTTTATGCTCAAGGGAGTGTCCCGCGGAGCACCGTCCAAGGGATACGGTGCAAATACTGGGTTTATACGACATGTTGATGAATTAATTACAGACAAAAAGAGTAGATTATGTGATAGAGGCAACAATATTGGAAGGTGAAATAGACAATGATGTTCAATTTCACTAGATGTTTCCCATCCTACCCTGCTTATGGGAGAGGAAACTACCTGTATCTTATAGCAAAGAACGGGCATCATCCCCGTCAGATCTTATGTTATCACTTCCCCCCCAAATCAGGTCATTATTCACGTATTTAACGATAAGAAAAGTGAGAAATCATTCCTCTGGAATCATGTCGGATAAAGATTAGCCCTGTAGACATGCGCAGGATGGAAAGGAGCCGCGAGTAGCCGACATGTCTTCATCATCTGTTATGAAGCGGCCTCGATGGTACACGAAAGTCAACTAGTCGTCATTATTCCTCCACTGCGGAAGGGAAAGATGTAAGCTTTGTAAGAGTGCCGTGAAAGAACATAGCCAGCCAATCGAGGTGCTCGACGCTTCCCGTCTGGATAAGGCTTTAGCCGGATCGCGGGGAACTTCGCCCTCGATCCACAGATGATCGCGGCTATGTTGTCACCCCACGCTTCGTGTAGTATGTAGTATTATGGTCCAGTGATCTTAGTCCTAGCAAGGGGGAGAAAGCCGGATATTCGTCGAAGCGAGTCCCCTTGCCAGTAATCCATCAGACTTGTTTTCAAATCCACTGTCTCTTAAACTGGAATTCATTCTTAATATCTTCACTCTTCAAAACCGCCCGTGCCAGCAATGTTATGACCAAGACCCAAAGTCTCTTCAATTATAGCGTTTGACAGAGCAAACATCACCCGCGGCTTTGCAATGAATTCCCAGCAGTCCACAATGGCCATGTCCACTGAATCCATCGTCAATGATATTGAACGTGCAGGTCTCGACAAGCATGGCTATCTATTCGGTCAAAAACTCACACATTCGCTGTCTCCCTTCCTCCATCAAGTCATCTACGACCATCTGAACCTCCGCTGGGGCCAGGTTCGTCTCGATTCGGCTGACCTACGGCTCTTTTTAGATCTGGTGCAGCATCCATCATGCTACGGTACGTGATTTTGACCATCCCACAAACAGCCGCTTTGTAATCTAATTACATGATTCCTATCTAGGTGCATCAGTTACAATGCCAAACAAAGTGGCCATTATTCCACATCTTGATGAAATGACCGACGAGTGTCGCGACGTGGGAGCCTGCAACACAGTCTTCTTCAAAGAGAGGAATGGCCAGCGAATCTTGTGTGGTACAAACACCGATGTCATTGGTATCCGCGACTCTTTTTTCTACAATGTCAAAGATCCGGCCTTCACATACCACGGCCGGCCAGCTCTCGTCATCGGCGGAGGAGGTGCCGCACGAAGCGCCATCTATGCCTTACGAAAATGGATGAACGTCAAAGAAATATATCTCGTAAACCGCGATGCTTCTGAGGTCGAGGCCGTCATCCGAGACTGCACATCCCGAGGCTACGGCGAAGGTCTCTTACACATTGCCACCGCAGAGCAGGCGAGAAGGGTTGACGGCCCTGGTGCCATTGTTGCATGCGTGCCAGACTTCACACCGCAAACAAGCGACGAGAAACTTGCAAGACAAATCACGGAGATTCTGTTAGATAAGAAGCACAAGGGTGCAATGCTTGAAATGTGCTATAACCCAACACCATTTACTGCGCTGGGTATGCTTGCCGAGAAGAAAGGTTGGAATGTTATTCTAGGAACAGAGGCACTTATATGGCAGGGCTTGGAGCAAGATACATATTGGACTGGAAACACGATTGATGGATTGCCGGCCGAGAAAGTAAAGGCTGCGATTGCGGCGAATGTAGCTCAGAGATCACAATCGAAATTGTAAAAGATAGATAAACGTTATAAACACTCATATTAGACACTGGACTCTGAACTGCTTGATACTAGAGGTGTGAGATTCCCTCCAGTGCCAGTTGAAAACCTTCATAACGACATAGAAAGGGGTCTATGAAATGAACACAGGTAAAGTTTCTTCACCAAGTCGCCGGCCTAGCGCATTTTCTTCTGGTCAGTTCATTGAAGTTTGTTGTAATAGCTTTAAATCATCGGAAACATTATTGATTCGCAAAAGGACAGTACCTAGGTATGTATAATCAAGGCATTTGCTCATATCATAAAGTGGGTAGTTACTACATATTGAGCGACTCCATGTCTACACCTTCACCGTTCCGCCTTCTACCTGCTCAGCCGAAGTTTCCTTCTCTTCATTATCCCAGCCCATCCCTCGCGTATTCTGTTCGAATTCCTGATTCTCAGCTCGAAGCTCCTCCATTAAAATTTTGTTTGCCTTCCTCGTCGGCTTAATCCTGAATAGCCGATCCATGGCCTCAAGAGGCAATGCCTTTGTCTCGGGAATGCAGAAAAATACAAAGACGACGGAAATTATCATGAGAGATGCGAAAAAGAAATAGACGCCATATCCCCACGCTTCAAACATTTGCTGGGTGAATCTCGCAATGATGAAATTCCATAGCCAGTTATTTGCCGCAGCGTTAGCCTGGCCGAGAGACCGTGTATTCTGGTCAAACATTTCGGAGTTGATGACCCACGGCGTTCCATTCCATGACGGCGTGTAGAATGCCGTCCAAAGATAGAAGAAGAAGATGGCCGCGATGCCTCCAGAGGATAACGTAGTGTTGCTTTGGTTGGAAGCAGGATCCGAAATCTTGATGTATGCTCCAATGAACCACATACACAGGGAGCCGCCGATGGCACCAATCATCAAAAGGTTGCGGCGTCCCATGTGATCGATGAGCACAAGAAGCCAGACTAGGGTCAAGGCTGTCTTGACCACTCCAAAGATGCCTGTCGTGAGAAAGCTTGTATTGGTTCCTTGGACGCCGATGCTACGGAAGACAGTCGGGCTATAGTAATTGATCGCGTTGATGCCGGAGCCTATGCATCATTAGCAAGAAGACATTGCGAACAGAAAGCGGGAACCCTCACCATTCTGGAAGATAAATAGAAGAGCACCAAGCAAGAACCTCCATTGGATTTTGCGCTCCTTGAGAGCCAGGAATGGCTTCCAGAAACCAGCACCAACTTCTCTGCGGTAGCGATCCAGATCTTCGTCAATGAAGGCCACTTCCTCCACGATATACTTATCGTCACGGTCAAGCTGTCTCATCCAGCAAAGAATTTTCAAAGCTTCCTCTCGTTTACCCTTCAAGAAGAGCCAACGAGGAGACTCGGGTATGAATATGGCGCCAATCAGGAGCATTCCTCCAGGGATAAGTTGGACGGCAAATGGGATGAGCCATTGTGAGTGGCTGGGCGCAAGTGTTGTGTTTACACCGTATGTGATCCAGAACCCGACCAATCCACCAATTTGCCACCCTAGCTCATAGAGTCCCACGAGACGTCCACGTACGGCTGGAGGAGCAAGCTCAGAGATGTAAATGGGCGTCATGTTGGAGCATCCTCCCACTCCAAAACCAGCCAGCACGCGGCCACCGATAATCAGGCCAAGGCCACGGCTGCCATTGGCACCAAGCATGATGCCGGCTCCAACCATAAAGAAGGCGGCGAAGGCGAGGAGAGACTTCCTGCGTCCCAGAAAGTAACTGGAGACGTAGGCGGCCAAACTTCCGAAGAAGGCTCCGGCTTGATAGACGGATACAATGTTTTGTTGGATAAGTGTGAGGTGTGACTTGGAGTATTGCGCAAAGTTAAACTCGTCCTCAAACGAAGGGAGGGCAAGAGTGGTGCCAATGAAGGCAGAGTCGTAGCCAATCATGCATGCTGCAAAGGATGCGGTAGCAGCGCAAGCATACACTCTCCAGTTGTAGACGGCCTTTGGCGTCGGCCGGTCCTCCTTCAAAGAAAGAAGAGTCATGATGGAAAGACGTCCAGACACTTCAAGAGTGCTAGTTGACTTGGAACCTCTGGAATCAAAGGAAAGTCCCCCGGGGATCGTTGATTGACTTATAAGAGGATGTGACGATCCATTAGGCTGGTTCAGCTTCCCCCACGGGGAAGAAGTCAGCACTGAAGAGCTAATTCATGCACACTTGGTCGGGATTGTGATGGAATCTGGGGTCCAAGGGCTGGAAGCGGAACAAAGATCTTGGTGGATTTGGGGTCGGGATGTGGAGCCGCCACCCACACGGGGATAAAGGAATATCCAGACGGCTGAGGGTGGGAAGCATTTTAACCAGCATCAAACAATGCTGGCAGCCACTAGAACTATCCATGTGACCTTTACCAGCCTCTTACGTATCATGGGAAACGCCGGAAATCAAGGAGGATATACGCTGTTCTGAGTCAAGAACATTGTAATCGTGATGATTAAAAGTCTGTACTAATACATGGATTCTATCAAGTAAATGCCCTTAGACGCCAGAGTCCGCATGAAACATCTCTTCCAATGTACAGCCTGGAGCGAAGCCGAGATTCATCATGAACTGGGGGTCCACGTCGATGCTGTCAGCATAGTCAATGTTACCCAGCTCCTCTAGAATGGCATCGTAGTCGACTGAATCGGTATGAGATTCCCCCGCTTGTAGAATTCGGCCAACTGGCTGTATTGGGCCGACGGAAGATGGTACAAACATCATGCCAAGATCCGGCGGGAGCTGCGCGGGAGAATATTTATGCTGGGTTGCCGTAAACACCTGAGAGCCGGTGGGCATGTGTACATCCGCTGGGATCAATCCATATCCCTGGTTAAATGATCCCGTTGGAGAATCCTGGTAATCATCTCTACCTTGACCAGTCGACTTGTTCCGACCCAATGGCTCCAATCCGACGATTCCCCCCCAGGAGTTATTTGTCGCCAATGTCTTGGGCGAAATGCATATAGTACTTTTAGTTATTTCTTGCTGCGACCACACTGCCTTGATTGTGTTTAATGCCGAATTCCACCTCTTTGCTTCAGATGTCCGCATTTCATCCATTATTCCCTTTTGTTGAACAAGTAAAAAGAGAGCAACTGTGATGGGCGGGGTGCCGCAAGCCCCGAAATTCGTTATGCTAGACTCGACAACTTCCAAGAAGTTGGATATAAGCGACGATCGCTGGCCCGGAACAAGCTCAACCGTCGTGGCCAAGAACATGGCCTGAGCAAGGAAAGCCGATGGTAACATTGGCGTTGCCTCTCCGGCAATGACCGAGTTACAAAAGCTGAATTGTGAATTCAATGATGACACGAGGTCTCCGACAGCAACAGCTTTGACAGAACCGTTCTGATGAATCTTTCCGGCCGCGTGTGTACTTAATATCCGAGCGAATCGATTCAGCTGGTCCAGTGTGGTGAGGGAGTGTGTGATTTGGGGACGGGCAGATTCAACATTCAATGAGAGCTTTCCGAAGCCGTAAGTCGGACAGAAAGAATCACTAAAGCTCGATCCATGCCGAGATAGTTCTGCCGTATGAAGATCTTCTGTGTCCAACAAATGGGATGGCTGTCCAATGCACATCGATGTCAGAGTCTCGACAAGATTACAAGCGGCGCCCAACTTCGCCAGCGTTGATCTTTGCACTTCATTGTGCGTTTGATATACTCTGCCGGATCGCATATAAGAAATAAGACGCATTGCTTTTCCTGCAATCAAGGATGCAGCCAGCATGCTCTCACGGCCGATAAGAATAATTGAGTGGAGGAGAATTGCTTGGATGTCGGAAATAATGAAATGATCCTCCTCTTGCGGAATCCAGCTGCGAGCCACTGTGAAAATCTCGGCTGGCGATATAATCTCCTCGCTTATAGGAGGAGCGGAAGAATGTGCATCTTGGAAAGCTGCGACGGCCATGGCAGACCAGAGAACAGCAAGGCTAGAGGGAGCAATGTTATTCTCCCCTACATATCCAGATACACTCTGGCCTTGGGAATTGCATATCGCCGCCGTTGCAAAGACTTGCTCTCTGTCGAGTATAGGGAGCCAGCAGTGGGTATATGCAAAGTAAATCTCGAGGAGGTGTTGATGATTCGAGGGGAGCTTCAAAGCTCGATCTCTCACTGAGTTGGGCTCTTTCAACGAGTAAGCTTGGTCAAACTTTGGTGCGTCTTCCGGATGTGATGTTGCCAACGGCAGTCTCGTTATGCTGATTGACTCTTCTCCAACGTCGCCCTCCGTGTCCGAGTTCTCGGTATTAGACGCTTCCACTCTTTGCGTACCGCTTTGGCAAAGCAATGATTCGATCTCTTTATGAACCCGGCACTTACTCCATTGCCTATGCAACTTGTTTGCAACTTTGCTTTTGCTCATAAGAATGTTCGCGCCATCCTTGCCATCGTCCTTGACCAGTAGTTGATAAAGAGCTTTCTCGCAGTCAGGGTTACTCTCCAGTAGCCATGCTAGCGATAACTCAATGGCTCTTAGATACCCGCTTTGGATTCCTCTCTTCTTGGATGCTGGTGTATATGAGCAGGGGCGATTTTGAGACGCGCAGCGGCCGCAATGTGGGCGGCCACCGTCGCATTTCTCCCGAGCTGTTCTGCAACCATCACAGGCCAGGGATACCCGTCGTCTTTTGGTGGTCGCGGTTGTCGTATCTGGTTTCCTATCAGAATCCAATTCGTCTGTTGATCTCTTTCGAGGAGGCATCCTGGCCGTTCATGTCTCGATGACGGTTGCTGTGAGAGCTGAAATCTGAATCGTCGTTCCGTCAATCTCCAACTGCCATGCCAGCATCATAACACTCGACGCCAGCATCAAGTTTGCACAAGTCTGTATGAATGAAATGCCGAGAAAAGCTGAAATATCTTCACAGTTCTCCCTCGGCCGCGCTTTTGATCAACTTGCGTAACTCTTGTGATTCATTCCGCTGCCCATTGGATAGGAGCATGACTGGGGAAAACCTGGGGTAAAGCGAGCTAGAGTTTCTAGCCGGTGGCAAATTCGATCCGGATAAATGCTTATCCCCTGTTGCTGTCAACAAAGTTTAGAACCGTCGGCGGCGCCTTGTGATGAATCCGAACCCTCATCAGCGGAAATCTTAGCAATCGTACACATCCCAAGAAGCCAACGGATACACTTGAATTGGAGCGGAATGAACCATTATGGCCGGCGTCAAGAGATCGTTGGCTGTCATGATGAACCTCAGCGAAGGACCAGTCAGTGTCGATGGTCGGCTGAGGCCGCATGCCTTTGTCAATTCATCGTCTGATGCGTCGGAAGTTGCATCAAGGACTCCTACGCCGCCGTTCACTCCTTCTAGAGGCAAGATCCCAAACTTCAGTTCTGATGCCTCTCTAGCTTTAGTAGGACTGCGCGGCTCCGGAAAATCGACATTGGCTATTATGGCCGCGTCGGCCTTGAAAAAGAAAGTCATCAATGTTGAGGTTGCATTTCAGTCAGTCACTGGTTCGTCGAGTTTGAGCTTCAAGCAAATCAATGGAAACGCCGAGTGTCATCGTAAACAAGCCGATGTACTGCAAGATATCATCGAGCAGAATCCGACAGGATGCATCATCGTCTGTCCATGGATGGAGAGGAAAATCCAGAGCCTCCTTCGGCGGTTTTCAGCCACCAATCCCGTCATCCATGTCATTCGAGATATCGATGCTGTCCAAGGTCACCTAAAACTCAAGGATAGGACAAAAGCCCACAACTTGATGAAGATGAGCAGCCTGTTTTATCGCAGTTGCACTAACCTGGAGTTTTTCAACGTATCTGAGATTCGCGAGACAAACCTCGAACGAAATGGGACGAATGACCGCGGTTTTGCGACAAATGCGCCGCCATATCTCGCTCTAAAGCAAGCCGAGAGACATTTTCTCAAGTTTCTGTCACTCATTTATCCGACGGGCACCATCCCGTTCTTTGAGTCTGCATTTCCGCTTGCCAGCATTGCACCCGAGGACAGACAATTCACATACTGTCTCTCGGTACACATTCAAGATATCTTGAGCGGGAGCCAAGACTGCGATGTTTCGACAGTTGGTGTGGACGCTGTTCAAATCTTTGTCAATAATCTGACAACAGCCGGCGATCTCCCTGATGGTGTCGATGGGTTGGCGAACAAGATTACCGAAGCTATCGGCATTGTACGAAGAAGCACCATGCTACCCATATTGCTACACATCAAACTACCCGAGGTTCCCAACAGCAGGGTAGTGCGATCATACCTAGATCTACTCTCACATACCCTATCCCTGGCACCGGAGATGCTCACAGTCGACCTGCGCCTCGATCAATCTGATCTCTCCAGCATTATTTCCGCAAAGAGCCGATCAAAGATTGTTGGAAACTACTTTATGTCAACAGACATCCAATCTTGGGAGTCTTCAACTTGGACATCCTGGTACCAGAAAGCCTGCCAGCTCGGCTGCGATATGGTGCGGCTGGTCCGACAAGCCACAACAATGGAGGACAACTTTGTCATTTCACGGTTCAAATCCAAGATTTCATCTCTCAAAACTCATAAACTACCACTTATTGCATACAACTGCGGGCACCTCGGTCGACACTCGGCCTGCTTTAACCAAATCCTCACGCTGGTAGCTCCTAGTCCTGTTATACAGGCTGACGAAAGATGCGCTCCATATCCTTACATCACGGCCAAGGAAGCTACAAATGCCTTATATGCGTCTTTTGTATACGACGCGATGAAACTATACGTGTTCGGAGCCAACGTGGGGTACAGCATGTCCCCAGCCATGCATAATGCAGCATTGTCATCCTGCGGAATACCACACCACTATGAGCCTTACTCTGCCGAGTCCCTCAAAGCCGTGGAACATCTCATATACGATCCCAATTTCGGCGGAGCATCAATCGGGTTACCCTTCAAAGTCGAAGTGACGACTTTGACCAAATACCTCAGCCCTCATGCCAGAGCCATCGGGGCTGCCAACACTCTAATTCCCATTCGCCAGCTCAAGTCAGATGGCACCATACCAACAGGCTCTGCCCTTTTGGCCGGCGTCAACAGAGCTGGTCCGGTTCTGGCTCTATACGGCGAGAATACCGACTGGATCGGTATTCGAGCTTGCATCCGACGAGGGTTATCCCCAGCCAACGCTGTAAGATTGGCCACTTGGGGATTCATCATAGGTGCAGGAGGCATGGCGCGTGCTGCAGTTTACGCCATGCTGCAAGTTGGCATCAAGAACATCGCCATTTACAATCGGACGACGGAGAATGCGGAGAAATTGGTGTCCCATTTCCAACAGCTACTCCGAGAAACGGAGCAGACTTCGCTCCCCAACGACCAAGAAATAAAGTTCCATATTTTGACCTCTCTCGACCAACCTTGGCCATCAGAGTACCGATACCCATCTGTTATTATATCCTGCATTCCGACTCATCCGATAGGCAACACGCCGTCACCCGAGTTCAAGATGCCAGATGCATGGCTGGGCCATCAAACAGGCGGCGTCATTATTGAGCTTGGGTACAAGACGTTGAATACGCCCCTCTTGAAGCAAGCCAGAGATGGTGCTTCTCGAGGTTGGGTGGCCATGGACGGTCTAGACCTGCTTCCAGAGCAAGGATGCGCACAATTTGAGTTGTTTACAGGTAGAAGGGCTCCAAGGCGGGTCATGCGGAGGGAAATCCTGGAGAAATACAGAGATGAGCATGGCAAATCACATCTCGAGGAGTTGCAACACAGATTACAGTCTATAGTTGAGCAGGACTCGTGACGAGTGTGACCGAGGCAAGCAACGAGTGCCAAGTCATTCCTTCAAGGACGAGATATTTTACTAGAACGAAAACTCGTATATAACTGTTCAGATGATGTTGGTGACATTCAATCACATTTTTTCCCTTCTGCACACCAGGATATAACAGTGTGAATTCCAACAATGAATGTAGTGCAAAATCTATTCATTGCACCACATACTTTTAAGGAAACATTCGATTTTCTCGATAACATGGTGCAACAGCCCCAACAACTCCTTGGCCAAGGCATCCCAGCTTCATCCGGATATTTATCGTCAAGAAGCACAAACGGTTCTCCATCTGTGCTCCGTCCTCTTCTCCGCAGTTGGCCATAGCTACCCTAATGTCTGGTCCCTACAGGAACCCTGGGCACGGATAACTGTCGAATAGATGTTGGCACATGCCAACAGTGAATCTTCCACCATAATGGACAGCATGGAACGTGTCATTCGCAAGTGTCACGCCAGAAAGTAACTATACGAGAGATTGCCATGCGAGGCAACTCCAACATTAACCCAGACAGCAAATACCTTACTGTCATGTGGCTAAGGAAAGAAACATCTTACATACTCATTCTTCTTGGCAGAAAGATTGAGGCAAAAAGAAATTGACAACTTGAGCACAATTTCGGGGGCCGTAATGAGATCTCTTGAACCTCCTAGGCTGCTGTATTTGCAATGTTTGCTGGATGATACTTCTGATCACCAAAAATGTTAGGTTTTAATTACGTGCTGCACCCGTGCTCCATGCAGGGACACTTCATCTCCAGCGAATGGATCCAACCCAAACATGTTCATTCACAGCTAGGTGGCCACAGCACATTGGTTTGTTTGATATCCACTACGATTCGTCCAGTACCCTTGATTCTACAGGCTGTCTAAGCTTATCACTGGAACGGCCCGGATCGTCGCCTTGGCAGGTGTAAATCTCAGGCTAAGTTGAAGATCACCCGTAGCTCAGTCACTTCAATAGGGTAGATGGAATACGCATATATACCTAGCTAGAGAAAGAAAAATACCGTAGCTAGTTTGGAAAGAAGTAGAACCCCTTTACCTAAATCCATGTATATCCATCCAATTTCCTCTCAGTGTCCTAGCAAATACGGACTAACTGCCTGGTTGCATTGCGCCATTTGCAGGGTTGGAGGACAAACAAGGTGCACATTCCGACAAGAATTAGACCTCAGTCTAGATTCCCATACTAAGTCCTAATCACTGCGGCATTATATCTTAATCGTCGAGTGCTTCGTCCATATCCGCTGCTGCAATGACCACCCAAGTACTACATACTTGGCATTGAGGCAGCCAGTTGCGCGCTAGTGTTTCCATTCAGCTGTTACCAACGACAACCAACAACGCGCAGAATCAAGTTGGCAAAGGCGAGATTGCTTACAAGAAGTCATAGCACCAACTATCTGAAGCAATTTACTCGTAGATGCATCTTCACCAGCAAAGGCAAAAGGGTGAGGCAAACAAACAAGCCGCGCTTCATTCAAGCCCCTCTAATCTGCCTAAAGCTCATCATGATCACATCATCAAAGTAAGCAGAAAAAAGAAGAAGAAGAAAAACCACATAGCTTAAAAAAATAATGGAGTGAGGCAGTGCGCGATATTCCTCATGGGTCGATAGTTCATGCAAGAAAAGAGATTCCTGTAGTCAATAGTCAACAAGCCAAGGCCATGACCGAGTTTCCAAATCCAGAATAACGTTTCATCACTTGCCCAATCCATCCACAATGTATTCCAAAGATCTATTTTTATGACCTAAAACTTTCCATCCTGCCAAGCGAAATAGGCATCTACGCTCGCCCTCTCTCTCTCTCTCTCTCTCTCTCTCGGTAATAAACTCCCCTTCCACGCAAATTCCCATCGAGCAAAGATTTTCCATTACGCACGCCTGCGCCGAAAACTTCCTAAACCCAGGAAGGAAAGTCATTGTGCAAAGGGAAACGCATCAATTTAAACTCAGGGTTGACATCCCCGTTGCCGCGAATCCCACATCATCCAATGGCATCGCCGTGCCTGGCAGGTCATTAACCTAAACAGGCAAAAGACAAGGCCCGAACAGGGATTCCCTCTTCTAATCTATTCGACAGTATCCTCGAGGCAAATCAGCTCCCCATCTCCCGGGCCCGTTGTCTTATGGCATGTTTCCATCAAGGGAACAGAAAAAGAAAAAGAGAAAAAAAAGGAGGTGTTTGTTTTCCCGTGCTTTGAAGGGTCCTGTCTGTGCATAAAGAAATAACCCCGTTGGTGACTGTCGTGAAATAATGTCTCCGGCATGAATTTGTCTTCTCAGCCAACCCGGCAAAGGAGGTTTGCGCAAAAACGCATCTCACTCAACACCCCCCCGTCCCAACACATCCGAGAACTCGCAGCCACGAAACAAGCATATGTTGTTACAGGCAGTAGAATCTGTCACATTCCGACTTTGATCGATGTCGCTGATGCATGCCATGGACTAGTGAGCACTAAGGCAAGCAACTCCATAATGTTGTCCTTGGCCAAGGAGCAGAGGGCGTAAGGTGATCTTCATCTTCGTTGTCTCCGATGTAGTCGTTTCATCGAGTAAAGAAGAAGAAGAAAATGTATATAAGAGCAGCTCAGTTCCTCTTCGTGAATCAATTTTGAAACACCATCATCAAGCAACAAGAACAACTCCCCACTGCTTCTTGACGAGAACAAGACCATCCTTCGAAACAAGCAAAGCTCATCCCTTCAAAAATGCCTTCCCTCAGCAACCTCGTCAGCCTCGCTGCTGCCGCCGCCGTCTCCGTCTCGGCCGCCGTCCTCCCTCGTGATGGCACCGTTTCCATCACCCCCCACGAGCAATACTCGTCTTCTGTCGGCGTCCTCGGCTGCCTCATCAACACCAACCGTGTTGCCTACTGGCCCAGCTCCGTTGACTGCAACAACATCTGCGTCAAGCTCACGTACAAGGGCCAAAGCATCAACGTCCTTAAGATCGATCAATCCGGCGGAGCCTACGACATCTCCTACGATGCCTGGAACCAGCTCCTCTACGGCAAGCCTGCCACCCAGGAGCCCCACGTGGGCGGTGGTACCAGTGTCCAGTGGCAGTACGTCGACAACAGCCAATGCAACAGCCTCCTTCACAACGGAAAGCTGCCCCTGTCTGCTTCCAACAGCATCAACTATGTTGCCGGCTGCCTTAACCAGCCCAACTCGTGGGTTGCCAAGAACTACGAGCTCATCAACATTCTTGATCCCGTGTGCCACTACGGAATCAATGAGGTTTGCAAGCTCAACCTCCAAGTGAGCAACCAGCCTACCTGCCCTCACACTCTTGGTGTCAATTCAGCCAGCGGACTGGTTGTCCACAACATCCAATACGGCACTGGCAAGGTTGTCGTGGCTCCCTAAGCAGTCTCCGGGTCGTATATTGTCAGCTGGCATTGAATCCACTTGATTCCTTGCTATACACCCGTCGAAGGAAAGGATGAAGGGAAGGTTTGAAAATTGCTTTGTGGTAACATGTTTTGTAATTAGCTATAAGCACTTTTCTAACTTCGATAATAAATGCACTTACTTGCTCATCTCGTATGACCTCTTTGACGTATTTCACCGGGCTGCCACGCTAACAAATCCAAGAAAGGAGCCATTGTGTAAACAAGAAGTGTATTCATCGCTAATAAGTTGTATGATTGCCAGGTTGGGGTATCTACAGTTCTATATGTCCCACGTTGAGTATATTATGCCCGCTTCATAATGCCCATTCATCAGGGTTATCATCCCGCGTAATGAACGGTTCGTCTATTCTCTTGATGGCGAAATCACTGCATAAAATACTGTCAAAATGGTCAGTTATCTGTCCTCGATAGGAAGGTGTCGATGTAACATAACGGAGAACGGAGAGACTTACCATGCTGACGCCACCAAGGCATCAAGCTCGGCCACAACGGCCTCCCGCTGTGTACCGCTCACAAGACCCTTGTGGATTTGCATCTGGAGTTCCTTGATTCGGTTTGACTTGGCAACACCCGCTTGCTCCAGCACTTTCCGTCCCATACAGTCTGAATGGAAAGAGTGCTGGCATGGGAAGACGAAGAACTGCCTGCTCAACAAGGGAAGCCCACACACGTAGCACTTCTCACCGGGTTCCACAATGGCGTATCTGTGATCCAGAGCAGCAATGTCAAGCTTGATATTCGTCGCTGTCTGCGAAGACTCGTCCATCTCTTTCTTCAAATTGTCAATGTTTCGGCTATAGTCCTCCAAAGCCTCGCAGATTTCCTCTTTGAAGTCATCGATGACTACAAAGTCGGGAAAGAATGGAATGAGATCTTCAATCTTGAGCAAGTCGCATCTCTTGAGGAACTCAATTGCCGTTTTGATGCCGTCAGATTGAGAGATGACCCTCCGAGCAACAGCTAGCCACAGTCTTTTGCGCAACTGGGGATTGGACATTGGTCTATCAGCGATAACCGCGGCCAGCTCCACCTCGTTGTGGGAGAGCGCAAGGTCGACCGCCTGAAGATATTGCTCCATGCTGGTATATATGTGAACGCACGACAGTGTGCGATGGTGGTGGATACACTGGCGCAAAGCAAAGTCGGAATCGTACCGAGGCTCGTCACCCTGTGCCTGAAGATAGGATAGCAGACCTGATTCATCCTTAGAGGGGTGCGAGGCGTAGATGGACACGAGCGTGTTGTGGACCGCCGCGTCCGTTGAGTTGAGTTGGTAAACCACGTAGTTGAGGTACCTTATAGCCTGGTTCTGGGCTGTTGCTTCACCATCAAAGCCACGGTGGTATTCTAGCAAGGCTGGAATCAATCTTCGTGGACTGAGATCTGAGTGTCTCATGAGGATGTCCACGGTATCTTGCGCAACGTGCGACATGAGCACAGTGCTGTATCGATAAAAGACTTCTGCATCTGTCTGCTTCTTTAGGACGTTGAGCGCCTCCGTCCATCTCTCTCGCTGTACCCAGTAAGATAAGACGTAATTGTAGTCATTGATGGCGTTGGCAAAGTAGAGCAGCTCTTCTTCTCTGCCGTGACTGCTAATCACATCGTACACCGTCTTGTGGTCGAGATCACTTTTATACTTGTTGACAAACTCTTGAAACTCTTTCTTTGCCGAGCTGATCAATTTTCTGGATTCTGCAGGGTTCATTTTCTCTGAGAGGTCGGCATGAGCGATGATGGCATCATCGAGGGAGTTTAGCTTGGCCATGAAGATCTCGACCAGCCAGCTCGCAATCATTATCCTTTGCATAACGGCAGATTTTTTGGTCGTGCCTAGTTTTGTGAGTAGGAAGATGCGCAGCGCATCTGGTTGGATGCTGTCAATTAATTTGAGCGCAACTTCCTCGAAAGGCTTGTTGCTCCGGCCGTAAACCATGGCGGCTTCACTCCAATGACCCTTGGTAGAAAGATAGTCTCCAAATGCGGCGGAAACCGTCTCTCTCTGGATTTGCGAGCGAGCCTGTTGGAGGGCCGGTTCAAACTGTTGCGTTTCCATCATGATTTTCCAGATGTTGCGATCCTCATCACGTACCACAATCTCAAAGATCTCTTCAGAGGTGAACAGCCAAAAGGTGTTCTTCTGAGAATCTACCGAAAATCCGATAGGCTTCTGGCCGGCGGAAAGCACATCGTGTTCTGACACCATCTCTCCGGTAAGACGATTGGTAGTAATCACACGGCCACCGACCAGGTTCACAATGTGCCATTGGGTGAGGGCAATTGCATCAATCGTTTCGGTAGAAGGTTTCCGTTTGCTCCCCGACCCTTGTGTGACGATTTGAGCTCTTGGCAGCATCTTGGATTCGGCAAAGACCTTGGAGCCAAGCGCAGAATCTGTAGGCGCATTGAGCAACTTTCCGTGATATACACCATGCGACGATAGCCATGCATATGCTCGGTCCGGCACGTCATCGTCATCGTGAGGACTGGTGTCGGGCGGGTCGGGGGACACAACGAAAGTGGAGCTCGCCCCAGACGTGACTCTTGAAAGCTCGTGGATGACAGGCTGTTCCGTTTCAAACATTCTCGTGTAGACGGAGCCGCTGCCGTCGTGGCCATGGCTGATTCTGCCAACAAGGTGGAACAGCCTGCTCTGCGTAGCAATCATGACCCTCCTCAAGTCAGTCTTTCCATGTAGGTTGTCTACCCAGAGGCCCGTGATGGGGCCATCCGGGAGCTTGTGTAGGTTCTTTAGATGCTTCATTTCCTTCCTGTAGAATTCGTTGGAGGTTTCTATGAAAGCCTCGTAGATGTTGCCGTCTACTGTACCGATAAGGATCTCTCTCGTGGAGGCGGTGGGCAGAGATGGATTCCATGCTATGCTCTCGATCAAGACGCCGGGCAATTTTGAAAGAAGCCTGGGTTGCTTAGACTGCGAATGTAGGTAGAAGTTATGACCGAGCGATGTGCAAACCAGGAGATGCGACGCCGTGGGATCGAGGAACATGCGTCGAATGATGCCGATCTCGGATGGTTTCCTCGGCAGGTCAATGTCTGTGCCAAACCATGCATATTAGCCAAAAATTCTCCTCCTTTCTCAAGCCTCATTCTCTCCCTCACCACAGCCTCCAGGTATGCTCACCGTCAATATCCTCCGGTCGATTCAGGTCGATGCGCAGAATCCTGCCACTGGTCAGGGCCAGGATGATGACATTGTTGGCAACCTGCGCGGCGGCAAAGTCGGCCGCTATGGAGAACTGCAGCTGCACTCGCTCGATCGTGAAGATTGGCAGGTCGCCGCTCTCCGGATCTGCGGCCTCGGCGGCGACAAATCCGTCGTTGGGATCAAGCGACATGGCGTCGGCGTCTCAAGCAGGCATGCTCGCGCGGGGCCGGAGCAAGGTGAAGCGGATTCGGATCCTGCTTCTGTGCTGCCAGAAGCAAAGACCAGCGCGAGTTGCTCCCACAAGCAGCGATCGGATCGGGAGACGAGAAGACGTAAGGCTGAGGTTGAAGCTCGGTTGAAGCTCGAGGCTGTGATGGCGGAGAAGAAGTCCCAACCAGGCTGCGTCAGTGACGGTTCTTTGGGCAGCTCGGCGCTTGAGCTCCAATTCGCCAGCAGAAAGCGGTGGAGGAGGGAGCTACAGATGGCGCTAAACCGTTTGTTGCGTTAGGGAGGTACGGGGGTACTTTCAGAAGTACCACCTCATGTACTCGTCCTCGTACAAACATCGTCAGTCTCATAGCGTCAATACAGGTCAATTGGTAACCCGGAATGTCCATGAGCAGATTTATAATTATGAGATTCATGTCTGTTTTTTCTGCTGTTTTCCATTGATCCATCACTATAACGCCCTTGCTATCTCAAAGTTCAACATTCCATGTAACGCTGCAAATGTTTACACGCCCGTCAAAAACGAAAATCACAGCGGTAGGGCTGCTCCTTGGTGCTGGATTTATCACCTCAAACTTGAGATTCCCTGCTCCCTAATTCCCCGCCTCCAGCTAATATACAACTTTGAGGAATCCGAGATAGAGCAGTAGAAATTACACCATAAAATAAGAGCCAAAGGATGGCCTGTTTTAAACGTTATCCAGCCGAGGAAAAGTTAAAGAAATCGGTTCATGGGCCGAAGACACCACCTCGCATCCGGCCATGGTTGTAAGAAGATATCCACTGTGGCCAATGGAAACGAGTATATTTAAAAGGGCTTGCTTTTCGTTGTGTTCATTAAAATTCGTCATTGCAAATAGCATCATGTCGCTGTCGCGCGTCCGTTCGATAACAGGAGAATTACATCTCCATTTTAGCTTTAATGCGTACCAACCAGTACGGCATCGCGCAAAGGATGAGGCTCCGCTATGTCGTCGCATGGAGGAGGCACTTCGTCTTGCCTAGACTCGGTTTCCGTAGTACCCTCCTCCTTCCGGGGCCTAAGACTGAGAGGTTCTTCTGCCGGCCAAGTGGCATCTGATTTCGGCGCTTCAAGGGGTTTCCGTGCTATGGCAATTCGAAGCTTAATAACAAGGTCTTTGGCGGAGTCGTGTCTCGATAGATTTGCAATCTCCCTAGCCACCTGCTCGCAGACGGCCTTGCACTCCTCAGGATCCCATCCAAGGCGTTCGGTGAGGAGACGCAAAGCTGATGATTCAATACCATCTATTATACCCATCAACCAGAGCTTGTCCACAGATGGTTCACCAAACACCATGGGCAGAGAATATTCCATCACTCTAACATCCACGAAGCCCGCATTCATCAGATGCAGGGCGTCTAGGTGATCCATGGACAGATTTCGGCCGGCCAGATCGGCAGCCTTGTGGATATCCTCAAACAACGTATGGATAGGAGATTCGGGCGAGAAATGGTCGGTACAAATGGTGCAGTCGAACCCTTCGAAATCAATCACCTCTATCCATCCGCCAGGCTTGAGCGAGTAGTAAGCGCAGTCGTAAACGAAACGCCAGTCGCGGAATGACCCCGCCAGATAGCGCATGTGGATCATGTCGTAATGATCTGGCGGCCTGTCCCAGTCTTCAGCATCTTCGATTTCGAAAAACACGTTGACGGGAACGCTCTCGGTCTCGGCAATGGCGGAGATGTCGGTGCCTACAACCTCGCATTCCGGAAACATCTCCGCCATCCTGATGGCCCATTCTCCGGTGCCGGTTCCAACATCGAGAATATGCGTCGGCGACTCCTCAAGCGGGGCAAGAGTCAGTTCCCCATCGAAAATGTGGAGGAAAACTTGATTGATCAAAGTCACACGCAGCTGCTCGAGCTCATCGTTTGGCATGTAATAGTCGCGACAATACCTACGGCCATGAAGCTCGCGATAGTCCAGGTCCATGGTCCAAAGGGATCGAGTTGACGCTCTGCGTATAAGAGTTAGCAGTCGTAGAGACTCGCAACAAAATACTCGCCCTAGCAGTTTATTTCCGTGACAAATAGGTATGTAGCAGGGGACAAAAGTACATTGGCCACTTACAGGTCTGAAGCTATCGCTCGCGGATCTTCCGTGACAAAATGGCCGCCACCTGATCTGTAGGTGCTCATTGCGCCACGGGGAAACTGGCTCGCTGGGTAAAGAGAGGCTACCTCGAATTTGTCATCGTCATTGTCATCGTTTTCGTCTTCGTCTTCGTCTTCGGCTTCCACATGGTCAGAGTCGCCGCCCATGTCTTCACATTCCTCCTGACTGGCCTTGATGGTTTGACCATCGTCGTCTGTACCATGGGCGCTGTGTGACTTGGAGTCATGGGGAGATGTCTTTTCCGGCTCTTGTTGACGAGTCCCCTTCCGACCTTTTCGCTTCCTTGTCACCATCTTTTGTACTGTACCCTAAAGGGCTGTGAGGGCCGGCAAGAAAGTTGCAGAGTAGTCGTTTCGAACCAGTGATATTATCGAAACTGAGCGGCCGCGAAATTTGAATTAGACAACATGATACTGGGCATCCAGTACGGGCGAAGACGTCCAAGGCGGGTCAACGAGAAAAGAGCGGTTGCATGCCCCGTCAGTATGTAGTTTCGTGCGACTAGAAGAGAATGCAAAAATGAGAAGCAAAATAAATCGAAATCCAGGCCAAAAGAACGAGCGACTGCTGCACAGACAACTGGGGAGGGGATTTGGCCGATGGACGATGAAGAGGTCCCAGAAACGAACACAACAAAAGCTGAAGCTGGAAAAGAAAGAAAAAAACGGAGAGCAAAGAGAGGATAGAAAAAGAAGAGCAACCAGCACGAGCCGCCTACAATAGAACGAGGCTCTCGAAAACACTTGCTTCACACACAAGCCTCGACGAAGAGAAAACAAAAAGCAAAGGTACATGAATGGTGCAGAGGCAAAAGACGCACGAGAGAAGCATGAAGACAAGTCGAGACACCCGCTGTTAGTCCATCAATTTCCTGAGTGGGCCAGCAGGCGAGGACCCAGCACTGTGGGCTAGCTGTGGGTTCGGCGGGCACAGCGGGTTGAGATGGCCCGGAGCGCGCCACGGAGGGGTCTTCCAGGGCGCTAGGGCGCTAGCAAGAATGCTCAGTGGCTGCTAGCAGCACGCCTACGCCTACGAGCACACTAGGCACGGCTGTGATCCACGAAGCCGGCCAGGGGAGCGGCGCGTGTCATATCCGCCAGCCAGCAATGGATGGATGCATCGGATGAGATCCTGGTGCTGCGGCGCGTGGACACTGGATACCACCGATTCAAGGTTCTTTTACGAGTTGATCCATCCAGGGCTGTAGAATACAAATGGCCAACCATCGATATCAAACGTAGCAGTGACACCCAGGCCTGGAGTTTAGAACACGAGCGTGAGGTAGGTTAGTATGATATAGATATGTAAGTACGGATACCGATGTTGATTTCACTGAGGTGAATCAATCAATACATAAGGTATTGATCAATGAGCTCGCCAAGGTGCTGACAGTTTAGTACTCGTACATGTAGGTAGCTACCAAGAATCGCGGGGGGGGGAGTTCATCTCATCCATCTCATCCAATCTTTTCTCGTCTCCTCTCATTGTTTCGTTTTTCGAAACCAAGAGCAAAGACGGAAAAGGAAAGGAATCGATGACATTTCAAAAAAGAAACAAAACAAGGTAAAAGGGTACAAGGTAAAAAAAGAACCCTTGGACAAAACTAAACAAGAGGATGGAAGCTTAAAAAAAAAAAAAAAAAAAAAAAAAGGTCCGGCCCAGTCTCTCTTCTCGGGCTTCGCTTGGTTGGCGGCGTGGTGGCCAGAATTCCAACGTTCTGGGCGCTTTCTGGTGGAAACTGCTAGTATAGCAGCACAACTCTGTTTGATTAGCTGCGCCACATTTGCGGACATGGCGCGGCCACTTTGGGAACGGCAGGGCTAGGGTTCAAACATGCAACTTGACAGCTTCATTCATTCCCAGCTTGCTGCCTACTCCTCCATGTACGAGCATTGACGTTGCAGTACTGACACTTTCCCAATTGATGGCAGTGATCACGACCAGATCAAAGCAGCATTATTCAGCATTAGGAATGGATTTGCCATCCGTTCGCCCGCGGCGGCTGACATTCGGAATTCATACCCAGTGCTTTGAGCCATGAGAGAGTTGCACCGCAATCAGCTTCCCGCGCTGCATGGTGAGATGAACACCTCAGCACGTCGCCATCCCCCTGCTCGCCCCGTCAAATGGCAACGCAGCAATGCATCTGCAAAACGAACCGGGAACAGGGCACTGGGCTTACCAACATGCCACACACCCGCAGCCGACGGCCAACGGGCTTCGACCCGGAAAAAGAGAGGCCAGCACGCAGGCGAATCAGCATCCCCAAGACCCTGCTTGCTTGCATCAAATTGTTTGCCTGCTTGTTGGCATCCATACCTGCCTACCGGAGCATTGCATGTACAGTATGCAATCGTGCATGTACAGTACAGAGGTGGCTCTCTTCTGAGGGCAGCTGGTACAGATCAGATCACAGGCGTGGAGGAAAGCAACCCGAAGTGCTGGGCTCATCGTCTACGAACCGCATCTCCAAACCACCAAAGGCCGGCAACCATCATCTTACGTGTATTTTGCACGGCCATCTCACACCCACCACCGTCCGTCAGCGACAACGACCCGACAGCTTGGGCCCATTGGCGTCAAGGAATGGCCTGGCAGCAGTCCGTGCCGCTCCAAAGACGCCCAATACGGGGTTACATCTTGGTTTCAGGAGCCATACCGAGTCTGTGCATATGCCTACAAGTCATGCTTGTGCGGACGCCGGTACCTAGTAATAGCCGGTCCGGTAGCAGGTGTATGAGTATGAGCACGAGTTATAGCTCCCATCTTCAATGTTTGCTCTCCACTCTTTTCCAGTTTCGCCAGCCCTTGGCCACCTTGACAACCGCAACATGGACGGTCAGATCTCGAGAAAGCCCACTGAAGATATCTCAATCGATTCCACAGCTATAGGCCAAACTGAATCAGTTGTCAACAGCCACTCGATACTGGCCAGTTGCGCGATATGAGCAACATCCAGTCGTTGCAGCATTCACAACACGGCCACGCACACAACAGTCTCTTCTCCACCATCAGCACCAGCTCTCAGCCTAAAGCTCCCCGGTTGTGCAAAGGCTTTACACTGTAAGCGACAAGGCCCGCTGCCCTCGCTTACTCGCGCCGCACCTGCAGCACTCTTACTGCAAGTATGTATTACCCATACTAACTCTCCATCCAACACAAGACTGGGGACCGTGCCATCCCGCTGGGACGCTCGTGACGGAGTGTTGCTTCCATGCGATATTATCTGTGATGCCATACTCAGTAAAACCCCCAATGCGGAACCAGCCTTGAAAGATTGAGGCGATTTGTCCTGCGTGTGTTGCAGGTAGCGACAGCCAAAGATGCTCTTGACCCATAGCTAACCACAGATACTTTATAGATGCAAATCAACAGATCCAGGTCGCTCTACCTCGTACCTTGTATGAACAACAGTAACATCGCTGTTTGAACAAATACAAGAATAACATTTGCTTGATACCAGGCGATCGCCCCCCCCGCCCCTCCATCGACGGCTCCGAGCTCCGCGGCGCCATTACGAGAATAAAGACGAATTAATAGTCCAGTCTGAGTCTAGCCACTCGGACATTTTGCTTTACACGGCTGGTGCTAAAGGGCATAATGTGAGCGGGTAGGCTTCCGCTGCGCCCTTGACCCGTTCGCCAAAGCAACCTCTTTTTGGGTGACACCTGGGAAGCGCGGGTAACCCAAATGCGCATCATCTCTGTATATGTCAGCAGCTTGTCATGACAGGAAACCTTGTGCCTGCACGCTTACTCGGACCGGAATTGCCCACCAGGCCAGGCAGGGCTGCCATGCGACAATCCGCGACAGCGGACGACGGGAAACGTGGGAGTTGGGCGCCATTTGCATCCACTTCTCGGTCAAAGAAGGGGGCCGTCGCATGAGGCACGCGATGCAAGTGCATGCAAAAAGCTTATTTTAAGACCTGGAGCGCCTTGGGGCCTTTCAAAAACCATCCGGGATGCCGTATAGAGGGCCTACTGCGGCCCGGTCAAGCAAATTACATGCGGTACTACGCTGTCATCTCCAAATGGCGCACATATGCTGGAATTCGTTCCGGACTGACAAATTCAATAAATGGCAAAGAGAAAATCGAAATGCGGTCATTAAAGCGCGTGCGACGGAGCTTCATCATACGAAAATCATAACTTCTTCGGGATGAGCAGCAACATTATGCGATCCCCCTCGTCAATAAACATACACAAAGTTCGGATTCTCCTTGTCCGTCATGTCCACAAACGCCGTGGCGTTCAACTCGCCAGCGATGAGCTCTCCCCGGTCCTCCATCTCCGCTCGCAGCTTCTCTTTCCGCTTGTTCTCCCAGATAAAGGCATATCGGAAGACGAAGAAGAGCGCGAGCTCAATGCAGTTGGCAACAAGGAGAGAGCCAATGCCCAGGTGGTATGAGGGTGCCTGGTTGGCTTTGTAGAAGAAGGGGCCGGCGATATTGCCGATGCAGGCGCCGAACCAGATCATGCCGGAGACAATCATCTTCTTGGACTGGCCACCGGTGTTGGATGTGATGAGAGAAAGCGAAATGACGAATGATGCTTGGTATGAACCGGTGAGGTAACTAATCGGAATCGCAGGTTAGATCGGTGACATGAAAGATAAGTCAACAGGATGGACTTACAAGCAAATTAATCTTCCAACGTATGCATCTTCGGGAGCAAGCAGGAATCCAAGAGCACCTGCAATTGTCGGCAACATGAACAGAGCGCAGACGAGCGTACGACAGTTGTTTGGCATAAACTTGTTTGCCAGAGCACCCAGCCCAATCCAAATCACCACCAGCACGCCCTGCGGAATGCCCAGCAGAGCCGTATGCAGCGTGTCGAAATGTAGCCCCTTGATGACAAGGGTAGAAAAGTTGGAAATGCCGCCGTTTGGAATGTTGGACACGAAGCCGAGCAGGGTGAAGAGCCAGGTCTTGTAGTCCAGGTACGCCTCCTTGATCTGCTTCCAGTTGATCCTGTTCTGCTCCACGCCGGTCTGGTTGCGCCTCATGCGGGCAATCATGATGAGCTTCTCGTCGTGGCTAAAGCCCCAGATGGTTCGGGGCGAGTTGGGGAGGCAGATGAAGAGGCAGACTCCCCAAGCGGCGCAAAAGGCACCGACAATGATGAATTCGTAGCGCCATGAGGGCAGGGAGCTCTTGATTTGGCCAATGCCGTATCCTGCAGGCCGTCAAACACACGTCAGCAAATCGTCTACACGCCATTCAACAGCATCCTGTATCCCAACATCCTCTTCACATCAAACAAGTTCGTCACTTACCAATAAGGCCACCGCCCGCAACACCAATTCCATTAAACGCATACCAAGCTGAAATGCGTGATGGCTGCTCCGCTCTGGTATAATACATCGACGTGATGAGCATAAACGCCGGGTCCGCAATCGCTTCAAACGCTCCCGACAAGATTCGGAGGGCAAGCAATCCCCCAAGATTCTTCACTGCCGCCTGGCACATGAGGAGGGCACCCCACATGAAAATGTTAAAGGCAAGATAGTACGCAGGCGGGCTGCGCTGCATAATAAGGTTGGAGGGGATGGCCCAGATCAGCCATCCAAAGTAGAAGCTGCTGGAGAGCCATGAATAGTCGTCTCCCACAAGCTTCAGGTCGTCTTTGATGCCAAAGATGGCGGCGTATGAGAGAGTGGTTTTGTCCACATACTAAAGGCCACGGTTAATCCCCCCGTCCATCATAACCAAATGGCCGCTTTCGGAGGAAAATCTCACATAAAAGAAGTAGCAAATGCCTAGCAGGGGCAAGATGCGCATATCCAGTTTCCGCAACACGCGCTTCTCGTCAGCTTGGTCGATGGCCTCGTCGTTGGGATACCGCTCCATGGCCTCGAGGTACATCTCATGCACCGGGCGGTCAGTGACCGCGGCCACGACCGTCTTGAGATCCTTCTCGACATGTTCAACGTCGTCCAAATCCTTTACAGGAGGAGGGGGGGGATAGGCAGCCTCGTTTGACTCAGTGGCCATGATTTCGGATATCTCTATTAAAAGTCGAGGCCGCTGCACAGAAGGATCGGCGTAGTATCACAGAAACCCACAGGATCGACTCTCGGGGATGGGCTCCCCCGTTTATATATCACAAAAGCTGCATCCCAGACCACCACTCCTGCATCATCCCCTCATCCTCATCATGCAACACAACCCGAGAACCGAGCATCACTACCGGGCTAGTCAGCACGGTTCTGTGGGGGAAAGGAAAAGTCGGCGAGTTGGAGCTAAACGCGTACGAGGGCTCCGTGTGTGGGGGAAGAAGCCCGAGGAGGCGAATACCATCGAATCCCCTCGCCAAACGTGGGGTCTTCCCCAGAGTCCCTACTTCCTGGGGAGAAGCGGCCGTCTCTGATTCGCTCCGTCGGCAATTCAGTCCTTGGTGGCGTCGACATGGCGCTTTCATATCCGGTTTACTCCCACCACGCTTGGCACCGCTAAACCGCGCCTTTGACGGGCTTCGTTCTGTTCAATACCTAGCCAAAACGTTTACCCGCTTTCTTCGAGCAAGTAAGAGAAAGCAATTCGTGGAAAATGGGCCTTGCAAGGTATTGATTGTTCCATATTTTCTCCGGTGGCGCTCAATGGTTTCCCCCATTAACGGCAACTTTGTTCTGGCTAGCTCCAGCTTTATATATGGCCTTGCTCGCCTTCTCGTCGGACAGGTGCCGATAGAAGGCGTTTTTGAACACTATCCACAGAGGAACCGCCATGCGGCTCAGGTGGTGTTTTTTGCGACGCCGCGCTCCCCCCCATCATGACTCGTATTTTTTGCTTTTGCTGCTTCTCTCATGTGACGCACGTGGGAATTCCCACGACCGGAAATCGGATTCGATTGCTCCTCAGCTCCTCTTTTTTAACGATTTTTTGGGGGGGCCGCAGAGGTGGTATTCGAGGCTGGGGTAGGAGAGATCAGTTGACAAAATAACTTGTTGCGGGGGAAGAGAGGTTGGGGTAAGAGATAACTGGACTATATACGATGTTTTTCACTGGGTGCCTTGTGGACGCGATATGGGTTCACAGAGGCCATTGTGGAATACCATACCCTCTTCATCTCGAATACGACCCTTGATAACGACAGTAATTATCATCGCAAATACGGTACGGAACGCATCTACTTGACCGCTTCAGTTTTACGGAACATGATCGGAATAGAGCAGGAGAAGAAAAACATTGATCAAGGTGCAAGCCGAGTTTGGTTACAGAAAAACGACTACAACGTCTAGCGCCAGTCTATTCTTGGTAGTCATTCATAAGATCTAAATCATGTACTTCATGACAGCAGATGCAAAAGAAAAGAAACAAAGGTATAGTCGCTGAATCCCCGTCACTTTTTGTCCGTCTATTGGGCATACCGCGTTAGCTTCTCGAGCTTCGTCTTGAAAAGGAAAAAAAACCGCAAATCGAACTCATCCATATCGAAGGGTTTATCGAGTAGAGGCACTCCAAGCTCGTCCAAGTGGCGTATGCGCAAGACCGCTAAGAAGAAAACGCTTCACACGTTGCCCCAGGCTCCTAGCGTCCAGTTGGTATGATGGCCTCCGCTGCCGCGAATAAAGCCTCCTGCGCCCATGCTCTGCCGTTGCTGCGCCTTGACGTCGATTTCATTCGGACGCGACGCGCCATAAGCACCCTGCTGCAGCCACAACTCGCGGTCCACCGTGGCCATGGCGGGAATCTTGAGCTGGGAAACTAAGCTTGCTCCAGCCCACGGTCCAAGAGAGTGAAGAGTGCGGAATTCGCCTTGCATTTGCGAAATCTGCGGCCGATGGCGTGCCACCTTTGCCTCGATGGGATCCGCGATATCCGACTGTGAAGCTATCGAGCTTGGCCGTGAGGACTCTTGTTCTTCTCCAAGGTCAGACGCAGTCGCTGTTGAGCTGACCGATCTAGCTATGCTCGCCCTTCGATCAGAAAATTGGCTGTTTCGTGACTCTTCCACGTGCTTTCCAGAGACGTTGGCCCACCCTTTTCGCTTCACCATGCTTGTGACTTCTTCCATGATGCGCCCCTTGATGCCTAGAATGTTGGAGCAGCCACCCGTGAAGATTATGCGAGGCATGCAGACGGCCCTCACATCCATTGGTAGCTGTAGCAGATGGCGATAGATGAGCAGATGGACGGGGAAATCCTCGTCATCAAATGCGCCATGTGCAATTGACAGATCAAAGAATGTATCGTCGCACACATCAGCAATCTTATCAAATGGCACTTCAAGCGTCCTAGGTGGATCGATGGACCTCAGCGGGATGCTTGCCACACTGTTTTGCAGAGAATGTTCGGGCTCGGGTTCCGACTCGTCCTGCTCCTCCACCGTGTCCAACTGCTGTGACTGTCGTTGAGCCGGCTTCTGTGCCTGAGGTGACTTGGATGCCGGCGGCCGGCACCACATCAGGCGGCACATGATATCCTCGCACTCGGCAAAGCTGATGACTCGGGCGCCTCCGTCTTCCTCCTCCTTGTCAGTCAAGATTTTGTGAAGAAGCCTGTACAGGAGGTTGTTGAGATATCTCCCTCCTCTTATGGTACGCGTGCATTTGACCTCCCGGTACTCATAGACACTGGTGACTACCGTCTCGGCCCAGCCCATGTCTATGACCAGTCCTGAGCGGATTCCAGCCGCCACTACAGACATGACAGCCGAGGACATGAGAGAGATCATTGGTGTTTGAAAGCCCTTGAAAAAGAGGTCCAGCACAGTGGACAAGATTGGGATTGGCACCCCAGAGTCAAGAACGAGGCCTGCTCGCCTTGGCCGAGAGTCAATCAGCAAACACCTAGGTGGAGTGTCAGGTCAGCATGAGCGTTTCTCACTGTAGCGCAGCCAAAGCATACCTCCCAAACGCATCTCTGAGCAGACGGTCCAGCTTGTCATAAACAAGCCCAAGATCGACCTCTCTCAGGTCATACCGCCATAGCTCATAATCCTTATCCCCCGACTGAAGGTCGACATCGCCAGCCGGCTGCCAATCCCTGAAATCGCCTGCCCGTCGCTGGTCCTTGGGCCCACACGTGAGCACCGCCTTGGGCTGGTTGTCCCCCGCGAATCCGGCCCGGACAAACCGTGAGCCTATCTGGATAATCAGAAAGTCGTCATCGGCCCTGATGGTGGCCGGCGAGCCGTAAGTATTGGAGATTGTTCGCGGCGGCGTATGTGGCTCTTGGAGGATCGGGGCTGAGCGGATGCTGGCGACGCTACGATGAGCCAGCGTCGGCCCCGGGCCAGAGGACATGGCAGATGCCCTTCAGCGGCCCTTCAGTGGCCCTTCAGTAGCCGTGGGCGATGTTGAAACAGAGAGTTGAGGCTCTACGTGCGGCGAGTTACGGCTGCTTGGGCCTCCTGTTCGTGGTCACTGAGCGAATCACGATGCCTGGAATCACACATCCAGTGGATGGAATTCAATGGCTCTCTTACAAGTTAGAGTGTCTGAGTCTGTCCTATGAAAATAGGCGGGTGTTGTTAGCGCCGATCCACCGATATCGATAACGCACCCCGGCCGAGCCCAATGTTTTTCTGCTTCTGTCGTCACGGCTTCAGCAAGTAAAGTAAACATTGCTGCTACATCTCCATCTCCATCATCCAGCTTTTCTCAGCTCACCCCATGACAGGACCAAGGGCGGGAGCTGCTAGAGGGCATCAATGGGAATCAAAGGGTGAGTGTTTTTTATTTTTCTTTTCTTCTTCTTTTTTCCCCCTTCCTTATCCAACTCTTCCGCAGTTGCTTGATAGAAAAGCTCACTCACTCTCTGTGCAGGATATATCGAGAGCTAGGCCCCGGCACGAGGATCTCCCTGTCCAAGCTTGCATCCGACAGCTTCGTGGAGCACAGCCGGCCCTATCGCCTCGCCATTGACATTGCTATCTGGCAGTTCCAGAACCAGGCTGCTCGTGGTAAGTTTGCCAAACCTCAAAATAACCAGCCTCGTGCAACTTTCCGTCTGACTTGTTCGTGAAAACAGGCGGCACCAACCCCGCGATCCGAACCCTGTTCTACCGACTCGTCCGTCTTCTAGGCACGCCAATCCAGCCAATTTTCGTCTTCGATGGCCCTAATAAACCAAAGTTCAAACGTAATAGGCGATCCGGCCGGGGCGATGGATTCGCAGCGGTGCACGCAAAGAGGCTCATCCGGCTCTTTGGGTTCGTAGTTCACGATGCGCCGGGCGAGGCCGAGGCCGAATGTGCCTTTCTACAAAAGAACGGCATCGTCGATGCTGTACTGAGTGAAGACGTGGACACAATCATGTTTGGATGCACACGAACGCTTCGGAACTGGTCGGCCGAGGGCAAGAACGGAAAGCCAACACACGTCTCCATGTACGACGTCAAAGACTTGAACATGGCCAGCCTTGGTCTCGATCGAGAGGGAATGGTCTTGGTGGCCCTTATGAGTGGCGGCGACTATATCCCGGAGGGAGTGCCTGGCTGCGGGCCAAAGGTTGCGTGTGAAGCTGCCAAGGCTGGCTTTGGAAAGTCTCTGTGTCAACTTCGAGCCTCAGACACTGAAGGTCTACGCCAGTGGAAAAAGTCATTGACGCACGAGCTTCAAACCAATGAAAGCAAATATTTCCGCACTCGTCACAAGGCCCTAGTCATTCCGGAGGATTTCCCCAACGTAGAGGTGCTTCGCTATTACACCCATCCGGTGGTGTCTCCAGAATCCACGCTGGAAGTGGTCAGGCAGAGGCTAAACGAAACCAGGGAAATCCAGTTGGATGGTCTAAGAGAATTCTCTAGGGAGACATTTAATTGGGATTTCCGCATCGGTGCCATCAAATTCATCCGTGTGCTCAGCGAGGGCTTGTTTGTGAATCGCATGTACCAGGACGGCGTTAACGGAGACTCTTTTGTGAAGAAGATATCAAGCCGTCGGAACCATTTCAGCACAGACAACACGTCCGAACTACGACTCGCCTATATCCCCGAAGAAATCGTGCCCATCGATCTATCAAATGAAGTGGAGGAGGAAATCACATATGCTCGGAGCGGCCTAGCTCTCAATAGCGACGACGAGTTTGCAACAGCTCCAGACAACCTTGAGGACACCGGTGGCGGAAAGACGTTTGATATTACAAAACCAGAACTCACCTGGGTTCTAGAAGAGGTGGCCAGGAGGTTTGCGCCAAGAGCTGTCCAGGCTTGGGAGGAGGGCAAGCAGGCAAAGTCAACCAAAAAGAAGGCAGCAACATCGAAGACGAAAAAGGCTGGCGCGATGCCTCATGGGGCTCTCGACAGCTTTGTTCGCATCACCAAGGCAGTGGAAACACAGGGGAAAGCTACTAGCAGCGATGCCTCTGACTCGAACAAGGACGACAACGAGGTGGATGTGCTCAGTGGATCGGAAGAAGCTTCTCTCCCTCCTCTTCCTCGACCGAGCCAGCTACGCCGACCACAAACACCGCCATCACTACGGAAGTCCAGTAAGCAACCCGTGCCCAGCGCACCTCCTAGCCTGGATCGTTGGACAGTAACCAGCTCACCAGACTCAACTAGACGTCATGACGATGCAGGAGTTTTCGAGGCTATCGTCATTTCGTCCAGCCCTGCCGGCGGCGCATCGCCACCTTCACCATCTTTGCCGTCGTCGCCAACTACAACAACCACCTCTACAAGTCACGATGGCGAGATGCCCAGGTCAATACGGTCGATTCTTGCGGCGGGTGCTTCGTCGCGGGTGAGAAGCGAGCACGATACATCAACCTCTTCGATTACGAAACCAAAGCAAAAGACATTGTCCCATCACAAGACCTCTCAGGGAGCAACAAGGCTGAGACAGATGTCAATGGACATGTTTACACAACAACTTGCTCCGTCAGGAACGAGTCGTTCCGGTTCATCCAAAAGCAGCAAGGGTAGCATATACAACCCAAACTCTAGCCGAGAGGACGTTGCTACACGCGCAATGACCAAGGAAGTCGAGGTTATACCATCCAGCAGTCCCGAAGCACCACGCACATCTCGCGCTACTGTGAGCAAACAATGGACTCGCGTTCCTCCGCCACGGCGCGATGGCAGTCCCCTTCCCGGTCCCGCTTCGGGCAAGAAAATATATGTCCCCAACGGGGCCGGCTTCTTCAAGGAGATTGAAGTTGGCGAGGACGAGTATGAAGAGAGAATCTCGCGGGAAGTGCAGTCGTTTCAGGCCCGCGGCATCAAAGCTGGCGTTACTAGATGGAGTGATGTGTCGTTTATCGACCTGACGGGGGGGGATGAAGCTACGAACAGCTAATACGGCATTATATGATCTAGGATACCACTGGCGGTGTTATATTTCTTCGGTATGGATATGAGGGGTGGTTATTGCACATGTCACACGACGGAGTCGATGTTTTGAACCAGTCTTGTAATCACCCAACGAAAGTCACCTTCACTGGTTCTTAAGCATTCAGTTTCTTTTGAATACCTTTTTATTATATCAATCTATGAGCTTATGTTCCTAGCTCCCCATTAATCCCATTGTGCACCTGCACGTAGCCATGCTGTATTTTTAAATGCCCCATTCCTCCAATGATCGCCAATGTGAAATAAATAATTGGCCTTGAATCTTCATTAAGCTCAACCCACCAAGGATCCCTCCGTATCCGAGAGTAATTCTTCTCGTGGACTCGAAATATCTCCCCTCTCCCCTCCTGCTTCAAGTCCTGGTTCACCATTCCCTGCTTCGTCGCGGCCGGGTTTGTGGTGGTGCATGTAGCATCAGCCTGTAATTGATGCTTCTTTGTGGCATAACAGTAGGCCCATCACTTTTCCCATGTTTCCATCCATCTCTCTTTGGCCAAAAGCTTCCTAATATATACATATTTCATGCCAGTTCATGAAGCCGAGAGAGGTTGGTGTACCATCCGAGGGAGACCATATATGTGGTGTGATGCCTGAGACCCTGTTGCGTATTGTGACACGGTTGTCGTGTGTGTGTGTGTGTGCAAGTACATATAACTTATACATATGTGATGATGTTGCTTCCAGTGTGCTTCGTGACGTTAGATTTCTTGCATATAGCGTCTGTTGGTCCGACCCAGCAAACAAAACCATTCAACCAATCATGCTGGGGAGCTCCTTCAAAGGAATAACCTTCCATGGCGGCGCTTTCCAAGACGACTTCACCTTTCTCATGCTCTGCAGAGCCGAGTGCATCTGCTTGGTCAAACGCACGCGCGAAAGGGCAAGGGCTTCATCGGTCATGTTCTCCTCCCAAGGCACCAAGATGAGCTCCTCCAGGCCCTTCATGCGCTGGGAAACCTGCCTCAGCATCTCCAGCGTAAATCTGGTAGCGCTCGGGAACTCGTACTTGTCGCAGGCGTGCCGGAACAAGGCCTCGTTGACGGCCAAACGACGGACACGAGCAAGCTCCGACGGCTCACACATCATCATGCACGTGTGGAACTGCGAGTCTGCGGCCATGAAGCCCTCGCGGGGGCCAAAGTACAAAATGTCGATGTCGTAGTTGAAGTAGACCAGGCCATCGCCGCGGAAGAAGCCGAGGCTGGGCTGGTACGACTTGAGAGCTTCAGTGCGGGATTCGGTGCAGACTTGGAGGTTGACCGGGATGCGAGTCGGCGATGTGCACCCGACGTACTCGGCACTGTCTGGGTTATACTTGGAGAAGGCCGTGATGTCGGCGCCGCATTGGACGGAGACGAGGCGTGGGCTGGGGAGGCTCAATTGCCAAATCTTCAAACGGAGCTCCGTCGGGAGCCTGGAGAAGGGGTGCTAGAGACGAGGAAGACGTGTTAGTCGAAGGGGTCCTTTGCTTGTGAGAGGAAGATGGGATGAGGGGGGAGGGGGGAGCAAGCAGAAGCTATTGGACATACAAATTTGTCGGGCTGCTGCTTTGCGGGTTTCTTGGAGAGCCTTTGGGAGGCAATGAAGTTCAAGAGGCCGAAGATGGGGATGCCTGGCGACCTGGTCTTGCGAGCAGGGGAAGAGGCGCGAGAGCGCGACGAAGTTGATCGAAGCCGCATGTTTCTGCGTAGTTGGTGGAGGAAGATGTGATGGATGTGGATGTGCCCGAGTTGGATAGACGTCGATGTGCTCGAGTTTGATGGATGTCGATGTGCCCGAGTTGGATGAGAGGGGATGTGCGTGACTCTATATAGAAGAAGCAACCAAAGGCAAAGACGACTTATTAGAATGCCCCAGATCCAAGAGCCGGGAGTGATGCAACAACCGGAAGACCCTTGACACGGCAGAGCAAGGAACCTCCCGTGCCTGTCAAGCTTGTGCCGAGATCGTGTAAAAGGCCCAGCAAGGTACGAGCACGTTCGACCTGCACCAGAGCGAGGGAAAATAAGGTTCGTGTGGCGTCAAGGATGAAGCTGCTCTCGAGCTCTGTAGGGAGTAGCGTCGTGCCCAATGTAGGTTGAAGTAGGAGATACTCGTAGGTGGCACCGCGTGTGGATATCCCGCGTAGATGATGTGCTGGGGAGGGGGGAGTTTGATGAGAGATGAGGCACGAACGACCAGGGAACTGCAAGACACAGAGAGGTAGCGGGTACTTGGAGCACCGGCTACTCAAAGAGGGAGCTTGACGTATAGAAGACGGGCCAACGATGTCAAGGGCGTGGGTCAGAAAGGGGTGTTTATGTATAGATGTGAGGAGCAGGTCTGAGCTTGGGGGGGAGAAGAGAGAGCAAGATTCAACGGGACAAGCTCCAATGAGCAACGACAGATCGATCAGTGATGCGAATGGCAGCAGCAGGACGAGGCACTCGGTGGGCTATATATGATTTTTCGGCTTGGCTCTTGATATAGTAGAACTGCAAAGGGCTCAGCTCGTCATCACAGCTGCCGTGCGAGAAAAGAAAAGAAAAGAAAGAAAACTTGGGCTGGAGCAAGGGGGCTTCACGGAACAACAGGACGAGCGTCACTTACTCACTGCAAACATAGGCTTTACAGTACGGTAGAGTAACTCTGGCCCGCACCCACCGTCGTCATCCGCGGCTCGGTGACTTGATTACGCATCTTGACAGCTCTTTTTTTTCTTTTCTTTTTCTCCCATGGCATCTCTCGGATCTCTCGTCTTCCGGCAAAGCGAGCGCAGGGGGATCTCCTCACCCCGGGCTGCATGCCGAGGCTGGGCGACCATTGATTGATTGCATCAGTCCGGGCGACTGGGGGTGGGTATCTCGGGTGTATAGAAACATTGTTTCCAGCTACTCTCCGCTCTATACAGCTACGTACGGGAAACATGTCTAGTACATACGAGGGAGGGGAACAGCGACAAGGCATGGGGGGGGGGGTGAATTGAAACAATCAATATCAAATTAATGGAAAGCTACTGTATGCACTGCGACTCTTGATAGGCTGTAGAGGAGAGTAGAGGGACGGACAGTGGTGGCATCGGGATTTGCGAAATTGGCAGCCCAGCGCAAAGCAGCACAACAGGGGCCAGGCCGCTCGATCGCCGGGACAGGTCCAAGGGTGGAGGAATCGGATTTTGCGAGCGCCCATCGAGAAGAAGGAAAAAATAAAAATAAAAAAAAGATGTGGCAATCTATTTGGTTTCCTTTTCCCACCCCCTCCTTGCCCATGGTCTCAGGCGGGCTGAAAAGGCGACCCTGGATCGGGCAAGGCGAAAGAGGCGCGACGCGGCGTGGCGGCTGCGGACAGGGTTCGTATGCAGTGCCCGGATTTGGAAAAGGTCGAAGACGAACTGAGACCTGTCAAAGGTGAGAAGAAGAAGAGGAGGAGATGGTGGTCGAGTTGGAACGATGTTTGACCGGGCAGATGGACAGAGATGGGTGTGTAAGCCCAACTACAGATGCTGCTATACTACCCTCCAGTCCCGATGGCTCCTAATACGTCACTGATGGCATCCAAACAAGTGGCGTACAGCTTGTTTTGTTATTTGATACAGTGTAGCAACATGTTTTCGTTTCACTGGACCAACAGCAGAAAGAGACGTGGAGCAGAAGCTACAAGCACGTACTGTACACATCACTTACAACCACTTAACTACGCATCACCATGTCCATCACACAACAGCAACTCCTCTTCTCCTTTTCACACATGCCCAAATCCCAAAGAGGCCTCTGGCCAATGACTTCTTCTGCCCCTTCCAGCGCATCGGCCGTGGGCTGCCAAACCTCCGAGCGGCCACAATCTGTGTCTTACTCTGTGCCTGTGCTCGTGCACTCGCGAACAGGACCAGAGCAAGACGAGCCGCCAGCCAGGGGGATGCCAAGTCCAGTGATGTGCAAAATTGCTTTGGGCCGGGTGGATCTTGGACGGCCCAAGAGTTGGTGACCCCTGCACGGCCGTGGGACTAGGACGATGGGCCGTGTGTTAGCCTCGACATGGTTTGATCTTGAAGGGGGTGGTGATGCAGCTCAAGGAAGGGTCCTTGGTAGATGACAGTACTAGACAAGGTGATGCTGTTGCTGTGCGAGTACTCGCATGTGCAAGGAGATGTTGATTGGTCTAGAGGTGTCCAAGTGAGCTCTAGAGACGTGATATTGGACAGATTTGATGTCTGGTGATTTGCGAGCAGTGAAGATCAACACCTAAGCAAAACATTGGTGCAAGCTACTTGTATAATGGACATTATCACCAACTCTAGTACCTAACCAACAGCATCAAAACAGGCTCTGCGCACCTTGATGTCCCCCCGTGGCGCTTTACGCTCGCGATACGTGCGTCCCGTGTTACCGACACGTCAAGCACTGACCGGCGAGCACAGCATCTTGCTATTGAAGCTAGCAACAAGCCCTGCTCGTCCGGTGAGACATGGGGGGGAAAAGGCAGCAATTCACGTCCACGGGCGACACATTCACACATCTACCAACAGGGCTGAGGTTCGAGGCCCTTTTGCATGACGGAGAAGGGGACAGAAAACACGTTCTTCTCGTCCGCCTGTGCCGCCATCTTCTCCGCCGTGATGCTACCTCGACACCAGGACGCGGCATCTTTGACTCTCTGACCCGACGTCAAAAGTTGTGAGACACGCATGATGGACTGACCGCTCAGGCCCTTTTTGTTCTCACCAACTTGCGCGGAATTTTAGTTTCTTTGATTTAGAGGATACGATGGGACTGGAAATCTAAAAAGGGCTAGGCCTTGTGTAATTGCGTGGTATAAAGCATGCCGTGGGATGCACATGTCAAAAAGACTTGGCGATTTTACCGTGTAAATGAAAACGACATGAATGTGTAGGCGCTGCCACACACCGAGAGAGAGAGGCAACGAACCCTCTCCGCTCTGCCTCGCTCTTGATGCTCTAGTGTACATCAACTCCATGCAAGTAATCAATATAAATGCCCCGTAGCTACAGCATCCAAATAGATTGAACAGGATGCGACGCTGGCGATGGAGCTCTCCATCTACTAGGCCAGCACGAGACTGTCAACATCAAGTATTTGGATTCTGTGCAACACCAGGCTGCATATGAGTGTCGATCACCGCCACCGTCACAAACCCCCCCAGAGGAACAGCAACGCAGTGCAAGCAGCGGTGGGCATGGACATGGACCCCGTCGTCGGCCGCTTCGACGATGGGCACGTCAAAGTCGATAAAGTCCGATGCCATGCTAAAGCTGCCTTGAGCACGTCCCTCATCCCTCCCTTACATGCGGCGGCGATCATGAGCGGCCGGTGGCTTCCTGGTGGGAGAGAGGCGGTAGCTCCCGAGAACTGAGACATGCGCGACACTTGGGCGGCTTGAGGGTTAGCGGCAGGCATTTCTCGACTACTGCTACTCATACAGGTAGGTAGTATGATGACGGGATGTTGTGATGTACGGATAGTAGTAGCGGTGGTGGTGGTGGTAGCTGTACGGGTGCATGTCTTTGATATACAAAGGGCGAGGCAATGCAAGGTTACATGAATGTTTCATGCTTTCAATCCATATTCCTCTTGAATATCGAGTAGCCAGGTGATGCGGATGAACCACCAGACCCCCTGGCAAGTGGTCATGCATCTCATTTGGAGAGCACAGCGGGCGAAAGATGATGGTACGCGAAAGAACATCTACGGTGAGACAGACGGCAGCGCAAAGCCAAAGCAGTTTAGATTTCGGGGTCCATTCCAACTCGAAATCGCCGAACAGCATAAAAGTCTCCTTTTTGCTAGCCCCTTCCAGCTTCCAGAGAGTGAAACCCCCCTCCCCCGGGCGCGGATCCGCTCTCGACGATCCGTCCCCGTCGAATCTAGTAGCATCGTGCTATCATAAAGGATAGGAAAACGTAGCGGACGCATTGGGAAAGGAGAGCGTGGACGGTCGACCTAAGCTAATGGGGACAATAAGAACAAGGTACTTGCAATATTATACTAGTATATGCCCTTCTGAAGCCGTCGTGAGTGCGTGAGATGAATCTGGTGGTGAGCTGGGGGCTCAGGTGGTTCAACGTCCTGTTCGTTCAGGGCGCCGGTCTGTAAGGATCAATCAATCCAAGGCGCAGGCATCGAGTGACATTTCAAATTCGTTTCCCACGCACCGCTTTATAAGCATCTTTGCTGCCTCCCTTTTCAGCCGCAAGGCGATGGACAAGGGGGGGCCCTTGGGGAGGAACGGTGAGCAATCAACACACGGTGGCAGCATGATCCACGCAGAGCAGCTGCCTACGTCAATAGATTCGATCCTCGTCCATCAAAGTTTTTAAGATGGGGGGTTTTTTTTTTTTCCCCAAGGCATTATTATGCCGGGTTTGATGGAGACGATGGACACGCATTCTTGCGTTGGCTTACAGACGAATACTAGGCTCTTCGTGATGGACGATACAAGCGAGTGATGTTTGCAGTATGGGGTGCGAAGACTCCTCTGCTCTCTGTTTCCACATACCCTCGCTACCACCAACAACATATATTATTCGTATACTTGTTGTAACGAAATCAACTCTATAGCCATCAAACAAGTAGCATCCTGTAGGCGTAAATGCAATGTCCAAGTCCCGTCCTTACCCTGGAGAAAGCCACCAAAAACACCAAAAACACCCTAATCTCACTACTCTCTTCTCAGAATTCTCCCTCTCCCTTTCTTTGGATAGTTTACTTTTTCCTTCCTTTCCTTCTTCTTTTTTACCGCGAGCCCGGTTCATTCACCGGCAGCCACTCGGCGAGTCATTCCCAATGTGATAGACCTGGACATGCCCCCAACAGCACACTACGAGTACGAATATCTCCCGTACACTAACCAACCTAACACCCTCTCACCTGTAGTTTCGCAGTCCATCACCAGAGCTGAGCCCCAGAAGCCGTCTACAATATATTAAACGACCCCATCTCACCGGCAGCGCATAAACAACGTCCAGTTCAGCTCATATTCCCTCCTTCTGCCAAGTGTGGCAAGTCTATGTTGTCAACATAACATAGCCATCCCCCACGCAAGCATTCACACAACGACTCCATACACGCAGCCTCACAGACCGTCTCCAGGGCTGAGATTTGTCTGTTCGTATCTCAGTAGAAGCCTGTTCCTTGACCTCCAAGCACCCTTTGATTCGTTTCGTCCACACCCTCCCCCCTGTCGCGCAAAATGACATTCCATCCGCAGGCTAAGCCGAGGAGAGGCAGAATCTCCACCCGCAGGGTTCTGGTGGCAGCTGAACAGCCAGGTTGGAATTGCTAGTGGTGCTGGACGGAGCAGTAATCTATCTGTACCTTTCTTGGTGGTGCTTCTAGTGTTACTATCACTCACTACTCCGTACCTGTAGCAGTATAACTAACGCGACGAGCGGAGGTGGAGGAGAGCCTCCGACAGAGAGAGAGAGAGAGCTGTGGAAGACGCATACAGTAATGCGTGTACAATCCGGAGCAAGTGGAGAGGAGAGGTGATGCTCCAATTTGCTGTGCGGGCCGGACCGCGCAAATGTCGCCTTTTGCTCAGGATTTTTGGACGTGCTCACTTTGCCATGCCGGCAGCAGAAATCCCATCCATGCTCACTGTTTTCCTCTCCACAGTCGTTTTGGCCGTTGTGGTGAGTTGATGCTTTGCGTCTGCCATGAGCACCTGGATTATAGACTAGACGGTAGACACATGAGGTGGATATCGTATCCGTTCCATCCTGCTCGTATTTGCTGGTAGTGGAACAGCAATTTGTCGTCTGTGGTTGTAAGTGCTGGATGATGCCTCCTCGTTCGCAAATAGTTGCGAGAGAGCAATCCAAGACTTGAACAATCTACCCATCCGTTGTTGATGCGAGAGCAGGCGTGAATGGAGCACAGCAACAACTGCAGCCCTTGATTTGCATCAGGTATACTGCCTTGCACACACGCACTCGTAATTTGGGCCTCTTTGGCGCGCGCGACAGTGAAGCCTTGATTTAATCTTACTCTCCCTCGTCTCTCCTCCCTGGTATCCATCCTCACCACACGCATCCACCACACGCATGCACATTCAGCTCATAGAAGAAGAAGAAGAAGAAGATAAGAAAGCGGCAAACACGATTTAATCTCGGCAATGCACATCAACCTGATCCAGCAGCTTTTGCGCATCCTTAGCCGCCCGTCTGCTTTTGCTTAGAAACGAAAAACAATGCAAATATCAGTGTTTCTATTTCCGGCAATCTTCGCCTGGCCTCTCATTGGCCCGGCACTTTCGCCCAAGCGCCGTGCCCGGGAAACAATTCCTTCGTATGTGACCCCGGATTTTGCTCACAAGGCAATCCAGCCAATCCCGTCTCGCGATTCCCACGATTTGTGCCCTTTGGATAGGCGAGATGGAGAGATTGGGCGCGCCTAGCAGGACAATGTCGCATCTGGGCTGCATCTCGGGCCTCGAAACGATGCGCGCCCATTGGCTGGGCCTCGCGTCCGTGAGGGCATCGCAGGTTGTCCAAGCGCCTGCAGATGGACGCTGCTGAACGGCTACGAGTACATTTACGCTGCGTTTCCCGCTGTATTTTGTAGATTATTTTGTGTCTTGTTTTGTGGCAAACAGGTCGTGTCCAAACAATTTGGTTTTCCTTTCCTTTCCTTTCCTTTCCTCTCCTTTCCCTTTTCCTTTTCCTTTTCAGGCTTCTGTTTCGTCTTTTTCCTTCCCTTGTGTTGTTCATCTTCCTTCGGCATCCGTCACCGGCTTGACTCGATTCCGCCAAATGATACCCCCATCCACCAGCCCCAAAATGTCTTCCAGCCTGAAAAACGAGCTCTCTTCTTCCGAGTTTGAAGTCGAGGCCCAGTCTCTCCAGCTGCAGGCCCAGCGCCAATCCAACCTTGGCCTCATCAACGTCGTCCACGGCGGACGCATTGCTCTCACCGTCCTGGCCCTGGCGGCTGGCATCACCATCTTGGGTGTTTCGGCCAACAGCCTGATGGTCTACCACCAGACATACCTCCCGTCTGACTTCTATCTTCCCCTATGGCCCTCTCGGTTTGATCTGCGCCCTACCGCGGCGTTGGTTGCCGGAGGAGTCGTCGTTACCGTGACCAATCTCGTGTCCCTCCTCTTTAGCAAGATCCAAGCTGTAAGTATTCATCACCAATGTCCATCTTCTTTAGTACACTCATCTGATACGTCTAGGGAATGCAGCTACGAAGCCTTACTGGCCCTCACGCCATCGCCAGCCTCGCCGCTCCCGCCGCAGCCTTCATCGCCTCCCTCGTCGCCATGTCTCTCTTCTACGCCGTCAACGCTTCTTCCACCGTGGACAACCTCCAGAGCTGGACATGCCGCTGGAACAATGTCCCCATGACCGTGCAGCCGCACTTTGGCACTCTCTGCAAGCAGAACCAGGCCGGCGTGGTGCTTTCCGTGCTGCTTGTTCCCCTGGAGGCGGCCATCCTCGCCGTTGCGGGCTACCAGGCTGTTTTGGAACGACAGGCTACCAAGGCGTAATGTCATGAGAATGGAAGAAGAAACAACGAGGAACCTACCCGCATCAGGGAGATAATCAATAGGAGCGGCTTCGTGCTCTGAGACGATAGGCACGGATGGAGATGAGGTACACGACGGGAAAGCCATCGGACATTGTTCAGATTAGTAGTTACATGTAATATAATTCTCTTGTCTCAAGTGCGAGAATAGACGGCACTGGAGATGGCCATCTGGAAGGCTTAGCTGCACCACAATACACAAATACATATTTAGCGAAAACTGGTCCATCTCTTTCAAATAAATTAATTCGTACTATACGCATTCGGGATACTGCATCGAATCTTCCATAAAGTCAGCAGCAAACATTGCGGATATGACACGCATCCACCCGTGTTCACAGACTATACCGCAAGGTATTTACTGGTAGTTGTGCAACATTTAATCTATACATCTAGATGAAGCACGGAAGATGACACGGGTACACTATAGATCTGAAACAATACCAGTTATTCACCAGCACGGGTCAAGCAATCTCACTTCAGAGTCACAGATGCGGTGAGAGTCTTGTCACTTTATACTCACTTTTATCCAACAAGAATCAGGATTTCTTACCACCATAGAGGGGGAAAAAGAGAACTAGACTGCAATTCAGAAACTCCTTCTGCCATTGCATCGCCGCGTCATGGATCAGCCGGCTCCATCTCCATCCTCCATCCTCAACACCACCAATCCAGCGCCGAATGCAACTCCATCGGCTCCTTCACCCACTTCCGAGCGGAAATTCAAGCCTAGAATCAAAATGTCCAGCTTGGAGACCGTCCCAGAAAGCGACCCTCGAACTCGATCTCAACGTACTTCGTCCTTGATTGATGTCGCAAAGCCCACGTCTTCAGCTCCCAACGATAAAGAGCGCCCATCTACCAAGCGAAACCAGTATTTCCACGATGCACTTCACGAGCTGTCTGGTGAGAATTCAGCAGCTGAGGCGGTACGAGCAGAGGCTCTGATTTATGCCGAAATCAAGACGAATGTCAAGGCGAGCACTTGTCATCCACTGCAGTGAATTTGATGATTGCAACAATAGCCATCTAACTAAGCATAGATTGAAAGCGAGCACCACTTTCTCACCGCATTCTCCCACCATCTCGCCGCGAGATACAACCGTTATCCATCCTCCATCGTTGTATCACTTCACGATGGCCAGTGCCTCCTCTTTGGCGGCTCCTTGGATCCTGCCTACACTCTCACCATCACGGCCCTCGCCTCTGAAGTCCAGCCCGCCACCAACAAGCGCAATGCCGCCGTTCTTCAGAAGCACCTGGAAGCCGTGCTCCGCATTCCTCCTGCCAGAGGGATGGTGCGCTTCATCCCGGTGGTGGAAGAGTGTCTCGCGTGGGGGAGCAAGACTGTCGCGGGGAGGATTTCAGAAGCGGTAGCTGGCGATGGGGATGGCGAGGGAGAAAGGAGCAAGGTGCAGGAGAGACGAAAACTAAAGGTTTGTGATATTGTTGTTGTTATTACTCCATTGCGTTGGTGATATGAAGGGATGTGTATGGACTGTGCTAACCGATGATATAGGTGCTCTCGTTGAAAAGAACCTTGCCGATAAGCAACATGTCTTCAAATACACAACCTCCAACTCTTGTACAACGAGCAAAAAATTCCACTGTCAGTCCAATTGACCGAGTAGAGCCTGCAGATGTGTTTGGGGGAGAGGAAAGTACCAAGGTAGTTAGGAAGAAGAAGAGCATCATTCATACGCTGTTTAGGACGGCAAGGGTTGAGGATGAGGATCCCTCTGGATCTTGAGAGGGCAAATACAGGTATTGGAAGAAGAGTCTCGAAATTGGAGCGTATTCAGCTGGATAATGAATTTTAACAATGCAAGGTAGCAGCGTGTTTATATCGATTCATCATGTTGTTGCCATTGTTTACTCCAGTAGGGAACGTTTGTTGATGCGCTGGTTGGCTTCATCCCACTTTCAGCTCGCTTTGAGTTGACGCAAGAAATTGAACCTCACTAGTAACCAGATAGCCCGGCAATTCAATCCATCAATCAGATTAAACGTATATATTTATTCGATTACAAATATTCCAATTGCTACATGACATGTTCAATGTTGTCTTGAATCGCGTGCCAGGCGCGTTCTCCATCTAACAAAGTGGCTGACTAACCTAGACTCGCGACCAAACTTCCTACACCGTCCAAGTCAATCCCACCATAACTTCAACTTCAACCTCATCCTCATCTTCTCACAATACCACTGCATGGGCTTTTGCTACAAAAACAAGCCCAATTCCATATCTGGCATAGCCGTCACTTTTACAATCCATCCCCTCTTCACATTCAGCGTCATTCCTTCTTTTCCCTCTCCGGCCATGGCAGTCGCCTGCCCCATCTGCAACAAGCCCGTCAAATCAACAGACATCAACGACCATCTCGATTCCGGCTGCACCAGCTTCATCTTCGACTCTTCCTCGACTCCTCCTCTCTCAACCGCAACCCCTCAGAATGGCGCCTCAACTGCCCCTCCACAATCGCAGCCGCCGAAACGCAGTGCCTCAACCTTCTTCTCAACGCCCACGCCCAAACGGCAGATAACCGATCTCAAATCCCAGGCGCCACTGTCCAGCATGGTGTTTCCGCCGCTGGCCGGCAAGAAGAGATCACACGGGGATGGGCCTGGCGAGGGACAACCGCAGGAAGACAGACACATGGAGGACAGGCACATGGAAGACGTGGCGGCGGTCAACGGCCACGGCCACGGCGCAGACGAAGACGGACGGGTCATCAAAAAGACAAAGACGTCTCGCGCGGCTCCCCTGGCCGAGAGAATGCGGCCCAAGACGCTGGACGAGGTGTGCGGCCAGGACCTCGTCGGGCCCGAGGGCGTCTTGCGATCCCTCATCGAGTCCAACCGCGTGCCGTCCATGATCCTCTGGGGAGCGTCCGGCACGGGCAAAACCACAATCGCCAGGTGCATCGCCCACATGGTCGGCAGCCGCTTCATCGAGCTCAACGCCACCAGCTCGGGCGTGCAGGAGTGCAAAAAGCTCTTCCTGGAAGCCGCCAACGAGCTGCAGCTCACGGGCCGCAAGACAATCATCTTTTGCGACGAGATCCACCGCTTCAACAAGGCCCAGCAGGACATATTCCTGCGCCCCGTCGAAGCCGGCACAATCACCCTCATTGGCGCCACCACCGAGAATCCGTCGTTCAAAGTCGCCAATGCGCTGCTCTCGCGATGCCGCACGTTTACGCTGCAGTCGCTCAGCACCGACGACGTCGTGGCCATCCTGAGGAGGGCTCGCCAGGCCGAGGAGTCGGTCTACCCGCCCTCGCCGCTCATTGACGATGAGATGATGGGCTACCTGGCACGCTTCAGCGACGGAGACGCCCGCACGGCGCTCAATCTTCTCGAGTTGGCCCTGTCTCTCACTCTTCGCGATGGCATGACCAAGGAGGCTATGAAGCAATCCCTCACCAAGACGCTCGTCTACGACCGCGCCGGCGACCAGCATTACGACACCATATCCGCCTTTCACAAGTCGGTCCGAGGCAACGACCCGGACGCTGCGCTGTACTACCTCGCCCGCATGCTCCAATCCGGCGAGGACCCCCTCTTCATCGCCCGCCGCATGGTTGTCATCGCCTCCGAGGACGTCGGCCTGGCAGACAACGCCCTGCTGACCCTCGCCACGTCCACGTACACGGCCACGCAGCAGATTGGGCTGCCCGAGGCCCGCATCCCCCTGGCCCACTGCGCCGTTGCCCTCTGCCTCGCGCCCAAGAGCACCCGCGCATACCGCGGCTTGAACAATGCCTTTGCGGCCCTTCGCGAGCCCGGCGTGGCCAGCTTACCCGTGCCGCTGCACCTGAGAAATGCCCCAACGAGGTTGATGCGAGATCTCGGCTGCGGGGCAGAGTACAAGTACCCGCCGAATTACAAGGACGGCAAAGTCAAGCAAATGTATCTCCCGGAAGAGCTCACCGGCCGCAGGTTTCTCGAGGCGAGAGATTTGGGGACCGAGGTCGATCCTGATTATGAGGAGGAAAGCATGATTCTATGACGTACCCCATCTCATTGGATTGAAAATTGTAGAGGAAAGAAAGATGAAAGGATTTGAGCCAGGAAACTTGGGGCTCGTTGGATTGTATCACTACGGCGGGACGAGGCGATGACCAATTTTGGGGTGGTTGGATACTGTTTTTGTGTATACCACAGGTTTTCCTCTTATGAAAGGAGGTTTTTTTTTTTTTTTTGTACATGATACCACCGATGACGGCATGCATGCATAGACAGCGTTGTTAATTACGAGGGAAAAGGGAGGATAGGATATACGGCATCATGATAGGATATTTACAAGCAACGCATATACATACTAGTATATACGCATATACAAACTCACATCATCATCACACAAAAGTAAATCTCAAGGCTTCCTTTTTGAGAAATTTGATAATAGTACGCTACCTTACATAGTATGTACGTGTATCTATATATATATGTATGTATATTCGTTTGTGCATGTTTCGATATCGCAAAAATGGGTATATATAAAGTACAAGTACAGATAGACGGGGAGGCAGTGATGCTGCATGTTATGTAAGAAAGGGGTATGATGCCAACTGTTTTCATGATCATGTCGAGATGCCCTTTGTTGCCCTCTTGATAATGCCAACGAAGAGAATGAGAGAGAAGAAAAAAAAAAACCAGAAAACGCCCATGCTGAATGTTGTGAAGAATCATATGCTGTGCGTTAAAAAAAAAATGTGATGGTGTGAATGGGTTTCCTTTTCTTTCTTGAGGGATGCCATTCCGTCATGCGGCTATGAGCAGGAGCAAATGAGGGAAAGGGAAGGATATGACGGGCTAGAGGATGATGAAGCGATTATGATGATGCTGCTTCTGCCGGGCTCACGGCGCCATACCCGATGCCCTTCCGTCTTCCCTTGAGCAGAGCCCCCAAGGCCTTCCCCAAGGCCGGCATGTCGCCCATCATGGAGACGTGGCCTCGCTCCGTGCTCACCCTGCCGCCCTTTGCAATCGAGTATCCCTCCGGCAGCATGCTCTCCTTTGCCAGCACGACGCCGTCGCCAGGCCGAAAGACGAGATCGTCGTAAGCGTCGGCGCAGGGGATCGCATCTCGGCCGTTGACCCGCGCGGCGTACACGGTGGGAATGCTCTTGGAGTAAATCACGGCCAGGGGCGGATACGCGTTGGCGTCTTGATGGGCGGGGATGTGCGCCAGCTCGGAGCGGAACTGCTTGATGGAGGCCAGAGTGCGGGCGAGGTACTCGTAGTTGCGACGGAAGCGCTCCGGATCCATGTCGGACGAGGGGGGAGACGGAGGGAGGCCGTTATTGGGGTACGGGGGAGACTGAGAGGGCGGGATGCTCAGGGTGTGGCGGTGATTCAGGTTGCCGTCGAGCCGCGGGGCCATGGATGCGCGGTTCTGGATGTTGTTGACGATTTCCTTGGGGGCGGCGGAATCGGGCCCCGACATGGAGTTCCTCCTCTTGTCGACGCGGCCATCGCTGCCACGGGGCCACAGGCTGTTGGGGAACAAGGCAGCCAGGGGCGATTGCGCCGCCGGGCGGTTCAAGGGCGGCAGCGGCGGCGCGAGACACGGGCTGAGATGCCACCTGACCCAGTTGTCCGGGTTGTAAAAGTCGACGGGGTACGACTCGCCCGTGTAGCGGTCGGTGAAGCAGAAGCCGTCGTCGGGCAGCAGCGCAAACGAGGTGCGGATCGAGAAGTTGACCTGCGCCGTCAGCAGCTTGTCGTTGAACAGCACCGCGTCGCCGTTGCGCAAGGGGCCCAGGATGTTGATGCACCGCATCGGCGTTCCGCAGTACAGCACGCCGGCGAACAGGTGCGGCTGCTCGTTGACGGCGTGGCGCGTGATGAGTCCGCCGAGGCTGTGGGCGACGACGATGGCGCCGCGAGACTCGGCGGGCACGCCGGGCTGGTTGGACGGCAGCGTCTGGAGAAAGTCCTGCAGCCTCTTGGACAGCCGCGACGGGCTCAGGCGCCAGTCGTAGCCGTAATCCCACACGCGCAGGCGGCCGGTCCGCGCGTTCTCGCACGAGCGCAGCTTCTTGAAGAACTTGCGCGAGATGTCAATGGGCCCAATGTGCTGCAGCATGCCCGACGGGATGATGCGCTCCTCCATCGTCTCCTCGTCCTCGTCCTCTAGCCCTACCTCGAGGTTGGCCTTTCGCATGTTGAGCCCCAGCTTGACCGGCGCCCACAGCTGCTGGTGAGGCGGCTCGGCAGACCGCAGGATCGAGCCGCGGTAGCCGCCCATGATGACAATGTCGCCCGTCAGCTCCTCCAGCACGCGGTCGAGGCGTTCCGAGTCGTCCTTTTCCTTGGCGTTGCCGCTCGTCGTCGGCTCCTGGTCCAGGTTCTGCTTGGACTGCGTGGCTGGTTCGTTGAAGAAGATGTTGTTGAGGGAGATGGTCGACCTCCTCGACACCGCCTGCAGCTTGGCCAGGCTGGGGATGCTGGGCATCTTGAAGTTGGGCACGTCGGGCAAGCTGTCCTTGATGGCCATGAACCGAACGTTGACCTGGCTGCGGACGTCGGTGAAGCGATCGTTGTCGCCCAGGGAAGAGGCGCGAGACAGGCTGTGATAGAGCATGCTGTCGTCAGATGTCACCCTGCGCAGCAACGGCGGCCGAGTCTCTGTGTCAACAGCAGCATTTGGATCCAAGCGCCCGTTTGCAGGGCTCTGAGAAGGGGGAGAGTTGGAAGCTGACGAGGCATGGCCGGGGCGTCGGGGAGCAGCCGAGCGACTGCGCTGGCTTTGCTTGCCGTCGGTGAAGCTGGACAGAAACGACTTGGGCAGCGACGGCAGGAAGTGTGACGACGCCTGCTGAAGCTTCTTCAAGGCTTCCTGGCCGGCTGATCTCGAGCGTTGGCGCGTGGGCTCAAAGGCAGCCTGCAGAATGCCGCGGGCGTCGCTGAAGTGTCCTCCGTCTTTGGTCAGCGGCTGAGACCTCCACGGAGAGGGAGGAGCAAGCCGCCGAGGCTCGTCCTTGGGCGCCGGCCCCAGCTGGATCGTGGGTTTTCTAAAGATGTGCGAAGGCGACTTGGGCGACGTTGCTGCTTCCGGCGTCGTGTCTCCGTCTCCGTCTCCATCGCCGTCTCCATCGTCGTCGCCGGACACGTGAAGTTCGGGCTCGTCAAAGAAGCCATTGACTCCGAGGCCTTTCAAGGCGGCCGCCTTTTCGATTGCGGGCGTGTGTAAAGAGGTGAGGTGGCTGGCAGCCGCGCTCATGGCGGGCTGCAGAAACGCCTGAGCATCGTCCGTATCCGGGATCATCAAGTCGTCCGAGAGGTTTCCCTCCTCGGTCAAGGAATCCCGGCGCATCGGGGCCGGAGTTGTTTTAGCGTAAGTCATTGTTTGTGAGACAGCGGCGCTCCATATATCCGAACCTCAACTCAGACTGGCGACTGAGAGGCCGAGAATGGGGAAAAAGGAAAGGGAAGAGAAAAAGGGAAAAAAATATCTACAGCACGGGGGATGCAAGACGGTGGAGAGGAGAGGGAAGCGAGTCAACGCAAGCATGTGCAATCTTGACGTTTTGAGATGGGAATGACAGCGGACCAATAGGGGGCGCGGATTGGCCAACGACGATAGCGAACTTTGGGTACTTTAGTGGTAGGTAGTAGTGGCGTAGCATCCAAGGAAACGAAATGGGGGAGAGAGAGAGAGAGAAATATAGAGAGACAAGTAGAGAGATGCGGTCAAGGACGTAATAGGATGGAGCGGCAAAAAAAGGGGGAGGCTTTGAATCAAGCAAAGACCAAGTCGTTCAGTCGAGTTGAGTTCAGGATTCAAGCAGAGAGCGAAGAAGACGGATTCCAACACAGTCTTAAAAAGCAGCCCAGGCTGCGACAAGAGACAGCCGAGCCACCCGGCGCAGCGCCAAAAGCTGAAGCTGTGGCCACCGAACCGCTGGATCTCGCGTCCTTTGCGTGATTGGCCGCCGCCGTTTAGCTGGCCAGCTAGAGCTTACCGTCGCCTCCAGATCTGAACAAGGCAGCTGGGCTCAGATCTCGTCGACGGGACAGGAATGGAATCCCAATGAGACGGCCTGAACCCGCAGCAAAAGGAGCCGCGCCACGACCCTTTGAAAAGGGCTGGGTGTCGATCCCCTTGTGCAAGTGTCAGGCATTCGTCATCGACCAAGAGCCATAAGTCATCATGTGTATCGTCCTGATCCTGATCCTTGCGGCGAAACAAGAGGAAACGAAACAAAAATCAACATTGGATCAAATCAAGTCGCACAAGGGAGATCCCTGGCTGGTTTTCTGCTGCGGAGAAGCGAAGCCCCGATAGAGCCAGAGACGAGACCCCTCCCCAGCCCAGCCTCCAAGTTTCGCAGACGCAGACGCAGACGCAGACGAAGCCGAACAGAGAAGAAACCAGACAGGGGCTCGTTCAAATCCAGCATGCAGTTCGAGGGGACCGAAACCCCATAATTGATTGTTCATCCTTCTCATGTGACGACGGAATTCGAGGCGGAAAAAAAGGCCTCGACGGCGCGCTTAGCGATTTCGATGCGGCCCCGTTTTTTTCCATTCCCATGATTTTCTCTCTTCTCCATGGACTCTCCCGGACATCCGCAGGCTGAGAGACCCAAAGAGGGCCAGCTGAGCGAGATGGTATTTAGAGTGGTTTGGAGAAATCAAAGGGGAAAAGTGAGGGGAAAGAAGAAGAGCATCGAGCGCCAATTCCGTGCATACCTAGGCTTTGATGACCTCATCAACCCCGGAGAAACTGCTTACGTGTGTCTCATTCGGCCGCTGCCGACTGTGTGTCTGTGTTCCTAATTATAGGTGGCCACAAGCCGCTAAATGAACTCGAGGCGTATAAGCTTACAGGTACAGGATGGAGATGCTCCCGGACTTGGGCTTGCGGTGTTGAGAGATTCCAGTGCAGCCAATGGCTCTCTTCAGGGTCCGCGGATGTTGCCCTCTGGGGCCGATGCATTGCGTGGGCCCGCCTGTGCCTGGAATATCCGATAGATACCATCCATCCATGCAATGCGCTGCAATTGATGCCCATTGTAGCAAGAGGCCTGCAGCTACGTACTGTATGTACCATCACGAGTCCCAATTTGGCGGCAATGCACAAGACATCCAATGTGAATTCAACACCAACCATGGTACTAGCTGCAGATGTAGATGTAAGACAATTTAGATCAAGTACTGATTGAGAGACTTGATTATTCACCAATCTCATGCAGCGACCTCTGCAACATGCAGACAACGACAATTCCTCGCATGCCTGTCCATATTGTCCGGAGCACTCGGTATCGCCATTGACCATGCTCCTCTCCCAACCCATTCGAGGCATAAGAGGCATAATAAGCTCGCAAATTTCCGCCAATCCTCAAAACTCAAACAGCCTTGCCATTGTCAGCCCCGTGCTATATACTCGTAATACCAAACATGTACCTATATGCTTCCCCGTGCACCAGGATAAGCATTGAACTCTGTTTTCTGATCTCCTCTTTCCACTCGTCTCGAGTCATGTCACCATCACCAAGTGAATAGCGCAAAATCACTCCCTCACAAACAGCCTGTAATCCCTCCATCAACTTCATCTCAACGCGAATAAAGACAAGCAAAAACATGCCACCAAAAAAGATTCTCTCGTCCCCGTCTCCAACACGCTGGCCACTAAAATGCAGCTCTTGTCCAAGCCTCGGCAAAACGCCGCCCAATCGGGCCATTCTGCCAGCCATCGTTTTACATCGGCTCCCGCTTAGTGGCCAATCCCCTCTGCATCAGCTACACATCACCAACTTGAACCAACCACCCCAGCATCAAACCTCAATTCCAACCTCCCGCTCTCTCTACCAAGAAATCAATTCAACCCGCAATCGTTACAGCCTCCAATGCGGACAGCCCTCCTCCCCCTCCCCCCTTGAACCTAATCTCTCCCCGTAATCCGCTCACCACCCTTTCTCTCCGCAATGACGACGCTGCACCCGCGCCCGCCCTACTCAGACGCCGAGCTCGCCCAGCTCTACCCGCGCCAGCTTCACCTCCAACAAGTCCAGATCCTGCTCCGCCACGGCGAGCGCACCCCCATCAACGCCCGCTTCGCAAACGCCGGCCTGCCCGCCTTCTGGCCCTACTGCAGCGCCGTGCGCCGCCTCCGCGCCGCCGTCCTTGGCCCCTCCGGCCCCGGCGCCGAGTCCGTGTCCGCCGCCGACGGCACCTTCTCCGAGATGCGCTGGCGCCGCCGCCTCGAGACCTTTGACGCAAACGCCAACGACGACGCCGCCGTCCCGGCCTCCGGTCCCAACGGCGAGCTGGACTCCCTCTGCGACCTGGGCATGCTGACGGACCGCGGCCGCGAGACCACCTACGCCCTCGGCACCCGTCTCCGGAAGCTCTACGTCGACCACCTGGGCTTCTTGCCCGCCAGCATCAAGGACGCCGACTTCCTCTACCTCCGCACGACGCCGATCCCGCGCGCCCTCGAGTCCATGCAGCAGGCCTTCCTCGGCCTCTACCCGCCGCACACCCGCGCCCCCGACTTCCCGCCCCTGACCATCGTCTCGCGCTCCCCGGCCGACGAGACCCTCTTCCCCAACGACAGCAACTGCCGCCGCTTCGCCTTTCTGTCCCGGGCCTTTGCCCAGCGCGCCGCCGACCGCTGGAACGACTCGGACGACATGGCCTACGTCAACAGGAAGCTGGCCAAGTGGATGCCCGCCGACAGCCCGCGCATCGCCGTCGACTCCCGCCCGCGCCTCATCGGCATCATGGACACCGTCACCTCCACCATGGCCCACGGCCCGGCCACGCGCCTCCCCAAGGAGTTTTACGACCCCAAAGCCCGGAGCATCATGGAGACCGTTGCCGTCGAGGAGTGGTTCGCCGGGTACAAGGAGAGCCGGGAGTACCGCGCCCTGGGCATTGGCTCCCTGCTGGGAGACGTCGTCGCCCGCATGGTTTCCACCGCCGAGCGCAACGTGCCGGCCCCAGACGCCGAATTTGTCCAGACGCCCGGCCAGCACGGCGCCATCGACGGCCAGAAGAGCAAGAACAACAAGAACAGCGGCGACGATGACGCTGCCGGCTTCCGCTTCGGCCTCAGCGGCTGCCACGACACCACCCTCGCCGGCATCCTCGCCAGCCTAGGCGCCTTCGGCAACGACGCCTGGCCGCCCTTTACAAGCCACATCGCCATCGAGCTCTTCCGCTCCAACACCACCAACAACAACAACTCCTCCTCCTCCTCCGACACCACCACAAAACCATCCTCCTCCCTCATCCCCTCCCTCTGGCCCTCCTCCAAACCCACCCCCATCGGCCGCAAACCCACCCCATCCCTCACCCCGCGCGAAAAGGAGTCTCTGCAGGGCTACTTCGTGCGCCTGCGCTACAACGACACCCCCGTCGTGATCCCCGGCTGCAAGACGCCCGGCAACCACCTCGACGGCGAAGAGTCCTTTTGCACGCTCGCCGCCTTCAAGGCCATCGTCGACAAGTTTACCCCGCGCGACTGGAAGACCCAGTGCCGTACCAACGTTAAGGCGCCCGCGTTCCCCGACAAGGCTGAGCCTGCTGGGTATTGAACGGCTTTTGGTATTAGTTTGGTTAGTTGGTTAGGTAGTTGTAGATGTGAGTCGTAAAAGGGGCTTTTGATATTTAGTTTTGGTTAGTTAGTTAGGTTAGTTGTAGATGCCTTCGAAGTTGTAAACCGTTCCCGAGCCGAGTCGAGGAAAACGAACGAAATCTTCCCAACCTTGTCTCTTTGGGCTCTCCGCTAGGCTTCAAAAGAAAGAGGAGCATCATCTGTAATCTGCCGCGATGAGGGAGAAACCATGGCGAATGGCGTTACAAGGATACATGATATTAGTTATCTAGGCGACTACTTATGCGTGTGTAGAACAAATTTAGACAACATATTGAAAAGCAAAAGACACAGCCATCACACAACACACATCACCAGATACTCATAGTCATGGTCTTATTCAATTGTATTAGTCGATACCCGACCCAGCCGCAAAACTCCATAACGACATACATGCAGATGTTTCTCATCCTCCTTCCCGCCCTACAGATTACCAGCCTCGGCCAGCCCCCCAGTCGTCATCACCAAGGGCCTGGCCACTCTCCTGTCTTGGTTTCTCATCTTTTTGATATTTAGGAACTCGCCTTTCCGAGCCCCTCTCACCATTTCCCACTCCGTTTCATGCTTCCTAACTAGACAAGCCATTGTTCGTCACACGGCTCGCTTGGATATTGCACATCCTCCGCCTAACCAAGTGCTCATCTCGCAGTTTCTTTCTTCTCAGCGCTTTCTGGGGATCATTTCAGGGGAATTGAAAAATAGTAAAAAGAACAAAAAGAGCAAAAAAAAAAAAAAAGTGTTTGAACATGGTACACCGAAGGAAGTAATTATGGAAATATTGGTAAAAAGAAAAAAAATGAAGAGGGGGAATGAGGAATCCGTAAACAAGATTAAGGACAAGGCGGAAAGACTCCAAAGCAATTATAACAAATTAGGTAAACCCTTCCCCTAACCCCACTCTGTTCATATGCGTGAGAAGTCCAACAAGGGACTACTATACTGTCCTTGGCCCAAACTTAATTGGCCACTTCCTCTTCCACCCAACCATTCAGGCCTCCCTGGATAGCCAGGCCGTAGCCAGAGGCTCCCATACCACCAAAGCTAGCTTGGTAGTGGTGGCCACGCCTCTCGCCCGTGCTGCCGTTGCTCTCCGAGGGGCTGATGCCTCCGTTCTCGAACCCGGGGGCCAGGACCGGAAGACTGACAGCGCGGCTGTGCTGACCACGTCCGTTGCCGGGGGCGAGCAGGCCGCCAATGGTGGTGGCATTTGATATGGAGCCGTTCATCGAGTAGCCGTTGGAGATGCTAGCCGACTGGCCGTGTCCACCGCCGATGGGGCCCTGTTGGGGAATATCCATCGACATGTCATTTGACTGGGCAGTGTTGAACAGAATGTTCTGCTGCACAGACATCTGCTGTTGCTGTTGCTGCTGCTGCTGAGCCTGTTGCTGCATGTGATTCAGGTACATTGTCAGCGGGTTGCTGGAGGCGTTGAACATGGCTGCCGACGGCTGTGGCGTGTTTCCGTTGGAAGGCGAGTTGCTGTTCTGTGAGCCATTGGGAGGTGGCGATGAGACACCGTCGCCGCGGGGAGATGAGCTCTGCTGGACCTGGCGAGGAGGGTTGCCGCATCGGTCCTTTCCAAAGTTCACCTTGAACTTCTTGTACTCCTCCTTGCCGCGGATGGCCTCGATGGCCTTGATGGCGTTGGCAATGTTGGTAAAGTTGACAAAGGCGCAACTCTTCTCGCGAAGGGCGTTGACCAGCTCAATCTCACCATACTCGGTGAAATCCTGGCGCAATCGTTCCTCTGTCCAGGTCTCGTCCAGGTTGCCGATGTAGACGTTGCGCGAAGCACCACCGCTCACAGCGAGAGCAATGGCGGGCGGGAGAGCACCAGAGTGCTTGCCCCAGCCAATCTTGAGTCTGCGGTTGTGAATCATCAGGCCCTGCAAGTTGCTGAGGGCGTAGAACGACGCAGCAGCTGTGGGGTCGATGAAGGTCACAAAGCAGATGTGCTTATCGGGAATGTAGCGGATGTGGTGAAGCAGACCACCTCGAACCACGTTGCAAATCTCCTCAATCGTAGTCTCCGGGTGAATGTTACCCAGGTAGATGGTTCGGTTGCCAAGGTTGTTCATGCCACCCGCGCTCGTGGCAACGGCAGCGGCGGCCACCGACTGCTGTGCGAGAGCGTTGGAGATGAGATCTCGATCGGCGCCGGTAAGCATGTGTGCGTATCCGGGGGCGATGCCCAGATACTGAGCTGCGTTTTGCTGCTGCGTCTTGGAGACGTAGGCGCATCTGTCCTTGCCGTAGTACACGCGGCGAGGGGCTTGCCACTTGGCCTCCTGAGGCAACTGGGTGACGGCCTTGATCGCGTTGGCAATGGACAGGTAGTGGATGAAGGCAATGCTCTTCTCGCGGACAATCTTGATGGTGTCAATGGCACCAAACTTGCCGAGATCCTCGCGCAACTCGTCATCGGAAACCTCCTCGGGAAGGTTGCCCAGGTAGACATTTCGGGAGGCGCCAGACTGCTGGACGGCAAGCGCTACAGACGTCGGGACCTGAGACGGCTTGCCCCAGCCAACCTTGATATCCTGGCCCTTGATGCACAGCTTCTTCAAGATGGCATCCGAGTGGAAGTGGGTGGCGGAGCTGGCATCGAGGAAGGAGATGAAGGCGCAGTTCTTATCGGGGAGCAGGCGGACGGACTCGATCTGACCACTCCGGACGTGACCCAGGATCTCTTCAGCGCTGGTGTCGGGAGGGATGTTGCCGAGGTAAACGGTTCGGCTGGTTCCCGTCACGACGCCGGCGCCCATGGAAACGGGAGAACCAGGCTGCATAGAGCTCTGCATGTTGAAGCCAGTGGGCGACTGGGGAGGGAAGAACTGAGGCGCCCCATAGGTCGAGGGAGAAACCAAAGCCTGGTAAGACTGAGGAGACATGCTGGGCTGCACGGGGCTCGAGATGCCACCGTTGTGCTGCTGAGCATTGGCCTGCTGATGCTGAGTCTGCTGGAAGCCAGACAATCCCTGGAACTGGGGGCTGCCAAAGGCGGCCGGGCTTCCAGGTTGAAAGGGGCTGCCCAGAAGCAGCTGCGACGGGAGCAGAGGCGTGAATTGCATGTCAAAAGCCGTTCCCGGGGTCATGTCATGGCCATTGGGCTGGTTCTGGTTCATGTTCTGGGTGTTGAGCGTGGGAATGTTGGCGCGACGAGGGTGGCGGTCAGCGAAGCCCGAGATGTTGGAGGTGAAGGCTCCATGGGAAAAGCCAGTATCGCTGTTGGAGGGCTTGGAAGCATGGCCGAAACGCGCGCCATTGGCACCGGTTGGCGCTCCCTGGCCAGCATTTCCATTGAGCTCCTGCATCCCGAGAAGGTGAGGGGGGACGAGAGAGTCCCGCCCAGCGTGACCGAGAACAGCCGTTTTGAAAGATTTCGACGTGCCTGGGAAAGGCACGAAAGGGTTATGCTGGTGGAAGTTGGGGCAGCCGGTTGTTCACTGGAGCCCAATACAAGAATTGCTGACGAAGATTGAATTCTTTTATGCGGAAACAAGGTAAAAATAGCAATGCGTCTTCTTCGAGGTAAGTCACGAGGTCCACCACAGATCAAACCGCTGTACCACAGGAAAAAAGGGGGTCGATGAATGGATGCAGGTTATATGTATGCAAAGTGACTTTTTGTTTTTGATTTCGAATCCAAGCAGATTATGAACTGGAAGCAATCGAAGGTTGAATGAATATTCAAGAATCGCAAATATTAAAACGGCAATATGCAAGCTCCTAGAGACATGAAAACGAGGCGAACTGGCGGCGGACGAGCAAGCAGTCGCTGCGGCAAGACGGATGCGATTGAGTGAATAGAGCCGCCACGAGTAGTATATCGAAGAGTGTCGGTGAGCGAGGGTAGCAAAGCTAACAAGAACGAATAGACAAGGTCGCAGGGTCGCAGGGTCTTCGGGATGCGAAGAAGCGGATTAGTCGAGCAATAATATTAGTAAGAATATGAGCAGAACGAAGGTCGCGTCGCAGCAAGACAAGATGTGATCCAATATCGACGGCAGACAGGACCCAATTGGCTTTCCAAGACTGCGATTGACAGCCTAGACCGTTGGCTCGGGACAGTCCAGTCGATCCAGCTGGGGGAAACGACGCGGTGGATTGTTGAACAGTCTAGGGCCTGGCGCAACTAAATTGTAGGAGCAAGATCGGTAGGACCGGGGGGGGAGGGAGAAGAAGAATAGGAAGAGGAGTAAAAGGCAAGAGGCAGAAGAGAGAAGAGGAGCAACGATGGAGCAAATGAAGGCAAAGAGTAATAAGGGATGAAGAAAATAACGGGCCACCGGCGAAGCGTGCTCAGCGGCAGTTTTTTCTGGAGCAGAGCGCCAACGCGAACAAGGGGCCGGAAGGAGAGAAGATAAACTAGAACCCTGAAAGGCAAGGCTAGGAGAGAGGGAAGAAAAAAGAGGGCCAGCAACGGGAGCTCGTACAAGTACAGACAGAAGTAGGAGGCGGACGAGGAAGAAAGAGAGCGGACAGCCCAGACCAGACCAGACCGGACAGGAGAGGAGAGGAGAGAGGAGAGGAAGCGAAAAGAGAGCGACGAACAGCGGCCAGGGGGTGGTTTAGTCGCTTCTGTTGGTGTGGCCGAGGGACGAGTATCGGTACCTGGCACGACGGGGGGCGTAGTACGAGGGGAGGTAGCGTGTACGGGGGAGCACCGTGGCGGGTGCGGCTGGGGGACAAGTACCAGCGCCCGGGGTTTTTGTCGGGGCGAGCACCACGGGGGGTACCGGTACGGGCTGCCACGACTTGGCACTACCAGAACCTTACCTTGGTAACCTACCCGTTCAGGTGGCAGGAGAGGCGTGCAGTGGCAGCTGCAGATTGGACTGGAAGCATTTAGGAGAGAGAGGAGGAGAGCAAGCACAAGCATGTACAAAGATACCTAGGTACTAAGGTACCTGTATTACGACCTGTACAAGCACTTACCGACACGGAGCCGTACCTCTTGCACAACAGCAATGACCACCGGTACTTGTTCTACCGCGCACACTCTGGCCCATGGCGAGGTATCGGCGGTACCTGCCGAAGCCCGCGCCGGCAGCACGAGTACTGTACCAGTACCAGTACCTACGAGTATACCTGTACCTGTACCTGTACACGCCGCTGCAGCGCAGACGCAGACGCGGTGGTACCTGGACCTGGGCCAGAACCTTTATTGAGATGGACAGTTGCCCAAACGGGACGGGGGATGGAATTGGCTGCGGTGGTAGTTTAATGACCCGGCGCAGGGGTTGCATCTGCTGGACCCAGCGCTACTGGAGAGGGACTGGCGCGCGGTTTAGGGGTTGCAGTGGCGTGCAGTGCCTGAGCGACAGGGGGGCACGTTGGAGCCCTTTTTCCCATGTACTTTGGGGGAACAACTTCAATGGTGCTGCCGAGAGCGGCCAGCTTTGTTTGTACCTCTGCATAGTGAAACAGCTGTGGCGGTACCATCCAATTCAGCCAGCGTTTCCTTTCCCTTTAGCGTGGTGGGGCACGGGAATGTGGCCTCTTCTTTTTTTCCTTTCTTTTCTTTTCTTTTTTCCCCCCTCTTGACTGCTTGTCGTTCGTCGTCGAATATTGAAGACATTTTGGGGGCACGTTGATCTAATACGAACGTGGTGGTACCTTGTCTTGTACAGGTACACCTACACCTACACGCACACGTATCGTATACTCCGTAGGTACGTTGCGAAATGCAGGTACACGTGGGTAGCTACCAAGGTACGGACAAGACGATTGAAGGGCCACCGATAGGAGCAGATGAGATGCGCCCAGAGAATGAATGGAACTGGGCGCCTTTGAGGGGATTGGCTCGAGGCTCGAGTACCCATACAGTACTATACCTACCACGAGTACGGAGTACAAGCACAAAGTACCTACTGGCAAGTTGTATAAGCCGGATGCGGCGTCCACTCTGGGTTAGCAGTGCTGCAGCGACAGGTACAGGTACAAGGCCCGGAGTCCCCATCCACTGCTGTCAGACGGGTCGAGTGAACCATTGGAGGAGTGCCCTGTGGGATTGATACAGCGTGGCATGAAATGGGATCCCAAATTACAGGAAGCACGCTCATGTGTTGACCTGCATGGTGCAAACTCTAATGGGCTCGGGAAAAGCATCAGATGGTTTGACGGGTTTAGTACTAGGTAGACAGCGCACCAAAAGACATGTGGCCAACATGGAGGCTGAGGTACTCTGCACCTACAGCAGCCCCAAAAAGTACGGGGTACGAGTACCTTGGCACACGAGTGCAAGAAAAAGGAGTGGCAGGTGTACAGTACTCGTAGCCAAGTTGGCGATCCATCATCGCAAGTCTATGTATGGGGAGCAGCTACCTAGGTAGTAATTATTAAAAAAAAAACGACACCAGACTGGGCCCCAGCTAATTACATTACATTACATTGGATCTGCTCGCCGAAAGAGATGGATGGATGTAGACACTAGTGTTTTCAAGTCGAGTCAATGTGAGGCGAAGAGAGGGTATCAGCGATGACCTCCCATCCCATGCCATGTTGCCGGACTGCTGAATCACCACCTGAGCATCAAAGGAACGGCCGCCGCCTCCTTACTCGGGCACAGATCCCTATTCCAGCTGGGGGACGCAAAGACGGGCCTCACACTCGACAATCAAAGGAACCCCCAATGCTACCTTGCATTCAATTACCTTGTTCCAAAAGGAGAGTCACCGGCAGACAGACCTTGGCAGGCAGCTGCAAAATTTCACTCCCGCATGCGTATCGTATCGTATACGTGCAGGAATAATGATAGTAGTAGTAGTAGTAATAATAATAATAAAATAATAAAATGCTCATTATAATCATCACCGGTCCAAATCTGCCTGCTGCTGCTGCAGGTGTGCTTTGGGCTTCTTCTCCCGGCCAACCGCCCAATTCAATTCTCACCGCCACGCCACGCATCTTGTCTCTCTCACCTGCAGCCATGGCCGTCTTCTGCTCCATCTTTGACCGCGTTCTAGCGAATTCCCATCCATAATTTCGCCGCCCTCATGCAGGACACGCCCCCCTCATTGTCATCTTATTCATCCCGTTCAACCACCTAAACTAGGTAATCAACCCCCCCGGAAAACGCCTTGTTCGCGTATTTGCTGTGGCTACATAGACCTAGCAACTCGTAGTGCCCTGGGCGGTAGGCTCTTCAGTCTTAGTTCTTAGCATGGCACTTTGGTCGTGCCACCTAGCACCGACCTAGAGCTTCGGTGTGCTTTTTCCAGGGTTGCCTTGACGAGCTCGGAATGCGCCAGTGGCGGCAGAGTTGGGCACAGGGTTGATCCCGTATCGTATCAACTCGATGCCGTGCCGTGTCGTGTCGTGTCGTTGCTTCATTTCCTGTGCAGCTGATGATGGTGCTACTACTAGTATGAGTAGCCCTTTCTTTTCCTTCTTCAATGTCCCTTTGGAGAAATGAGGGCCACCGACCGATTGCAATCATGAACAGGGGCTCGAGCCAACAGCGCCATTGTGAGCAGTTGAACGGAAGCGGATGGCTCCCATCATCACGACATCTACATACCCGCCTTCGCCAGTTGGTAATACGACTACAAGCAATTATAAACACACTGTACTGTAACTCGCACAAACAGCCCGCGGAGCCCCGAACAGGCCTCTGAGCCGTGGGTGAAACCACAAGTCGAAACAGCTCAACCGCACGACGGCTAGATCGGAAAGCGTGTCGTGGCTATGGCATTCTGATACCGCTGCTTGCTTACAGCATACCGGAGCACCCAATATTACCTGCATCTCGTCACTTTTGAGAGGGAAAAAAAGCATGAGGGAGCTCAACCACCTTGTCTCGGAGAAATCACCTGGGAGCCCTTCCTTTCGTACAGCACAGTACACAATCACTGAGAACAATGGGGGGATTGGAACCGTATAAGCATGTGGCGATTCTGCAATCAAAATCAAATCAAATTCGATTCATTTCACACGCAGCGCTTTAGCCGCTTCCAGCGGTAGCTACAGCTAAAAACTCCGCATTGGAGCAGTGGCCGTCTGCTGGTACCTTGCATAGCCGCTCCAACGCCAAAAAAAAATGCGACGAGATTTGATGGGTTGATGGACCATACTCGTACTCTTTGATTTGATGAGGGCTTTTTTTGTGGCGATGCCATGTGGGATGGAGCAAAGCCTGCAGTTTCTGCATGGATATCTGCATTAATCTGCATCGACGCGGGCTTGCTGTTTGATACTATATTTATACTACCTAAATTATAAACTGCATCAAACTTATTATTCCGGATGCATGCGGCATGTAACAAGCCTCGAACCTCATGCATGCAGTTTACGGCGACCACCAAGGTTTCTGGACGACAAAGCCATGCATGATACAGACAGCTGATGCTTGGAGTGAGTGTAAATCCACAACCAACTTATCAATATCCTTTTTTTGGTGGCGGTTTCGGTGATTGAGTCGTCAGTGTTCTATTCGCTGAATTCGAAGCATACACTTCAGGGCTGCATTCGGACTTGCTAGCTGAATACATGGACAATTAGTTTCGAAAACAAAAAGAGTAATTCGTCTACACTGAACAATGAACAATAATATGCTACTATTGCATCCATTCATTGATCAACAGGTTTTGTGTATACCCTTTGTGCGAATTAACATAGCCATAGCCGGAAAATGAGAATCAACACACACTCCTATACTCAACATCTTCTACATCTCTCCCCTTAAACACCATCAACATCATCAAACACATGGAAACAAAATACCAAATCATTCAGTCATATCTCATACATCAATCATCCCTCTAAATCCAGTGCCTACCTCCAAACCTCCATATATCCCCCCTCCAACTCCAGCCTTATCTCACAGCTCATCCTCCCCCTCAACGCCATTCACCCTCCCCATCTCCCCCATCCCCCTCTTCACAATCGAGCTCACCATCTCATACACCGCCTGCCCCCACGACGTTCAATCCCTCAATGCCCCTCAGGATCCGAATCAGCTCCCTCGTCGTCCACCCGCCCGGGTCCAACACGTCAATGTCCAGAGACAGATACACCGGGTCCTCCCTGCCCAGCGTCTTCATGATGCCCTCGACGATGCCCTCGGTGCCCACCTCGTCAATGTCGTCCGCCGAGAACCGGATCCAGTTCTGCGCCGTGTCGTCCTCGTTGTCGAAACTCGTCACGCCGCTGAGCCGTGTGCGAGGACCGGCATGCACAGACCGCTCGTTCGTCGCGTTGGACAAGAGGCCTTCCCGGTTGGCCATCCAGAACATGGACCCGTGATTGAAGTGAGTCGCCCCTCAGTACGACGGATAGGCAGCCGGGTCCCAAGTATCGAGATGTGCTGTTTTTTAAAAAAAAAATCCCCGCGGTTAGCATCTATCAAACGAACGCCTTTACCAAAAAAAAAAAAAACCCCTACCATCAAAGTGAAGCACCCGAACAGGCCGTCCATATATCTCCTTCAGCGCCCTCAAAGCAGGCAGCCCAAGACTAGGTATGATCCCCTCCCAGCGTGACAACCTTAGGCTTCGAACTCAGCGCCGACACAGTCCCCCTCCCGCCCAGCCTCCTTAAACGCCTGCGTCATCTGCTCCCTCGCAATGTCATTGTCAAACGGCGTGATGGGAATATCGCCGCAGTCCACAACCTTGGCCCAGTTCCGGTACGGATTGATGTTGGCGCGCGGGATGAAGCCTGGCGGATAGCTCTGGGCCCGAAACGCGCGCCTTGGAGAAAAAACGTCAGTCCATGTTGATGTTTGATTTTGTGTTTTTTTGAACAAAGGGATAATGCTCACCTGGACGGTAGCTCACGGCCGTGTCGAACGGCGCCCCGACAACGGCAATGCCGAATCTCTCGGCGGGATTCGTTAGGCACTTGACATGGTCCAGGTGCGCAAACGATCCAAACCCAGTAAACGACCACTAAAAGGGTTCAACATTCAGCATTCTGTCTTGCTTTGCGAAACGCTGTAGAATGACTTCTCCCATCAAATCCCCATTTTGCCTCCAGCTCGGCCAGCTCCTCCTTGGTCCATTCCCTCTCGTCGTGCTTCTCATGGCTACACCCCGCGGATAGAGCCAGCCAAGCAGCACAGCCGTCTTCATGATGATGCACTCGTCTCTGCCCGTTGAAATAACAATCACCCAATGACCAGATCCTCAAATTATCGGATAAAGCAAAAATGGTCATGGTAAAGAAGAACTCCAAGTCAGCGCTCCAACCCAATATATATCTCCAAAAAAAAGCCCCCCCCCCCTCACTACACAAAGGGCGCACCACACGCCAATCTAGCAGACATATAGAAACCCATCACAAATCATACAGAAGCAGCCATCTAAATCAATTGTCCCCCCAAATACATCAACTCGAACCCCCCATCCAAAAAAAGCTGCATTCATTAGTCGTTGGATTTAACAAAGCAATGGTGGAGAACCCCCTCTTCGGATTACACGCAATTGAGCCCGAACTGCCCTTTCGGGAGGAGCGCAGCGCCGATTGGAGAGAGAATCAAAGATTGATGACTTGACTGTTCTGTTGCTGTCGATGACACCCAACGTCGTTAACAATAAACCATGAATCTTGCGCTTGCTAATCCCTCGTGTACATGTATGTCATGTATGTCATGTATGTATGGGGCATTGGGTAATTTTACATGCACTCGGCGCATTGATGAAGAAACGCGGGGGGCAAGTAGTCCAGAAGCTGTTCAATTACTGTCCCAAGTGTCGAGTATGGAGATCTTGGCCCCCAAATCATCTCACATGTGCTGTATACATAGCTTGACACCACCAACAAGCAAGGAACAAAGGTCAAGAAGGGAAGAAAGATCAAGAAAGGAAAAAAGACCAAGAAAACTGGGCATAACAAAAGGTTCGGTCAATTTAACTGCACTCCTAATCGCCAAACTTCCCTATCGAAACATGCCTGTCTGCATTTTATAAGTTCCCTGGCCCAAAATATAGAGAGAAACGAGAAATAGACGGGAACGTAGATCCGGCCTCTGGTCTCGAGGCTATTGAGCAATGACGGAGAAGCACGGGCAAGGGCCGCCGACAACGAAGCAGGCCGCATCCAAGAAGCTCTTCGCCAATTGCCCCCTCCGTGGCCCATCGCGGACTAGGTCTTGCTTTTGCCATGACCAGGCACAGGGGAAAAATCCATCGCACGATTTCCGTGACGGTAACAAGTAAATCACAACCCCCTATTTGCCAGTGATATCAATCATCGTGGGTAGGCAAGCCCAACTCGCCCAAGTCTATCAACCCCGTGCAAACACAACCACCGTCTCCAATTGACCTCGTCCATGTATCCAGAACCCATCCCTTCTGGCCAACTGACCATCGAGTGAAACAATGGCAATATCCTATGACGCAATTTCCTGAGACTCATGGTTTATAGAACGAGACACTTGTGGGATTTCTTCTTGGGCGCGGGGGGTTCCAAAGCAGCAACAATGGCCTAGAATGGGGTTTGGTTAGCGCTGAAGTTTTCAAACACAGATAGATGCTCTCTCTCTCTCTCTCTCTCTCTCTCTCTCTCTCTTTGTTTCTCTTCTTTTTTCCTCACGGATTGCTTCATTGCGACATACCTCATCAAACACATCCTTGAGCTTAAACTGCGTCAACGCACTGCACTCGACGTATTTGACAGCGCCCAGGTCCTTCGCCATACGCTCGCCGTCCTCCTTGCGGACGGGGGACATCTTCTGCTTGGCAAGCTTTTCTCGGACGCTGGGGTCGTCTCGCAGGTCAACCTGGGTGCCAACGATAAGGCAGGGGACGCCGGGGCAGTGGTGGTGGACTTCGGGGAACCACTTTTCGCGGACGTTTTCGAACGAGGCGGGCGAGGTGACGCTGAAGCAGACGAGGAACACGTCGGTTTGGGGATATGAAAGGGGACGCAGTCGGTCATAATCTTCCTGTCCTGCCGTATCGAAGAGTCCCAGGGTATACGGCTCATCACCGATCCTATTGAGCGCCCAAGTCAGCGATTGAGTTGCCTCGGACCAAGTCATTTGGCTCAGCATAGAGATTCGACAGGAGGCGTGTTGGGCCATCTTTCCACCGCACGAGATTGTTTGGTTTATTTCTTGATGTCTTTTTCCATTGTCGCTCGATGCGCGGTGGCAGAAATCAACCGACCGAGAGTCAAAAAGTATAGTTCTCTCCCGACTTTTCCTCGTCTTTTCTCCTCTCTACTAGGAAACGGGGGAAGGAGTCACTCACATTACGGTGACGGCATAGTTGTCGAAAACGGTCGGCACATATTCCGAAGGGAATTTGTTTGTGGTGTAGCTGATGAGAAGACATGTCTTGCCAACGGCACCGTCGCCGACGACAACGCACCTGGAAGCGAATTGCAGGGTTAGCCATCGTGGAAAATGCAACTTGGCCGAGATGTGCCGCGGCAGGAGAGGAAGAGGGATCGCAGCTTGATTGACCGCCCCCTCCCTGTCAGCAGGTCGGGGACAGGGACGAAGACATCTGAAAGATGCACAACGACCTCGCAAGATGCCGGCATCGCAGGTTGCTCAAGGGAGGAGGAAGACGACAAGAAGAAAGAAGGAAGAAAGCAGCAAGAGGAAGCGACAAGACACGAGGCAGACGCAAAGGGGATTGGAATGCAGCATGGCAGAGGGGCTTGCAGATCGTACTTGATGGTTGCGACCACCATGGTGGTGCTGCTTATGCGGTTCCTTGACGAAGAGGGAGGTCTGACGACGGAGGGCAAGATGGAGGCCGAGATGCCTTGTCGCAGCGCGTGCCGCGGGGAGGGAGGATGCGAGGACGAGGTTTTGATGCTGCGAATTGAGGCTCTGGAGTTTTGGAGTTGAAGGTTAATTTGGCGGGAGAGAGATCGTAGTAGTGACAGTAGCAGCAGCAGTAGCAGCAGCAGTAGCAGAGCAGTAGCAGAGCAGTAGCAGAGCAGTAGCGGCGGTGGTTGGTCAAGGTAATAGGCTGGATAGGCCAGTAAGTGGATGCGCTTGGGCGGGTAGGCGGGCTTATCAAGAGGGAAAATGGCCTGCTCTGCCTTTGGTGGGAAGCTTGTCACGATGGGGGGAGAAGGAAAGTGAGGTGAGGCGAGGCGAGGCAAGTTCCGGGGGGGGACAGCAAAGGCTTCAGCGCTCTCAATGCTCCTGGTAGGTTAGTATGGAAGGGCTGGAGCCTTGGGGGGTTGGTGCTGAGGACAGGAGCAATGAATGAGTCGAGCGTTCAGTGCCAGCTCGTGCTTAGGTGATGTCGGGTCTGGTCTGGTGTTATGTTCTTAGTTCCGTCCCCCAATACTAGTATAAGTAGCACCGAGGAGAGCAAGTTAGTAACCTGTTGGGTCTGGTCTGGTGTGTAGGACCACAGGCCAAGTCGAATACAGCCGGGCTGGCAGATGCCTTGAGGCCGGGCTTGTCTGGGTGCTGTGTGCGTGTGCGTGTGCTGGCCGACTCGGACTGGGGGGGAGAAACTGGGGGGCGAAGAGGAGACGGGAAGCTTTTGGCGGAGCTTGGCCTCGTTTGGGCGAGATGGTCAACTGCTAGCAGCTCCCGTCACCGAGTAGTAGGCAGCAGTGCTAGTCAAGTTCAGGGCATGCTAACAATGGAACCGCCAGAGACACAGAGGAGATGGCACGGGGTTCTGGTTGGTGATGGCTGGCTTCGGTGAAGCAGGGTGATTGGTGGGGATTTGCGCCTGGCTGGCCCTCTGCCAAAATCGATTGATTGATTGATTGATTGATTACATGTAACTGCACTGATGTGATTGATTGAAATTGTCTGCACTCGTACTTGTCCTGTCCTTTGCCAGGCCCATGATCTGATTGATACGCTACGGATACCTGACTTATTGGATGCTACATGTAAGGTATCCATCAATACTAAACCCGTTCCCGTGAATCCTTTTCAGCAGCTTGCCATTGATCCTCTGCCAATTGGACGCGTGCAGCATGCACTCAGGCGGGTGGCTGAAGGGGGGGATTACTGTAGGCTAGCAGTAATTGGGGGGCTCGCTCAATGCGCGACAACGGCGGACCGGGGAGAAGAAGAAGACTGGAGGCTGGTTCGCTGAGCTTGCGCTTAGCTGATTTGCCAGGAGGGAGGCGGTTGGTTGGGTCATGTCGCGATTAAAGGAGAGGAGAGGAGAGGAGAGGCACGAGAGAGAGAGAGGGAGAGAGGCTTGGGCTTTTGCACAGGCCACGTCGTACAGGTAGGTAGGTGCTGGGCTGTACAAGTTCCATCATGTTGATTTCAATTTGATCCGGGTCCAGATGCTGAGTTCAATGTCTCCGTTAAAGCGGCAGCACTGTTTGGAATGAGATGAGTCCCGGCTGCTCCAGGTGCATGTATTCGTTACTTTGGACCAACCGAACCCGTCATACGTCCGCCTACAGATCACTGAGCTCGCACTCGGTACCCAGTACCAGGAATCACATGTGGAGCGCAGCCAGCAGTTGGCGTGAAACAAGGGATAGCAGAGGCAAAACCAGTTGAGCTGTTTGGGACTCTCGATTTGTTTGCAAATGCAGATTGCTACAGAGAGATGACGTACATGGCCCATTGCCTTACCTACAAGCTCTGCACATGTACTACCTTCTTATTAGCACTTGTAGCTCTCACATCTCAGACGCAGAGGAAGCATCAAGTACTACCTAGCAGTTGGCTCTGTTTCTGCCTCCTTTCTCCATGGCCCAAGTAACACAAGATTGCGTGCTCTCAACGCCACACAAAACCCTTTTCTGGCCGACACACATTCGAGTCGTACAGCGTAAAACTGCATCAAACAATCAAAGAAAAAAACAAGAGGCCAAAGTAGGGAAGCCAATCGCCAGGATCGTGCACTCGGGGCTCCTTCCGGGCCCCTTGCAAGCCCATCTGCCAAACCAGCTACTGCAAACCCCAAGTTTCAGCCCATGCAGCCAGCAGCGGCCCTGCCTCATCTGCTCCGAACTGCCCGTGACAGGCAACAAAAAGAGAGACAAGAGAGAGACGCAAAATCAAATAGTATCGACATTGCCATCATCTCGCTGAGGCAAGATTATTACCCAGAGCGCGTGCCTCTTGCAGGCAGGGGAGCAAAAAGAAACGAACGATACAAAAACGTGTAAACTATTTTTAACGGCCAGGCCTCAAGTCTCTCTCCCTATCAACGATGCTCCATGCCCTCTTGTGGCTTCCAGATCCTTGCGTGTGGTCTTTTCTCTCCTCGTCTAATGGCGCACGTGAGCTGCCTCCTTAACGAGATATGCTTTTTTTCTCCTAGCGAGGCGTTTCCCGCCATCTAACGAAATCAACCGTTGTGGCTTCTTTTTCGTGCTCTCCTTCACATCCCTGTCTCGATCTACCGTTGGAGCTCTAGCTTTGGCGCCTGTGTAATTTAAATGAACGAGAGCTCACTACCAACAAAGTTACAGTATCATAGTATGGATAGTACCTGTACTCCATGCTCTCACTGATTCAACCCGATGAGATGTGTAAAAAGTACGGCTCGTGTTGGGGACCCCCCGTCCTCTCATCTATCTCCTGCGTCGGCAATCAAACATAGGTAATCTCCTTAGCACGGTACGAAACACACCAGACGGCAATCATCCGATTGTTTCCAAGCCACAGATGCAGCTCCCAGTATTACCTCGTATGGAGCCGTGCTTGGGTAAAATGAAGGGGAGTTGTAGATTGCACGTAGCCGCCATATGCACCTGACCACACCAGATTCCCTGTCGTGCTACTCTGCAGATGCAACTCTTGCAGTTCACCGGTTTCGGTGAGAGCCGCCTACTGCTGGAGAGGGTGTCGTCGTCGTCTTTTTTTTTTCTTTTCTTTTCTTTTTCTTTTTTTTTTTTGCACGTTGGAACCCTGATGATGGTGTAACGCGTCCGTATTCTAGATCACGGAGGCGGCAAGATGAATGCAATTGCCCGCAATTCCACCGCGGCTGCCATGAGCTTCTGTGTCAGGATTGTGCGATGTGATTGCTCGCCTTGTATTCCAGAGTGTCGGAGCGTCTGTTGCTAACAATAGGTAAGAATGGGATGATGCAGAAGATGTGAAGTGGGAATTACACAAGTTGGCTAGCATTGATTTCTCTGTAGCGAGGTTACATACCCTACAATGGAGGACTTGTGAGGCGTGCAGAATGGCATCGACAACAGAGCCCCTATGACACCTATTTGATTAAATCGTCTAATATGCTTCTTCTTTGTAACTGATTAGTCTAAATGATGAGCATATCAATGAATGTGATAAACTGTGAGGAGGTAGATAGAGCCTCGAACTGCATGTACATTCATTACACTCGCGCACGCCATGATGGTTAATTTTGTATTCTACAAAGCTACATTACAACAAATTTCTATTATCGCGGACTAGATTTAGGCAGTCGATAGAATTCCACACTCCCCCCCTCTTTGCAAATCCGTGTATAGGCAAAATCCCAAAAACAACACCGTGGCAATCCGCCCCCCAAAGAGCAAGATAGAGTTGATTACATCGTCAAATGAGGTGGCTCAGCTCAAACCCCCCACCATGAATCCCGAGACTTTGCCTTTTTGACGTCAACCTCTCAACCTCAACCTCACCCAAGCTGCCCAACCAAAACCAAAGAAAAAAAAAAACCTCTCAACATGGAGCAACAACACATTGACTCGCTCCTGGAGCGCTATCTAACCCTAATAGACGAATATTCGCGCCTGCGAGAGGAGCTGTCGAAGCTTCAGGCGGGCGTGTTCCAGAACATTGCCAGAGCCAACTTTGCTGGCGAGCGGGGCATGAGATATGGCCGGGACCACTATGACGAGAGGATGCGCGCATTAAGAGTGTTGGATATCACGCCTGGAGAAGATGATGTACCAAAATTCACAATCAAGAGCTTAAACTCCATTGTGGATGACGAGGGTCGAAAAGAGGACGAGGACAGCTCTGATGGAGACAAAGCGGACACTACCACTGGCCAGGAAAACCCTGAAGCCAATCCTCAGGATGGACAGAACCCAGAGGACCAAGGCGAGGATGGGGAGAAAGAAGAGAAGATAAAGACAAACAAGGCAACTGACAACCCTCTGCGCTGGTTCGGCCTCTTGGCCCCCGCTCCCCTTCGCACCGCCCAGACTCTCTCTATCCAGGCCGTGGAGCAGGTCATCCCGCGGCTCATCTCTGTCAACGCCGAGATGGAGCACGTCGAGATTGAAATCAGGAGGGCGCGGAAGAAGCGGGCAAAGGCGGCAGCAGCGGCTGTGGCAGAAAAGGAAGCTGTGAGCATGGAGGCTGTTGAGGCGAGGTGATGGGAGAGAATGCGTTGGAGGAGGTGGTGATAACATTTTTGTTTACTAGCGGTATATACACTGAAGTGCTGTATCAAGTGTCGGGCAGAGTATTTGTATCTCGACTCTATATTGGCTTGATTATTTTCCGCGAGCTGTTCTGTACCCCATGTCTTCATATGCTACGTGATAATCCCCCCAGAACATTCAGTACATCGTCAATACCCTCCCCCAAAAAGCTATCCTTCGGTATCCCTCCTCCCAGCTGCGTTGCAATACCCACAAGCGCACTAATCGAATGCGCAAATCTCTTCCTCATACCAATATTCGCCTTTATCAACAATGCACAGCAAAGCTGCAAAGCCGCAACCTGAAGTTCCAAAACCAGAGGATGTGCCTGCTGCTCCCTAAAGACATCCCACGCAGCCGCAGCCGTGATGAGGTTCATCCATTCTTCGGCGGTGTCGCCGCTTTGCTCTGCAACTTGGAGCAGCACACGAACGATTTCGATGCCCCGAGAAGTCTCGTCCTCACTAATGGTGGAGGCGTCCTGCTGGAGGATTTCGACAAGGTCTTTGCTGAGCGTCTTCCAGCCGTCGTTCTGAAGAAGGATATTTCGGCCCTTGTCGAATGTTACTAGACCTTCGAGGGCGACGAGGATGGGAGACCGGAAATCGAGCTTTTCGGTTGTACTGCCGCGGTAGAGGTCCATAAACATGTCTGTCAAGCCGGTGGCCTCTTTCCTTATCATGTCGTTTTCGTCCTCGCGAAGCCAGATGGCGAGAGCCCTCACGGCGGAGAGAATGAAGGGGTCCTCGTCAGCAATATTTTCTAAAGAGTCCCACGTGAGGGTAAACCGTGATCCCATTGAAGTTTCTGCCTTTCCGGATCGAGCATCTGGATGTAGCCCCATGGCTCCGGCGAATGTGGCGTCCCATCGATCACGGAGGTACTCGATGGTGACAGACATGGTTTCGGATATGCCCTTGCGGAGCTTGAGGAGATTGTCCGGTGACGTGATGAGGGTCTCGAGCGACTCATCCTCTAATGAGCGAACCAAATGTCCAATGAAGATGCATACAACGTCAAAAGCAGAAGCGAGCCTTCGAGAGGTGTTTGGATAGTCAGGCTTGTTGAGCTGTTCTAGCAATAATGGTGCTGATGACCGGATATCGATGAGAAGAAGGTTGACGAATAGATAGGAGAATGGGGTTTGGTCGCTTTTTTCAGGCTTGAATATCAACTCCGAGGCTTCTTTGGGATACACCCGAAGGAGGGATGCGGCGGCGTTCGTGTACGCTGACCGGGCCGCAGAGTTTGGCCGACTGGTTACTAGATTTCGAATGAAGTTGATGGCTGAGTTGAGCCATTTCGGACTTGGCGGAATGATCTGAAGCGAGCAATTTTCACCCCTTATTAGTATGTGTACATTCTGGACTGTAGTGAAATTCGACTTACTTCTGAGCTTGCTTGCCGTAGCAGAAGCCCTAGAAACTCAAGAAATGTCACAGCATCGGTGCCTCGGAATGAGGACACCAGAGACTGTACGTTGCGATCTATGCGACTAGCCAAGTATGATGCGTCATCTACGACCACCATGGCATTTAGCCAAGCATGTCGCAGGATATCCATTGCAACGGAGTGTGACGGTGCAATCTCAGTAATGGAGCTCAAGTCTTCCACTTTTACGAGTGCCATGGCGCCCTCTTGAGAACTCGCGAGGGCGTGAAGCACCTGTAAAAGCATCTTGACCGTTTCTTCTGATCTATTCAGGGGTTTAGCGAGTGCATCAGAGGCAGTCGAATGACAAACGAACCCATATAATACGGCACCGACGAGTCTGGGGATTCTATCTGTAAACTTGGGCTGAGACGTCGCCTCAGCAGGCAACAGAGCAACAAAAGTATGCAAAACCGACACAACCAAGTCGAGCATCTCCTTGGAGTCCCGTTTCGAGGGATTTGATCCGGTGCGTAATAGTCTGTCCAGGAATTTGGCCGGGATGCTGTCCCATAATCTCTGAAGGACTTCATCGTTGTGCTGGAGGCCTGGCGAGTTGTCCAGGACGGATTTCAGAAGGGCTAATCCAACGAATCGCTGGGTATCGTCTTGTGCCTTGAGAAGAGTTTGAATTTTAGAAACGCTGACTTCATCTTGATTGGCGTTGGATGTGGTAGATGATGATGCTTCTGCTTTGTCGCCTTGAGAATCCATTTTGATATTGGATTTCTGAATTTCTTTCTTTTTTTTTTTTTTTTTTTTTTTTTTTTTGCTGTTCAAGGTGATGACGGATAAGCCACTTATGCGATACGACGCAGAATCCGCATTGTAGTTCCAGTATGATCTATGGTTGTTGGAAGAAGAAAAGCTTGATGAGAGGAGTTTTATGAAAGAATACAGAACAATGTCCAGTTGTTAATGTGATTCAAGACGTGAAGATGAAGGTATTCGAAGCCACTGAAGCTGTAAGAAGCGGCCCTCTCGCTGGAGTCCAGGCGCAGAGCACTGTGCAAATGGCCTGTAAAGCCCCTCTGGCCAATCACCATCCGTCCCTCCAGAGCCCGCCCTTGCGCTGCTGGTTTCAGCTCCTCCAACGGCGATTCGAGATCAATACGAAGCTTCGGTTCGCTCAGCAGAAGATGTGATAGAAGCTGTCGCATCATGTCTGGAGCCCACGAGCATCTGCCTGCAGCTTCATCATCCTCCCAGACGCCCGCCATCATCACGCCCGACTCGTCCGACGAGCTCGACTTCCTCGACGACCACCATCACCATCGCGACAGTGACAGCGACATCCTCGACGACGACCCGATCCATGGCCATCTCGGTGCGCCGCTGTCCTTCAAGCGCAAGCAGAAGCCCGCGCTGCTGTCTAACCCGCTGCGCGTATTTTCCACGCTGACGGGCTCCTCGTCCGCATCGCCGCCGCGACCGCAGCAGCGCCCTTCCAGCAGACACAGACATCAGCCGTCCGACTCGCTCAACAGCGTCTCTGGGTCGCTGCGGGAGCACATCTTTGGAAGCGCAACGGCCGCCAGCTCGAAAGATGGGAAAGATGGCCTCGCCCACGATTGGTATGCCGAGGGCCCCGGGCGACGAGTCGGCTACGAGGACTTGACGGCCATCGACTGGATCTTCGAATACACAAAGGAGCGGCAGCGCCTGCGCGTGCTGGGCTCCAGCTCGGGCGGCGGCATCATTGGCTATGTCAGGCACCTCTTGGACGCCAGCCAGGTCTGGATCGTGCTGCTGTTGACGGGCTTGGCGGTCGGCGTGATCGCGGCGCTCATCGACATCACCACCGACTGGCTGGGCGACATCAAGCTTGGCTTCTGCACCAGCGGCCCCGAGGGCGGGCATTTCTATCTCAACAAGAACTTTTGCTGCTATGGCTACGACCAAGGCTCCAAGTGCGCCGGATGGAGGTTCTGGAGCGAGGGTCTGGGCATCCACTCGGGCGCGGGCAAGTGGTTCATCGAGTACTTCTTCTTCCTGGCCTTTGGGGTACGTGGCATTCATTCATTGCCTTTGCATTGACGGGCTTCTGGGATGTACTGACTCGATGCCTGGACAGGTCCTTTTCGCATACTGTGCGGCGCTGCTCGTGCAGGAATATGCCATCCATGCTAAGCACAGTGGTATCCCCGAGATCAAGACCGTCCTCGGAGGATTCGTCATTCGCAAGTTTCTGGGCCCATGGACTCTGGTCACAAAGTCGTTTGGTTTGGTAAGACTTGTCTAGTATCTCACTCTGTTACTATCAACGCTGACTCGGGCAGGTTCTTGCTGTGTCCTCGGGCATGTGGCTAGGAAAGGAGGGCCCTCTGGTGCATGTAGCATGTTGTTGCGCCAACATCTTTATAAAGCTCTTTTCTAAAATCAATGACAATGAGGGTATGAAAAAAACCACTGGGTTCAGGACCGCTGCTGTCTCGCGTCATCCACTGACCTGGCCACCATAGCTCGCAAACGAGAAGTCCTCTCAGCGGCGGCAGCATCAGGCATCTCAGTCGCTTTTGGAGCCCCCATAGGAGGAGTGCTATTCAGTCTCGAGGTACGAAAACCCATTAAATCCAAACAGCACCAAGATTGCGGCGGTCTGATTTCCGAAACAGCAAATCTCCTACTTCTTCCCGGACAAGACCATGTGGCAGAGTTTCGTCTGCGCCATGGCCGCCGCCGTCATTCTTCAGGCCTTTGACCCCTTTAGGTCGGGCAAACTTGTCATGTATCAGACAAAGTATAGCCATGACTGGCAAGGCTTTGAGATTTTGCCGTATGCCATCCTGGGTATCATTGGTGTAAGTAACGTTTCGCTCTCGTCTTGCCCCTTTCTTCATAGACTGACGAGATTGGATCATATAGGGCGTCTACGGTGGTCTCTTCATCAAGGCCAACATGGCCGTCGCTCGCTGGAAAAAGGCCAAATCCTGGCTCCCGAGCCCAATCACCCAAGTCCTCGCCGTAGCCTTCCTCACTGCCCTTGTAAACTACCCAAACCACTACATGAAGTTCCAGACGTCTGATCTAGTGTCCAACCTCTTCACCGAGTGCTCCCAGAACCTCGATGACCAGATTGGACTATGCAAGACTGGCGCGGCATCGGCCGGCACCATTGTTCTCCTCATCTTTGCCGCCCTCGTCGGCTTCCTCCTTGCCACCATTACTTTTGGGCTGCAGATTCCCGCCGGAATCATCCTGCCGTCCATGGCCATTGGCGCCTTGGTCGGCCGTGCCATGGGCATCTTGATGGAGATTTGGGTAGACAACGCCCGCGGCTTCTTCTTGTTCAAGACTTGCGCCCCTGACGTCCCGTGCATCACACCCGCTACGTACGCCATCGTCGGCGCGTCGGCAGCTCTGGCGGGCGTCACGCGCATGACCGTCTCCATCGTCGTCATCATGTTCGAGCTCACCGGCGCCCTCACGTACGTCCTGCCCATCATGGTCGCCGTCATGATCTCCAAATGGGTCGGCGACGCCTTCTCGCGCCGCGGCATCTACGAGTCCTGGATTCACTTCAACGAATACCCGTTCCTCGACAACAGCGAGGAGGTGGCCATCCCCGACGTCCCCGTCGCCGAGATCATGACGCGCATCGAGGACCTCGTCGTCCTCACCGCCACGGGCCACACCATGGCCTCGCTCGGCAGCATCCTCGAGATGCATCCCCACCGCGGCTTCCCCGTCATCTCCGACCCTCGCGAGGCCATCCTCCTGGGCTACATCTCCCGCGCCGAGCTCAGCTATAACCTGAACACGGCGTCCCAGTCTCCGCGGAGCCTGCCCCCCGAGACCGAGGCCTACTTCTCGCACCAGCCCCTCGCCGACCCGCGCACCTCGCTCGATTTGCGGCCGTGGATGGACCAGACGCCTCTCACCCTGCCGTCTCGCACCCCTCTGCATCTCGTCGTGTCGTACTTCCGGAAGCTGGGCCTGCGGTACATGCTCTTCACAGACCGTGGCGTCTTGCAGGGTCTGCTCACCAAAAAGGACATATGGTACGTCCTCAACGGGGCGGACGAGACGAGACGCACCACCGCCTTCTCTTCCTCTTCCGGGGCTGGACATGGGGCGAGAGAGCAGGAGAGCGGCATCATGGACGAAGGCAGAGATGAGGAGCAGAGGGGCCTGCTGAGGCCGGATGATGCGGATGATACTGACAGGGGATCGATATTATAAAGGAGAAATATGGAGTTGGAAAGGTTGGGTTGCGGTACATTGAGTTTCTTTAGATTTGTAGACATGATCCTGGAAGCTTTCCGTAATGTTGAATACATGATGAATATCACGGAATGAACGGCATCAGCAAGCAGAATCGTTTCCCAGAAAATGAATAATCATGAATAATATGCAATGGCAGAGTATCTAATCAATGCATCTCATAACTCATACAGAAGAAGCAACCCCTAAATATGAACCCCAAAAAAACCCGCCGCCCAAAGTAAAATATCGGTACATGTAGTTTCCCCATCAATAAACCTCTATTTTTTAATACTCAAAGTCGTCATCCACCGACGGGCCCTTGCTCTTCGTCACGCTCTCCTGTTTCCTGTACATCTCCGCAACCTGTCTGCTGGAGGTAGCCTCGTCGGGTTTTTTATCATCCCGGATTTTGATGAAGCGCGGGAATCTCAGACTGATGCCCTTCTCGCCCGCCGGGTCAACGCCCTCTTTCCATCCAGCCTTGTAGCGAGGGCTGAGCGTCAAATCTGCCGTCTTGACCTCCCATACGTAGCGTGGCTCAAACCAGACGTCGGGTTGGTGCTGTCCGCCTGCAGAGTGTGCGTAGAACGGCTTGGGGCGAGCGATTGTGATTTGCGAGAGCTGAGCATGGAGATCTTCAAGGACTTGTTCTGAGAAACCAGTGCCAATGTTGCAGACCGTTTCGTACGTATCAGTGGCAGCATTGTAACACGCCAGCAAGAAAGCCCCGTAGACGGATGTTCGTTTGCCCTTGCCGTAGTAGGCTCCCAAGACAACAAGGTCCAAGGAGTCGCCGACGCCGGAGAGATAATCCTTCTTGATCTGTTTCGCAGCGTTAGAGTAAACCCGAGTACAGTGGTTTTGATGCAGAGAATCCTGCTTACCTTGAGCCAGTTTCGACTTCGTTTGCTGGGCTCATATCCGCTCTCCTTGCCATCCAGCATCTTCACCATCAGACCCTCGCAAGATGCCTTGACACTCTCATCCAAGAACGTTTGGATCTCGTCCAGCTCTTGACCATTCATGTGCGTTGCGAATGCAAATTCGCCTTCAATGGGAACGAACGCAGTGTTGAGAAGTTCCCGCCGCTCACGAAGCGATTTTTCCACAACAGCCTCTCCGTTCAAATACAGCAGGTCAAAGGCGAAGACACAAACCTTGACTTTGATGTCCTCAGTTTTGACGTCTTTTCGTTTGCGAGTCATGAGTTGCTGGAAGGGCAGTACCTTCTTCTCCAACATATCCCACGCCACGGTCTCGCAATCAAGAACAAAGCTCTTTGTATCTTCCTTGACCCATGTAGTGAGCTTCGCCAGAACGTCAGGATATTTCTTGGATAGATCTTCGGAATTGCGAGAGAAGATGGACGAAACTCCGGAACCTTGTTCAGTATCCTTGGCCACATAATGAATCTGAGCACGTTCGCCGTCGTATTTGTACTCGCATGTAAATGTCTGACCTTCAAATCGATCCAGAACCTCTGTAATGGCCTTGGTTGGTTTGGCCAGCATAGGTTTCAAGGGAACACCGGGCCGGAGCTTGCAGTGTTCTCTCAGATTGAGAATTCCATGCTGGAGCATAGCTGGGATGATGACATCGTAGCTTGGCAGCTCACTATCTTGGATTAGCCTCAAAAATAAAAAAAAGTTCCAATATGCACAAACCTGTAAACTGTTTTGAGAATAGACTCCCCGTTCTCCAAATCCGTGGTGCTGGGTATCTTGCCCTTGACTTCTGCTTCGTGGGCCACGACGGCTTGGGCCAACGAAACCAAAACAGTCCTGTCTGCCAGACCAAGTCGAAGCTTTCCTTCCAAGAATCGGATAATGTATTTTGCTTCGCTCGGGCCGCCCTTATCCTTGGTGATGTCTACCTTTTCCTTCAAGTGAGAATCTGAGGAAGATAAGAGCTTCTTGATGCCGTCGACTTTGCGGCCTTGGGCGCCATTACCAGCTACTGTGGCGATGCCCATCAATCCTTGATGGACACCTCTGACGGTTAACGGCTTGGGTTTGAACATGGTCGGCTGTGTTGATCTGCTCTTCACAGCGACAAGACCCAAATCGCCGATCTCTTTCTGGTCGGCTTTGATAACCTGCAGGCTTCTTCCAGTGGTTTCGCCGATAGCTTTCATGATGAGAGATTCGCCGATGCCGAGCTCAATGCCTGCATAATCAGGAGCGAGCTTGTTGATCATGAGGAGAACCGTAGGCAACAGGTCGTCGGGAGTGAGCCGCATGACTTGACGCAGGAAGCGCGAACAGTGCTCCATAATGATCAATCGTTTCGTGGTCAGCTCAACGAGAGAGAATGTCTTGCAAAGAGCCGCGTATGGTACGGGGGTTCCGGCCTTCCAGTCGGGATACGGGTCTTTTTCATGTTTCTGGAGCATTGTCTGTTGAGCTTTGCGCGCCTTGGCAGTGACAGCCTTCTTTTCTTCCGTATCGCTCTCAACCTCTGATGCTGACTCTGAAGACTCCTCATCCTTCATAACTTTGTCGGCATCCTCCTCAACCGCAGCATTTTTCTTCTCCTTTGTTACTTTAGCCGGCTTCGGCGATTGAGACCTCGACTTGGGGCTTGACTTGGGGCTTGACTTGGGGCTCGGCGATCTCTTTTTCTTTGCGGGAGGGCTGCTCGGAGCTTCTTCCTTGATTGTCGATTTTGGGGGTGATTGGGGAGCCTCATCTTCGTCATCTTCAATCTTGACCCGTGTCCGTCTGAGTCTTTTCGTAACAGGGGCGTCATCCTCATCCTCGTCTACTTTGGGCTCAACATCTGCTGCCTTTGCTTCCTTGTTCTTCTTTGGTGATCGCGGCCGTTTTTTGGAATCTTTCACCGATGAGTCAACTGTGGTTGAGCAAAGGCAAGCAACAAATCATCTTACCCTTTTCTGGATCAGAATTTTCTTTGGTACTTGCGTCACCCTCAGATCCGTCCTCCTCGGCCTTTTCTTTGGCAGCCTCCTTGCTCCCCGCCTTGGTTGCAAAAGCCAGCGTCGTCTGCCTTACCGGCGCACCAGTCTTTGCCCCAAAGAACTTCCTAGACGCCCATCGTGATCAGTAAAACTCGCATTGACCGCGATGTTTCCACCCACACACCCAATTGTCTGCTGTGTCGACTTCACATACCCCAGAGTCGCCTGCTTCGGAGCCATGACGTTATAGAATGCTCTTGTAGAGCTGGACGGGAGGAGAGACGGTTGACGGCGAATCAATTGAGACGATTGAAATCTCAGGCAACCAAAGGCGAAAACGGAGCAGTATTTATGATGAAGAATGTTGGTCGGATTAGTGGTGGTGCCTAGGCACCGACAGCTCTTTTTGGTCAGCCCAGTTGATAGCATGACGCGCTTCAGCAGGCAGAATCGCGTTAATTGAGTCCCGCGTTTCTGGGGGCTATCACGAGACGCGCCGTGTTCACGTGACCGCGCTCTAGGGTAGCCAGCTTCAGTCTTCCAGAGCAACTCACTATCTCGGAGTATCTGCGGCCCAATTATTACCGTACTTGTCCTTTTTTCTTTCTTTTTTTCGTGCCCCACGCCGTGAAAATCCCGCCCTAGTCCCCTCCCGGCCTAGCGCCATCCAACAATCAAACCTCCAACCTCAACATCTGCGAAATTTCGGAAGCTTGTTAGCTTGGAGAGACCTTTTGCCATCTTCCTCGCCAATTCCCTCCACAGAACTCCCCAGAGACGCCCGCCGTCGCGATGTTCTCCAGAGCAGCTCTTCGAGTCCCCCGGGCTCTGCCTCTGCGCACACGAGCCCCTGCGGCCTTTGCCGTCGCCGCCCGCTCCGTCACCACCGATGCCGCTTCAGCGTCTCTGAACCAGTCGGTGCCCAAGGTATGTTTATGCTCAATGCGTTTTTTTCTTTTTTCCCCCTTTGCCCGCGTGGAATGTGCGGCGATGCGGTGGAATTGTATTGCAGGAATCCGTTGTGCAGGCCCAATGGCAGCGGAAAGCGTCGCGAAAACGGCGGCTGACTGACCATCCGGTATAGTCCGATGATGAGCCCTTCCAGGTTACCCTCAGCGACGAGAGCTTCGAGACCTACGAGCTGGACCCTCCGCCTTACACGATTGAGGTGACCAAGAAGGAGCTGAAGCAAATGTACTACGAGATGGTCGCCATCAGGTATGCAGCAAGAAGCACCTCCAGAGTCGCCTGCCGCGGACAGTACTAATAATCGCTCAGACAGATGGAGATGGCTGCCGATCGCTTGTACAAGGAGAAGAAGATCCGCGGTTTCTGCCACCTGTCTACCGGTCAGGAGGCCGTTGCTGTTGGTATCGAGCATGCCATCACCAAGGAGGACGACATCATCACTGCCTACCGATGCCACGGTTTCGCCATGATGCGTGGCGGCTCAGTCCGATCCATCATCGGCGAGCTTCTCGGCCGCCGTGAGGGTATCTCCTACGGAAAGGGTGGCTCCATGCACATGTTCGCCAAGAACTTTTACGGTGGCAACGGTATCGTTGGTGCTCAGGTCCCTGTCGGCGCTGGCTTGGCTTTTGCCCACAAGTACTCCGGCCGCAAGAACGCCAGTGTCATTCTGTACGGTGACGGTGCCAGCAACCAGGGCCAGGTCTTTGAGGCCTTCAACATGGCTAAGCTGTGGAACCTTCCTGCTCTGTTTGGCTGCGAGAGTGAGTTTTAACAACGATATTTTCTCCCCCTTCGTCATGTAGATCGACGCAGAGCTAACAAGGGGTGTCACAGACAACAAGTATGGTATGGGTACTTCTGCTGCCCGTTCCTCTGCTTTGACCGACTACTACAAGCGTGGACAGTACATTCCCGGTCTCAAGGTCAACGGTATGGATGTCCTCGCCGTCAAGGCCGCCGTCAAGTATGGCAAGGAGTGGACTGCCGCCGACAAGGGCCCCATGGTTCTCGAATACGTCACCTACCGATACGGTGGTCACTCCATGTCCGACCCCGGCACCACCTACCGTACCCGTGAGGAGATCCAGCGCATGCGCTCAACCAACGACGCCATTGCCGGACTCAAGCAGAAGATCATCGACTGGGAGGTCAGCACCGAGGAGGAGCTCAAGAGCATCGACAAGGCCGCCCGCGGCCACATTGCCGAGGAGGTCGCCGCCGCCGAGGCCATGGCCATCCCCGAGCCCAAGGCCGACATTCTCTTCGAGGACATTTACGTCCGCGGCTCAGAGCCCCAGTACATCCGCGGCCGTACCGTCGATGAGAACCACTACTTCTCCAAGTAAAATGTGATGCAATTGGACCGTTTTCTGTTGCGAGATGCATCCCAACCACTTAGCCCTAATGATTCCTCAAAACTTGTCGCCTTATTTGTACTACATTGCTTTTAGATAGAGAGGGCGGGAAGGATCCAGGTGGACGAGTTTAATTCCATGTCCGTCTGAAGACCTAAAAAAATAAACAAATCGAACCAAAAATTCTAGAGTGCCGTTTGTGCAAAGTTTTTATCATTGATTTGTGTATACGGAATGTAAAAGGAGCGTGAAATTTGGTTGAGAGCTGGTTTTGGAGACAGCTTGCCTGGAGAAGTAGTCTATAACTACTAGGTACTAAGGTTAGGCGGGGAGTAATATTACTACCTGTACCTATCTGTCTTGTCTATCTACCTATGAACCTCGCCTAAGGGCAGTATAGACAGAGAATAACGTGTCTATCGGATCAAAATGGCCATCTTGTTAATTGGACGCCTTATTGCCGCCAGAGTTTTGCCTGCGGGAGGGAGACGATTCCTTTTGTTACCATAGGATCGCATATGTCGAGATGGAATTTTAAAGTAAAGCAAGGCCATGGGAGAAATCCATTTACAACCCGGCGTGCATGTACATATGTCTGCATCTGCTAGACTGGAGCATCTAGTCAATATTAATACTCTGCTTAATGATTGCATCCCTACTAATCATTACATCTAGTTACCTATAATTAAGATGTCCCAGTCTATTAATGCTTTTCTGCTGATCTTTTTCTGTATACTCATTGACATGTCCTAATTCTTTATCCTTTCCCTCCTGCTGCATGTTTCTATAGGTAGTCGAGACGTTTTAATCTATTACCACTTTCCTGTTAATCCTTGCCCGTAGAGTTTACATCTGCCAATTCGTCATCGCCTTCCTGCTGCTTCTGCCATGTATAGCTATTGCTATTCCCAATTTGTTACCACTTTCCTGGAAATCCTTGTCTTCTATGCTTTGTGGGGGTTTCTCGTTTCTTGAAGCGAGGCCACCGCGATTTCATCAAGAACATGATCACTGGTACTTCCCAGGCCGATTGCGCTATCCTCATCATTGCCGCTGGTACTGGTGAGTTCGAGGCTGGTATCTCCAAGGATGGCCAGACCCGTGAGCACGCTCTGCTCGCCTACACTCTGGGTGTCAAGCAGCTCATCGTTGCCATCAACAAGATGGACACTGCCAACTGGGACGAGGCTCGTTACTATATATATTAATACAATTTTGTGCGCGCCGCCCTGTTTCTTTCCACGTGACTTCATGAACAAAGAGTTCCGGCGGCAAGGCATCTATTACTTGCTTCTCTGATGTCGGGCGTATTTACACACTAATTCAACATCCAATTTGAAACGAAAACGGATTTTGTTATACGAACAAGGTACTAGTACCCACCCAAGCGGCCAGGGGTCAAACTTCGGAGGCGCTCCGTGATCGCACCGCGATGGAAGTGGGGGATTTCGGCGGTTATTGGAGGCTTTGCGGGATTCAAACATCAAATGTAACGCTGGAGGAATAGCTGTAGTCTTATTATGGTGATACAGTTCACAGTTATCAGCGCTGATAAAAAGAATAAAGCCTTGCAAGGTTCGTGTCCTCAGACAAAAGTGTCCCGGGGGCATCAAATTCCAACAGCTTGCCGTCTCCAAACACGGCGGCCTTGTCGTAGCGGCGAATATGCTCCAGGCGATGCATCACCGCGAGGACTGTGCACTCCTTGAATTGCGTGTCGACGATTTCCTGCATGATGGTCTCCGTGTCGTGGTCGACGCTAATAGCATAGCAAGCATTGAAATCAGCGAGAGTAAACGAGGAAAGGGGGGGCTGTAAATATATATATATAGGAGAGAGAGAGAGAGAGAGAGAGAGAGAGAGAGAGAGAGAGAGTTGTTTACCTGCTCATTGCTTCATCCAAGATGAGAATCTTGCTCTTCTTCAACATTGCCCGGGCGAAACAAAGAAGTTGCTTCTGCCCTGAAGACCAGGACGATAAATCAATTTCCTTGTCTATTCCACCTTGTTCATCAATGATTGTCCGTAGTCGTACTTGGTCAAGCGCGCGAGTAATGTCTTCGTCTGACGCACCATTCAAGGGATCGACGTTGAAGCGAATGGTGCCTGGCATCAGGAAGGGATCTTGAGATACGACGTTAATACGTGAACGTAATTCTGCGCAGGCGAGAGTCGAAAGATCCACGTCATCTATCGAGATGCTGCCTTCGACAATCTCGGTCATCTGTAAAAGGGATAGTATTAGAGATGTTTTGCCGCTGCCGGTTCGACCGCATATTGCCACGTGTTTCCCAGCTTTGATCGACAATGAAACGCCGCTTAGCACTGGTTTGGAGTCTGTCGTGGTGCTGCGGATATATATTAATTGACATGGTTTTCAAAATAATCCCAGTGAGTGATACTGACCCATAAGATGTTGTCCAGCCTGCAAATTCGACAGCGCCAGCCTGGGGCCATGTAGCTGGCACGTATGCTCCTTTTTCTTTCCGCTCCTCAGTCTCCGTCTCCTCTGCGAAGCGTTTGACTCTTGATACTGCACCGATGCTTGGCTCCAAAGTCGTCCAGGTTTGAACAAGTCGCACAAGCACTTCACTGAATCCGATAACAGTGACAAGACTCACACCAACACTTCCAGGACCGAACCTGTCTTTCCAGATGAGGACTGTAGAGACAAGGAGAACTACCAACACTGTAGTCATCATCTCAAGCACAAAACTAAGCCAATGCTGGATGCAACTCTGTAGGTAGACAGGTCTCTGTGAAGCATCAATCAGACGGTAATTGCGCTCCTGGTGGTACGATTGCCATCCAAATGCTCGGATGGTTACTGCTCCCGCTATTGATTCACTAAAATGAGTAAATAGAGGCGCATGTGCTTCAATGGCAAGTAACCGGATTTGGCGAGATGTTTGCAGATAGAAACTCTGGAGGAAATAGAGAACGATGGCGAAGAAAGGGATTGTCACTCCTAGATAGCGAGTAAAAATGGCGATGATGACGACTTTGGCTACACATAAGACGACAGCTGAAACAATACATTAGCCTAAGCCCTTCAAATATTGGAGGATACTAACTGGAGGTGTAGTTGACCATGTTGCTAGGAAGCTCCATGTCTATGAGCTCCATATCTCTGCTAAATCTGGATGGAACGAGGTCAGTACTGGGAATGCTGAGCGAAAGACAGCTGATGGATTACCGATTAAGGAGCTCTCCAAGGTCTCTTGTTGACCGAGAATAGAACGGTGCTCTAATTGTTTACTCGTTAATGCACCGTAATTGGCATCTTTCATGCTCGTTTACCTACCTGAGCGTTGCTTGCAGAAGATTTGAGTGTAGTTGAGCAGCTGACCGCGAGATGATGTAAATGAAAGCCGCCCTGCGTATATGAGTGAGTATTGTTCCCGATACTACTGGAGGAAGTGCATCTTACCAAGCGCATACACAGCCACTTAACGTGCCGAGAATACCAAGAAGGGCGTAAATTCCGAAATACATCCAGATATCCTTGTCAGGCTCCGAATCATTGGCAGCAGACCACCACTTCATCCACACATCTAGAGCATGGTTAATTTTTGTCAAATAAAGGAGAGAATATATCTTGGAGCACTCACTCGAAAATTCTATGCAAAAGATCCACCCAGTAACCGCTGCGCCATACAAGACAACAAAATACCAGCCAGAGCTGGCAAGGTAATATGCATACACGGAGAGCTCGCCCTTTTTACGCCGAATATCAGCATGCTTACCATCCGTCTCTTCAGAGATGTTGATGGCGACGTCCGCGGCAATATCGAAAACTTCCTCTACTGTCGGCAATTTTGAAGGCTCAGCAGCTTCAGTGACATCTCCATTGGTCGTAAGCTGTATGCCAAGGTTGTTGACGTAGCCGTTGCTCCGAAGCAAGGAGGCCGGGGTATCTTTCGCCATGACTTTCCCGTCTTTTAGGATGATGATGGTATCCGAAAGCGCCATAAGTTTACCTGAAAGTCTTGTGAGTGATTTGAGAGATCATCTGAGGATAGAATTTAACATACGGTGGTGAGTACTCAATATGACAGTCGCTCGCTGCCTGCGAAGAAGGCCTACACGGCCAAGCAAGCGGGAAGAGACAACGTCAATAGTATGGGCGTCCATGCTGCTGAAAACATCGTCGAGAAGTACTATCGGTTTCTTTGAGTAGATGGCTCTAGCTAGGGCCTATCAAGAATATCATGTTAATTTTGTTCAAGAAGGTTTAGCGGAGAAAAGGGCATGACGGACTATGCGATGCTTCTGTCCACCACTGAGGTTGAGGCCTCTGCTGCCAATGGTCGTTTCATCTCCCCTTTTAAAACGACTGAGATCGGCATTAAGCCCGCAAGAAGAAACAACCTCGTCGTACCATTTCTTCTCGTAAGGCGATGAGCTAAGGATATTGTTACGAATGGTTGTGTTCTCAAGCCATGGCTGCTGAGAGCAGTATGCTACATGTTTGCAGTATTGCCGAGATACTTTTGGTCGACCTTCTGGGGATGAAATGTCGATCATTTCACCCAAAATGCAACTCATCAATGACGACTTACCGCTTCCTACTGGGCCAGTAATCGCGGTAATGGCCTCTTGACTGATATCGAGCTCAAGGTCTTTGAGTATTGTGGGACTATTTTTGCTCCATTTAAAGCCCTGGCTGTGTAGAGAGATGGTGTCGCCATGCGGAGCATCAAAGGGTTCGGGAGGACTATCAGGTGCCAGGAGGTGAATTTCGGATTCATCGCGTAGGTCAACATGGCCAGGCTCATAGTAGTTTTCATCTTTGAGGTCAACATCTGCGTAGTTACAGTATTGCTGGATACGATCAAAGCTGCCCACACATTGCAGAACCTGGGGCAAGGACTGGATGAAAACTATGACAGGACCCGTCAACAGACCTATCAGAGCAAGGGAGGTAAAGGCTTGGGTCGTCAATAAAGATCCGTGGGTCCAGTAGACGGATATGACGACATAGACGCCAAATGTCGCGGCAGGGGCGAGGTTCAAGGGCGTGAGGGCTATGTTGTTTGTTAGTAACAGTGTTTGAGGGTATATACACAACTTTGGAAGATGTACAGAGCATTAATGTGGCAACAAGTAATTTCCTAAATGATTTCGACGTCTTGATTTCGTTTGTTCGGAGATTCGTCAACAGCCTTGATACAACTTGCGGTAACGAAAGCATCTTGATGGCCTTTATATCCCCGAGTAGAGATGTGGTCGCACGCAGTCTTTCTTGGACCTTTTCTATCCATGCGACTTGTGCATTTTGGGTAGCTACCGAGATTTGCGATGTAATGGCAATGAATACTATGATACTGGAATTAGCATGGAGAAGGCATCGGACTTTGACGGGTACGGGCGAGATTTACCTAACACGAGAGCAATTGGAGCGAGACAAGCCAGGAAAAGCTGCCGCTCTAGCAGCCAGCATGCAATTGCTATTTCCACAAGAGAGCCCCAAGTTTCGTGAAGAAGCTGCATCGCACTCGCTATGCGTTCAATATCGGTGCCCATTAGGGTGACGGCAGATATGTCTCCCTCGTCGGCGGTGCGAATATTCAGGCTTCGTTGATATACAAGGGCAATCAACCCTCCTCTCAGCTTGGCTATGAATCTGGAGTTTTCATATTTGTACAGAGATCTTGATAGCTACATCGAGACCATTAGTATATATGAGTTTATTAATCAAAGCTTTACTTACGGCAATGCCCAAATGCACAAGAGCCCATGCGCCGATGAGTCCTCTTCCGTGATATGACTTGGCGTTCTCATCGCCGACGAATCTAATGGTGGTCTCGACTAGAAAGGGTTGGGCAAAAGTGAATGCTGTGACACACAACCTGGGAATCATGGCCGAAGGTAGGGTTGAAAGGTGGGTGCGAACACATGCTTTCACCAGGCTGTGTCGAGCTTTGGGATCATCTGGCGAATGACTCTATTAGCATTCGGACGAAGACATATACGGATCAAAGATGCGTCCGTATCTGTTCTCACATTTAGACCAGGTTGTGATCAATTGGCGACGTAGTAACCTGCTTTGAAGCCTAGTGTCAAGATTAGGCAAATCGTCTTGGGTAATAACTTTGCCGTAGCCCATCTTCAGCAAGGGCAGAAGCCAAGAAAAGCTGATTCTGGCCCAGATCCCGCTAAATTCCTCCGGCGAGCCATTGGAAAGACGCTTTCTCTCTTCAATGGACTCCAATAGAAGGGCAAACAGGGTGAGTGAGAGATTCACAGTCATGAGAATCGGGACAGGGCTGCCAGCTGCCAATAGCCACAAGGTCCTTGTTCGAGCAATGTTCAAGAGGCTCGAGAAGGATAGATATAAATCGAGGACTGTTGAAGGGCGGAGTGATCGTCCATGGCTTGCTCTAGAGAGGAAGAATGCTGCCACCATAGCCGTAGAGCTCAAGATATCCGCCGGAAGCGATAACTTGGTTTGCAATTCGGCATACCGAGCTCTATACACGAGGTAAACGACTTGAACAGCAAGGATCGCGGCAAAAGCCACCTGCAGAGAATTCGTAAGTACATCGTTTGTGTTTATCGGCGGGAGACAAACCGCTTTCCATCGCCGGATGGCCCTTGACCTCACGGAAAAGGCAGCTCGCCTCCTGAACAGGCCCCATATCTGTATGGGTGCAAGAATGAGAAACAAGACAGCCGGCAAGCCAACGAGAAAGATGTCTTCAAATAGCAGCGTGAAGTCGAATGGTCTACATCGAGGGTCGACTTGGGGTCCAAAGTAGTGCTCACTGCCAGGAGGGCAATCCATCTCTTCAAAAGAGGTCAATGCCCTTTGTAGCTCCATTGACTGGAAGCATCATGAGAGAATGATGCAAAGTTCTGATTGAACAGTACCTATCAAAGGGTTGAGATGAAAAATGACGCGCAACACAGGAAGCCTTGCAGGGTTTCAGTTAAAGGATGTAGTGCTTGATGCGAGTCGTATGACATCAGTATGTTGCCTGGCTTGTACATGTACACTGTGAAGGGTTAGTGAGACGCCTGAAAGTTGAGATTGGCGACCGTCCAGCGGGGTCGAGCAGGTAAAGCGACCGCTAACTTCCGCCTTCAACGCCCACATTTCATCCCTCAATTGTATTCGTCGTCTGTAAAGAAGTATTGATACCTGTTCCCAAAGTAAGAATTTGCAGCTCTTATCAATTTCAAGCATATCTTGCATATGAGGCTGAGAGGTGGGAATAAACTGCATAGGTAGTACTTGCATCTTCAGCCAATCGTATACTCATCATCATCAACCTCCAATTACGATTGTCCCCCTCTTCTAGCATCCTTTGGCATCCTGTGCAATTTATAGAGCTTTCCTATGTGGCAGTGCATGCATCGACACATGTACTCTGAGATGCCGGTTCCGGTAACATCGTCGTGAGGTTGTGCCAACTCTTGTGCCTCTTATAGGTCTTGTTGTTATATAAACCGATGTGCAGCCACGATACACAATGACCACCAAGACCACCAAAATGTCTCAATCTTCTCTTGCTTATAATATTCCACTGTTAGAGTTTGCCTTTTACTTCTAATCACCATCAAGTTCGGAATTAATTACACATACTCATATAAACGACGACTCTACCAACGCGACGGCAATATGTACCAATATCTCAAAAACAATATCTTGATGAGGACAATAAATTGCGCTTTCTTAGTTTAGGTAGTTTAAAAGCCAGTAGAGTCGACAACCTAAGCAGCCTGGAGGCTGACAAAGCTGGCCATTCACAGAAGACGCATAGTGCTGCCCTGGTTGGGATTTGAAGCAGTGACTTTCTCAGAATACGAACGGAAACCCGACTAGAACAAATAACGCGGCTCACATAATATGTGATGTCGTGTGATGTCACCTGGTTGACCCAAGTTGGTCTGTGATTTGAACATGGAATGCATCTCTGGGAAGATAGGTATTTGCATGTGTTCCGTTAATTGCTCTGCCAGGCTATTACCAACTACTATCTCTTGCTGTTGCTACTATCAGCTGTTATCTCGTAATGATGCTATCAGCTACTTCAAGATATGGATATTCGATATATTTGTAAGTAGAGCATGCAGGCGTGTGCGTGTGTAGAAGCATATGCGGTTTAGAGTTGGTCAGCTAATGGGCCATCGATATGATCACGGGGAAGGTTCTATGCATGGACGTTTTGGACAGGATTCACTTGCATCATCTGCTGAATCGTCGAGATTTACGCGTACTATATCTCCTCCTAGCCGGGACATTCATGTAAAAGTACCTACTAAGGTTGTTTCCGCTACTCATGTCACCTTGTTCTAGTATCGACAAATACATAAAGAATGGCTGGTGACTTCCTGCAGCTTTGTGTAGCCATGCCAAGATGCTGAGGTAGCGTCACGCTATCCCGGTGAGCGTGAAGCCGGTCAAGCGTACATGTTGCCATTACTTAATCGAATGAAGGATCAATACGCTTCATTTAGCTTTCTGTTACTGCCTACATGGCACTAAAGAAACCACTATAAGATGGATGCCGAGTCACTGGGCATGCCAACTCTTAGGTGAGCACCCCCCTCGGTCCGTCTTAGTGTGAGTTTGCATACCTATATTGCATGATCAGCATGACTGTGAATCTTGGAGGGTGGTATGTATGAATGATGGCTGTATGCTATATTGCACCCCATGAGGAAGCGTTGGCAGCTCTTTCAGTACCTTGGATCAGTATGTTCAAGCCGATCAGTCAAGCTGAAGAGTTGGCATCAGAGTGTGAATGTGAATAACAGACATGTCCCTCACGCCGTCCTCTCTCATGCACTTCAAGGTATTCAGACGAACCGTCAGCTCAGCATTTGGGGGCCGCATGAGTGAGTGTCTCACCCGCGCACTAGAGCCATCGCTTCTCAGTCAAGTGATTCGCTATGGCCTCAGGTGACTGACTGCAGTCTTGAGGCGTCTATTGGGCCGGTGAAGAGCAGCAGGACGGCGCGGTGAATGTAATGGATTTGCGAGTTGCTCACACACTTGATCAAACAAAATTCTGTCCATGCCAGACCTCCATCATCAGACAGCAACCCCCTAGCAGGTGATACTTGCGCGGTGCGGGAGGGGCCACAGCTGGACGTGGTATTGTCTGATGGTGTTGCTGGGCCCCACCGTGGGAGGGAAGACGCGCACAGCCAAAGTTGGAGTGGAGAGGGCCAGTTGATGCTTGCCAAGCTTGCTGCTTGCTTGCAGCTTCCCAGGCTGCTGTGCAAGGTACGGGGTACCTCACGGGGTACCTCACAGGGTACGAGCGCTGCCTCTTATCGCCTGGCCCCGTCGTGTACGGAGAGGTGCCAGGTACGCCACGGAGCAGCTTCCGTCGAGGCCCTGTGGCAGCGATTTGCGCAACAACAGCAGGAGCCCATCGCCGCGAACCACGTACGAACGAGTACATGTACCAACCCAGTACACCGTCGGTATTCACCTCGTACTCGGCAACTGTACCTCCAGCTGTGTCGTTTCTCCATCCCCCCCCCCCCCCCCCCCCCCCCAAAGTACCGATACCTGCACATCGTCCTGAACGTTGCAAGACCCAACAGAACAACACCAGGTCGGTCTGCCTCTTGTATCATGCGCCGGTTGCCTTTTCCGCCTCCACCCAATCTCCAGCCCTTCCAGCACCCATGCGCTCGCAAAGGCGCCGGCGCTTCTCCCCATTCGCTGCGCCTACGTGCCCCGTCGCGCGCGCTGATTGGCCGCGGGCCCGGCGCAGCTGTCCCCTACCAGGTCCCTACCAGGTACGGGTACCTCCAGCTGCCAGGCCACAATCTGCCCTCCGTGCCTGCAGTGTCCAAGCACCGCCAAGCGCATGTATCCGGTACTTGCTCTTCTCCCCCCCCCCTCCTCCTCCTCCAAAAGGCTCCAACCGCCCAAACGAAGGTCCCGGGTTTCAGCCTCAGGCCGCAATCTGCAGCCCCAATGCGGCCTAGCGCCCAACCGCCGGCAAGGCATCGCCAGTATTTCATCACTATCGCCTCCCGCCTGCTTGCACGTGTTGCCTCCCTTCTGCCGCCGCGTGACCCGACCCTGTTCCTCAGCGCCTCTCCTCCGTCTCTCTCTGCAACGTAGACAGACGCATCTGGTCTCTCCAAGGAGGAAAAAATACGCCTTGTAAGCATAAGAGTTGTCACAAGAGGCCCTTGACCACGGCCGTCGCGACACTCGTCTTCTTCATGCACTTTTTTTTCTCAGCTTTTTAATGCCCTCTGGTGCTTTTTTTTCATCTCAAAAGCTGTTGCCGCTTCGACTTACACTCGACTCGGACCCCGTCGCGCGATATCACGAGATTGATCACGCAAAACACGTGAGACGACCAAACCCGTGATCTGGCTCCAGAGCACATGATCGTCACGGTATGTCCCTACTATGCACTTCCCTTACCCGTTCGTTCATCACGATGGCTTCACGATGGCCGAGCTGCGCATTTTCGAGGCACCATGCAGCAGCAACGGGAGATGCCTTTGCGACGAGTTTTTTTTTTTTTTTTGTTTTTTCTTTTGCTCCTCTCTGCACTCCCTAAGCCGTAGCATCGTCGCTGGTCCGCGCACCACCTCGCATCTGAAGCTTCATCGCCTGCGCCGCGATACGCATTCTATCGATGGCGCCTCTTGCATCCCAGCTTTTGCTTGATGCTGCCATGGCTGAATCACCGCATCGATTGCCTGCGCCAGCTGGGCGGATGTGTGCCCTTGCCTGCTGGAAGCATTGCGGTGGTGATGATGCGGCCGCAAGCCGTTCACTGTCGCCGTGAGCTCAAGTGAGCCGCGATGAACGAGGAGCGCCGCACTCATCCGCCGGCGTCCTCCCGCTGTCTCAGACCACCGCGGCCGTTGCATTAGGATCGTGCACGACGTCGGGCTCGGCTCAAGTCGAGCGAATGTGCGCTCTTGTTGCAGCTTGTTGCAGCTTCGCATCGCCCATCTTCGTCCGTGACCAGGCACTGTGCTGCAATGCAAGCACACACCCCCCTTGCTCATCTCTACCTCAGCCTTGCATTCCCTTGCCGCCATTGTTGTCGAGTGATATGAGTTCCCGCGTTTGGCATGGACCAAAAGTGCCCAGCTGAACCTTTCTTTTTCGCGCTTCCTTAATATATCCTCTCAGGTATCGCATTCTTAGTGTCGTCGTCTAACCAGGGTCATAGGCTCAGGACTGTCCAACCACATGCATTTCAGCTGACTGTTGACTTTTCAACAATATACTATATAATTTCTCTGTCTAGCCAAACCGCCAAGCGCACAAACCCTCAGCTGGTCGACTGCATCACGGCTTGCCACCGCTGGTTTCTTCCCCCCTTCTCAAGAGCTAGATGATGGCCGATACACTTGTCACTGAACACCACGATCTATCTGGCTTTCCTGGCTCTCCTGGCCAGAAACGAAAGCGCGAATTAGAAAGCCCCAATCTCGGGCGCACAAAACGCGCCGCTCCTCCAGCAGCCATGTCAGCGTCGCCGGCGGACACGGCCGCCTTCATCGAGAATGCCATTGAGGCCTCGCAAGCGGCGGCAGTGAGCGGCGTCAACGTTGCCGATTTCAACGCTCTCCAGCAAGCTGCCGCTGCAGATCACACCGATGCCTCGGACCCTTCCAACGCTACCAGCACGGCTCAGGCTGCCCTGGGCATGTACCCGACCCTCCATGTGCCTTCATCGACCGAGGAGCAGTTTTCTGCACAGGGACCTGTTGATCCTGACCACGGTCACGAAAATGCATTCAAGCACGATACCCCTTTCACAGACGTGACACAACAGCCCGACCCCATGATGGACCCAACCGTCAACCAAAACCAGCCTCCTCCTCCCCCGAACGGCGTCCAATCTCATCCTCCTCCACCACAGCACAGATACGCCGTACCACCGCCTCCCCCCAACCCCAAGCCGAGTGTTGGATCAGAAGAGTGGCACAAGATGCGGAAGGATAACCACAAAGAAGGTAAGACGTACAACCTCTGGATCGGCGGATGAAAACACAGGGCACTGACACGGATGTAGTGGAGCGCCGACGCCGCGAGACTATCAACGAAGGCATTAACGAGCTGGCCAAGATTGTCCCGGGCTGCGAGAAGAACAAGGGCTCGATTCTGCAGCGGGCAGTTAGTTTCATCACCCAGCTCAAAGAGAACGAGCAGCAAAACATTGAGAAGTGGACGTTGGAAAAGCTGCTTACGGAGCAAGCTATAACAGAGCTTAGCGCATCCAATGATAAGCTCAAGCAGGAGTGCGAGCGGCTGTACCGAGAACTCGAGACGTGGAAGCGCGTTGCCCAGCAGGCTGGTCTGGAGCCACCAGCCGCACCCAAGGAAGAGCCCAATGCCGGCATGCCGTCGAGTTAGGAATCCGGACACGCATTGGTGATATTCCATCCCCCAGCATCTCTCTCTAGCTTTTCCGAGGCTTACTATGTCTCGACGCAGGCTAAGGTCCAACACGAGAGAGACGATGGCTCATGACTTTTTTTTATTCTTCCTCCCCCCCGTTTCGCAAGGCTATGTCAATACCAGATTCTCTGCCGGCCTCCTTTCTGCCACGCCCGCCTCGGCAATGATGATGACTACGTTTTTTCGAATCATTCTATTTTCCATTTTACCCAAGTCCTCGATTCGGGTTCCCGTTTCACTCATGTTTTTTTTATTCTTACTGGGCCCAGCTCTGGCGAGATACCATTTCTCACTGTAAGATTCCTTCTTTCAGCAGCTTGGCGTTTGGTAGGATGCACTTGGAGGACTACAGCGGGGAACCTACATATCCATTTTGGACCGCGTCGGATACGCGCAGACATGGTTTTGGCTTTGGGCTACATGGGAAAACCTTCTACGTAATTAGCAAAGCTGTTGTTGTTAGCGCTCTCCGATGCTAGGGGACCAAAGATAATGTGTACGATCCTTGATGCCCACGACCTGTGCTGTGCCGTGCCTTGCCGCGTTGTCAATCCGAAGCATGTCTGAACCAGGGGCTGCCATTGGAGGCTTTTCATCCCTCGCGCACGATGGCGGAAGCAGAGGCTGCATCTCCGGGGTTTCTCGAGGGGACCCTAATGCATGCATTCAAGCGGTTGCAGCCGTAGAGCTGCAAATAAGAGCCCTGCCAATTGGTTAGATGCAGCACCCCCTGCAGATGTCTCAGTTTAGCTGCGGTTTGGGAGACAGACACTAGGAAGAAATAAATTGGCCTGAGAATAGAAATGATTGAGGCATCGTGTTTGTCTTGGAAGATTCACTTGTGATGTGATATCTGGTATACGACATACACGGTGTAGTGTTTGTCTGTAGTAAAAGTCTCAATCCCCCCTTTTTCAGTATTAACAAAATAAGACGTACCTATTTTCCACCTCTTTATTCTTGGGGAGTTTGAAATCACTTGGTGGCTTGTTGTTTCCGATACCCATGACATTTTTAGCCAGTTTTTCTTTTCTTTTTTTCTTTTCTTTTCTTTTTTTCTTCTCCTCTTTTCTTTTCGCATTTCATGTGGAACAAGGGTCTTTTCTTTAGTCCCAACCCATGACCCTAGTTTGCGCGAAGAAAAAAAAAAGAAAGGAAAAGAAAGGGGACCGGGAAGAGAAAACGTGCCGTAACCTTGGCAGTTTTCCCCATATACCGTAGACCCTGTTATAAGTTTGCAATGTGGGCCGCGGTGTTGTTTGCTTTGGCGTGGTTCTAATAACGGCGATTTGGACGATGATACCTGGGAAGAAGAAAAGGTGTTTTTCTTTCATCAGTTTATTCTTGTTTGGTGTTGGGGAGGTGGAGTTTTTGGGAGATGGAAGAGCGGAGATGGAGATGTAGAGTTGCGTGGCTTGTTTTTCTCTTTTTCATTCTCTGTAGCTTTTTGTTGGTCTTTTTGTTTTTGTTTTGGTGATAAGAAGATTGTTGCTTCGGACACGTAGATGCGTAAACGTTAGAATTTAAGAATGGATCTCGATCGAGATCTTTCGTTAGTAGTTTATCAAGATACAGTTCACAAGTATTGTAAAGTATGATCCAAGTTTGAGAGATTCTTTTCTCCTTGGAGTTCTCGCCAAAGCCCAACTTATCATGTTATTTGGTCACTTCCATATCCCATCGTGAACCATATCACTACCAATCTTTCCTCTGGTGAGTCCATATATACACATGTATCGCTCAAGTTTAAACTCCGGCCACCCCCAGAAAACTCTCCTGATGCCTGGGGTAAACTCAGCCATTGTCCCAATCTTCTCAGTAACTTCAGCCACATGGTATTAAAGTGTAGATATCGACAGCCCATGAACCCCATTGTCAAGACAACGGTGACTCTACCCAAACTATATCAATGTTTACAAAAGTCTCCAATGTAAACAATGAGACACAGAGTTTTGTATGCCATTATAAAAACCAGCTCTCGCCCATGCTCCTGCCATAACTCATCTTCCATATTCCCAATTCGTCAAGTACTTCCAGATATCCAGCTCAAAGCCTCCTCAGATTCACCAATATTCCAGGCATCCAGCTCTGAGTCCTCTCACTTGACCAATATTCCAATCCAACCACTCAACGCAAGAGCGGCTGGCTATATATTGGTCTATATACCAATATACCAACCAAACATACCAATTACAGCAACCCAGCCAAGTACTTTATATAAAAAGACTTGTCTTCAAAATGTCAGGCTCCATCTCTTCCGGTCCCTGCCTCGTAGAAGCCCCCCGATCATCATGGGCGTCTCTCCCCCCCGAACTCCGCCTCATCATCATGGAGACGGTCGTCCACCAACAGTTCCCCGGCTGGGTCTCCTATGCCACCATCAATAGAGAATGGCAAGACGTGATAGAAAAGGAAAACTACCAGAAGCTCAACCTGGAAGTCCCCTGCCTCGACGAATTGAACGTCGTGGTCCCATCCCACAAGAGGCACTTGGTCAAGCACATCTGGTTCGAAATCGAACTCCCCAGAGATGCCTGCTCCTGCTCTGCGAGATGGAACCCTCCACCATCCAACGCCAGCAAAATCGTCAGCCAGGCCATCATGAAGCTCTTCACCACCCTCAGCGTCTGGGACCAAGGCAGCTTGACGTTGGAGCTCAACGTCTTCTCGCCCAGCGACTCCGGGCACTGGTTCAGGCCGCTGTATTTTTCCGACGACCGCATCGAGGGCGATGATGGTCCAGTGGTCAATGATCCCAAGCATGGCTGGGTCGACGGCAAGCAAATCTCGCCTGCACCGGAGGAGGTTGTGCGGCGGGCGTTTCAGCCCATCGAGCTGGACACGAGCTTCGAGCGCGAGCCGCTCCCTTCAGTAATCTGCGCGACGAGGTTTGTCATTCGTCGACAGCTTCGAAGGTGTATTTCGCCGGCTGGGCTGAGCGCCATGCTCGAGGCACTGCCTTTGATGGAGCACATGGGCTATGAACCATGGGCATTGCCTGATGATGCGAGTCTGGACAGGAGACGGGACCACGTCAAAGGTAAGTCTTTGTCCTTTGAACCACCATGTATTGATTCGTCTCTCTTGAATTCACACCTAACACTCTGATGATCAGCTCTCCGTCATGCAATGCTACAGCAGCTTTCCAAGGCCGTCACCAGCCTGGTAGTATTCCAAGACTCCCGCGACTTTTACAAAGTCCTACCGCCACAGCAACCGTCCAAGGATACCATCAACACCATGGCCATCAGGGACGGCCTCGGTGACATCTTTGCCAGGAAGAGCCTCCGCCTGAAGCACCTCGCCGTTTCATTCATGGCCGACGCCAAGGATGTGTTGCGCCACTGCAGGCCGGCATGGACGTGGCCGCAGCTGAAGAGCGTGGCGCTCACCTCGCAGCTGCTGAGAGACCACCCAGACGCGGACGAGGACACTCGGAGCAGGATCGAGGACTTGCTATGCAGGGCTGCGGCTCTAGCGAAGCACATGCCCGAGCTGGACACGCTGGTGCTCTGGAACGGCGCAAAGGGCCACGCCGGCGCCTTCATCTGTCGCGTCAGGGGGTGCCGCGTGTCCATCACTTGGCGCGGGACGTGGCGTCTGGAGATGAGCCCAAGAGTGGTTGAGGCGTGGAATTCCGTGGCCTCGACACGATCCTGGCACGAGACTGAGATACACCAGGAGCGTGTCTTGGGCGCCGTCAACTGCGTTGGCGATGCCATCCACCACTTGAGACTCCCCTGCCAGGTTGTCGAGCCTGCGTCTCTGTGGCAGATGCGCAGGGAGGGAAACTTGGTGCCGTGAAAGGAATACGACACATGAGCATTCTGGCTCTTGTTGTACATGATTAGCCCTCTTCACATACATTATGTCTAGGTACCTATTCTCATGCATGTACTCATGCGAGGCCGAACCGCCAACCGGACTTGTCCATGCTTGCCTTCACCCTTCCATCAAGCGAGCTTCTTCAGCTACAACATCTCTCTCTCTCTCTCTCTTGGCAAATCAACCAGTTCAAGTCACATCACGAAAAGAAAAAAAGAAAAGAAAAGAAAAGAAAAGAAAAGAAAAGACAAGACAAGGGTTCGCTTCTCCACACGCGAGAGAACAAGGGCGACAAACGCAAAGGAGGGCAGCCCGGAGCCAGCTCCGCCGCTCCTGGATGGATGGACCGACCAGCAGCGGGCTCGTTTAATTCTCCTCAGATTGCCCCTCGTTGTCTTCTGTCACTTTTTTTCTTCTTTTCTTTTTTTTTCCCGCCCCCATCCATGGTCATCGAGCCGGGGACATGGGGACAGAGGGGGTTGTCCGCGGACATGGGACACGCGAGAATGTAACTCGAAAATGACATGACATGATTTTACATTATACCGTGACATTGGGACATGGGGTTTGCGTTCATCTTTTTTGGTTCTGTACATGTACTTTTACTTTGGGTTCGGGTAACGGTTTGTTGAGTGCCTTGCCTACAGTAGAGCAATCTGTCCAGGTTGATCGACGCCTTGCAGGGTTCAAGGAGGAAGCCGGAAAGCAGATGCAGTTGCGAGGTACATGTACAATAGTAATCAAAAACATGGATTGTCATAATCATAATGCCTCTCTCTTTTTTTTTCCCACCAGCCAAGTTTAATAATTAATTACGCACACTCATTCTCAACTACAGAGAGAATGCCCTCGTAGTCTCTCTCATCTTTGCCCGTGTAAGAGCACAAGACATCAACTGTGTATGAAAAAAGGCGGGAGTCTCCACAGTCAGCTTATACTTGGATGCCTCAACGCCGAAGCTGGAGATCCATGGGAATGACTTGCTGCTGCTGCTTCCAACAAGCATTACTTGGCATCTACTAACATCCACCAACAACTTCTATTGTAGGGATCGCAACAAGCACGCCCGGAATCAGGCCACTCTCTCCCCCCCCTTCCCAACCCTTCCGGAGCCTCCAAAGCTTCAATCTCTCCGATTGCCGATCCAGAGAGCCTGCCATTACGTTAATACAAGAAGAGCCAAGTTCGATTCGACCCAGCCCCACAAAGCAAGCAGCCGAATCCAAAGCAAGGACAAAGACGAGAGACAAGACAAGACAAGAATCCCACCATCATCTTCTCGTCTCCTCCCCCTCTTATCCCAGAAGTACCGGTACAACAAAACTACTGTACGCACCAGTACGCACCCATATCTGGAAGTAAGGCGAGACGGGCCAGACCGCTCATCATTTTTTTTTCTCTTCCTAAATCCCCCTTCCCGACCCTGCCGTGAGAGAGCGGTAGGGATCTGTAGTCTCTATTGCGGGACTGGGATTGGTTTTCTTCTTCTTCCTTCTTCTTAACCTGACACGCACGTTTTACGCGAGCTGTGAAAAAATGGCGCCGCTTTGAGGCGGAATGAGAATGAGGCAATTGATAATCGGGAGGGGAAGTAGAACAAGTTGTTGGCTCTGCATCTGCATCTGCATCTGCATCTGCTAGTACGAGTACACGAAGAGTACCGGCGAGACAGAGAGAGAGACAGCAATCAATAGTCTGTCTGTCAACCTTCTCTCGCCCATGCAAGACAAAGGCCAATGACGCTCTCTGGTGGGACCCTCGCCTTCTTCCTCTCTCTCTCCTTACTCCATTGAGCAAAACCAACTTGCAACTATTCCCGGATCAGGAGAGCCCACCTACACTGTCTCAATACATGTAGTCAATACCACCTCGACAGTTTCCGGTCCTGCAAAACCCTAAATGTAGGTGATCCAAACCGGACCAAACCAGCCCATCTCCATCTCAAACCTCCAGCCTTGCTCGCCCTCTTCCTCCTCTCTCTCTTCCTCCTCTCTCTCTTCCTCTTTCTCTCGCCCTCCCTTCTCCGGTTACTAGCCCTCCTGCAAGCCCCCCTAGCCAGCTGAACACACTTCACTCACTTGCTTCTTCCTCCAATCCCATTCATCCACCACACCCTCTCTCTTCTTCTTCTTCCACACTCAGACATACATGCTTTAGTAGCCTCGTCCTGATTCATGTACAGCAAGCCACTGTACTGCAACTCACCAACCGCAGCCCGTGCCTGTCCAAGTGCACATGACACATCACTTTCTCTCTCTCTCTCTCTCTCTCTCTCTCTCTCTCTCTCTCTCTCTCTCATCCCCTGGCATCTTTCCTGGAACACCCACCCACCGCACATCTAATTCGTCAAACCCTACTCCAATGCCCATCAGTATCAGCATCCATTCCTCGCCGTCCAACATGCTCCCCCAAAGTTCCCATACGCACTCAAACCTCACCAATCCCAACATACCTATTACCCTTGCTCACACACCTCCCCGGCCAAAGCAAAAAACACGCATAACCCCAAAAATTTATCACTTATACCACACATCACATCCCATCACATTTCATGATTCATCTCCCCTCCCCCCCCTTCCCGTCGATCCCGATCCCCGCCCAGAACCAGTTCGTCATGGGCCCTTCTCGCTCGGCATCTCTCCGTGTCAAAGAAAAAAAAAAAACTCCACAACCGTCCATGTCCCGTTATCACAGTAGCATCCCATCACAGTGACAAAAAACCACACACAGACACATACAAACTTAACCCCTGCACAAAAAAAAAAAAGAAAGAAAGAAAAAGGTACAACGCCTCGTTTCTTTTACCTCTCAAGCTCCAAGCCAGCAATCCTTCCAAAGTAGTAACCCGGTTTTTTTTCCTCCCCCTTACTTCGCTGCCTGCATGTACATATCCATCCCATGCAAAATTATCCTTCCCCCCCCCAGCTCGCGGCTATGCATCCATACGTGCCGAACACCAAAGACTGAAAGCCCCCCTTTTCATCTTCTCCCGCTCGGGACAAATCATTGGTCAGAAAATTCGTGGCTTTTCCCCAGCGATATGGCCATTACACAGCACACCCAACGTTTGAAGAAACCCGTAGAAGCCTCTCCTGTTCACTGGTGTAAGAGGACAGTTACAGATCATAACAGTATCAAAAGAAAAGAAAAAAGAAGGGAACAATGTCTTCAAGAAAAGAGATCAAAATTGCAAAGATATAAACTCATCATCACTGTGCCGTGCACATATACCCATTAAACAATAACATCAAAGATTAATTACCGTCAATATGAAAGAAACAAAATACAAAATCCGTATACCCGCCCAAGAAAAAAAGCCAATTTTCTTCCCAAGATACTCAACGCTTCCAAAACACAAGATTAAAAAAAAATCGACAGTCGCTCGCTCGCTCGCTCGCTTCGTTTGTTTCGTTCTACATCTCATGGCCACCCAACACCTTCGTCGTATCACCCCATCCACCCATCCATCCATCGGCATCCAGGTTGATTAGAAACAAAACTCCAATGAAATGCCCAAAATCTCTCCGACATTGCAATCGTCACGCTTGCGTGCGTCAAGTCTCAAAAGTGCCAAACCAAAACTACGTTTTGAAAAATCAGAGGCTGTGCCCGCCAAGCGACTGTTATCGCAGAATCTCATCAAAAGCATCCGCCAGAGGCAAAGATCCACCCATCGCGAGAGCACGCTCGCCCGCAACAAAAAAAAATAAACAGGCTTAAAGGCATGAGAGGATAGCCTTGAAAATGTTGAAAAGAGAAAGAAGAAGAAAAGAGGAAGAAGAAGAAAAGAGGCAGCGTGATTCTGCCTGCTTTGTTGAGATATCAATTGAATAGAAAGCCCCCTCCAGCGGACTATCGAAAGCCCAGTAAACGCCAAAGCTCGTACAAATTGAAAATAAGTGACGAGAACAAGGAAAAATCAGAATCAGAATCCACACACAAAGAGTCATGTGCGTTCTGGTGCGTGTTGCGCCCTGTACTGTCTAGACCAGGCCGCCGTATCCCTCTATTGTAGAGACGGGCGATGTCCAGCGGCATCCACAACTTGGGTCATGACCCTCATTCCCCGCGCATCGTTCGGCATTGCGTAGCCGTAGCCCTGCTGCTGAGTGACGGGGGGTGCCTGAGACAAGTCCCCCGATCGAAATATCGGGGTTCCGGTTTGGTCGTATTCGCTCCGGTGTGGTGTTTCAAAAGAATTGGGTATGAAGGGCTGGTTGGATGTCATGGAAACCCCGGAGCCGACAAACGATGCTGACTGCGTGGTAGTTTGCTGCTGTGCATAGGGATACATGGTCGACGCGTTGGTATTTGTTGATGCCTGCGGCCACTGCTGGCTGTACATTCCTCCAGGACTGGCGTAATCACTAAACACTGACGGCCGTCGGCTGGCGTCATGAGGGCTCGGAACCATGTCGAGGGCGATGTTGGCAGCCGCTGTGGTAGCCACGGGCTGGCTGCTGTGAACAGACATTGTGCCACCTTCGACATATGTATGCGGCTGTGCGGGAAGCTCTGCAATCATGGACGGCGGGAATGCATTGGCCCTGACTGTCATGTCATTTATATAGGTGGGCGGGCGAATACTGGTTGCGGAGCTGGGCTCGGATGTTGTCGGGTGAGGGAGGCACTGAGCAGCCAGCGGCTTAGATCTAGCCTCATGATCATCTTCGTCCTTGATGTAGGTAGACTCCTCATTGTCCGAAGCGTAACTCTCCGGCATCTTGTCTTCTGCCATGACATAGACCTCAGTCGTGCCATCTTTTTCGCCGTTAGTATTCAGAAGAAGAAAGTTACAAGTATTGCCTAGATCAGCTTACCGATTTCGCCATTCTTGAATCGCTCCTCCTGACGAGCTACCTTGAAGATTTCGTTCAGAAACGGCCTCTTCTTGGCGTTGGCTTCATTGTCCATGAAAAAGGACGACAGGGCCTCGACCGTCGTCTCTTCGAGCTTCTTCACGTTCAAGCCAAGCTTTT